TAGATGTTCAAGAGACCAATAAACTTATTTATTAATTATTGAGGGGTTTAACAGGGGTTCACAAAAAATATAGAAAATATAAGATTTTGATATTTTTGAAGTTTTTTTGGAAAGGTTATTAATATTAGTATGCCATATTGATTTTATCTGTTTAATTGAAACTAAGATCGTCTGTTTGACTTTATTTTGCATTCAAAATGATAAAAAATAATGGTTCCATTTAGTTCACTTTCTTTTAACATCATCTTGTTTTTCGTTGATCTGCGTTGTTAATGATATGTTTAAATGATAAAACATATATTCCTACATACGTTTTCACCCGTTGAGAACCTGTCAACATTACCGTTTACTTATCATTGAGGTGTTTAACAGAGGTCCATAATAATGAAAAATATTAGATATTGACACTTTCGAAGTTAACAACGAATTTTCCACTTATGAATCGGCTTTTGGAAAGGTCATTAGCATGACATATTGATTTTATCTTTTTTATTGAAAATAATATCATCTGTCTGACTATATTTTGCATTCAACATGATTAAAAATAATGGTTCCATTTAGTTCACTTTCTTTGAACACAATCTTGTTTTCGTTGATCTGAAAATTGTTTCTGCCTATATTCCCACATACGTTTTCACCTGTTGAGCACTGAAACTGAGCACTGTTTACATTTTAAAACCTTGGAAAAAGCATTTGATCACATATAATATTGCATTTAAATCATAATCTAAGATGAGTTAGGAATTTATTCCCACTATTTATAAAAATTTTAACATCAATAAAGCATATGATATGATGTTGGGTGAAAGGATATATGATTTTTGCGATACGGGCTCTACAAGCATCTCGACAAGCAAATAACTTTAGTAATAGAAAAGCCTTTACCCTGATTATTTTATTTAGTAGAAAATAGACTGTCCTATGAGGCAATGCTAGAACCCAAACTTTCTCTTGAAATTAATAAATACCGTCTCGCCCAATATTTTTTTCTGGAATAGGTATTCTGCCATTATCAGCTGCTGATCATCAATATTTTGGCTTAATATTGCCCGCAGAAATGACGTTATTAGAATTATTGCTCAGGTCAATATAGTAACAAATGCCACCTAAACTAGCACTAATACCACTAAAACATGCCCCGCAAGGTGGTAATAATAGTAACTGATCCGACAACTATCCACAAAATATTCTTTTTTATATATTTTTGAATTAATCTTGAATTAAATCTTCAATAAATGAAAATCTGAACCACTTTAAGATATTCAAAAAATTCAGTGTGCCATGTTTATAGTATTCACATATCAGAGATGATCAAAATCGCTCCACAACTTTTCGAGTTATAGTAAAATATGTTAAAATGGCGGCTATGTTTAAAATGGCCGCCTTCTCCCAAAAGTGTCATTAGACAGTGTGCCATGCTTATAGTATTCACATACCAAATATGAACGAAATCACTCCACTACTTTTCGAGTTACAGCAAAAATCGTAAAATAACAAGTAAAGAACACCATTTTTCAAGATGGCTGCCATGTACTTCTTTAACATCTGCATTTCTAGCTTTATTAATGTCCAAAATGGCCGCTATTTTTAAATGAGTGGCCATTTTGAAAATCGGCTTTCGAGCAGAACTTCTACCCCCACAGGGTATATGTGTACAAAATATGAACAAAATTGGGCCAACAGTATTTGAGTTATTGCCCGAACGGACGTACGTACGTACGGACGGACAGACGGACGTATATCCCTCCGAACTTCGTTCAATTAGATAACTATTTAAAATTAATTCAAATTGTTAGGACATGATACTAAGCTTATAAAGTAAAAATTTGATTAGTTACACCAATCATTGTGATTTTAGAGCCCATTGTTATTTCATTCTACAGTTTAAATTGTATAAATCTTCTTAATATCAACGTATTTATAATAGTCTACACTTATTTAATGCCTGTTTATAATGATACCGAACATTACTGTAATATTGAAATCATATAAGTAATAAAGATCCCAAAGTGGAGGTCAATGTCCCCTCTCCCCATTTGTGATATGGCGTTATACGAATTAGGTTGAAGACATCAGAATGAAACCTGTTTTCATGATTAATACACCTCAATGATGTAATTTAATCGTAAAACTGTACTAGCTTTTCATCTAAGAACTATCCGGAAAAATACTTAATATTTGTAAAATAGACCCCTGCTGAAATCGTTCATAAATGAAGTTCTGTAACTTTGTATGGTGCTCAAAAATTCATAAATGGTCAATGTTATAATCCTAACTAAAAAAAAACGCAAATTAAAAACATTAGGCTGTAACAATAAGCTTTAAAAAAATTATCTTGTGTTTGATGAGTTATACCCCCCACTGTGAACATGGATTCCATTTTGATCTAATTTTTCAGTTGAAATTTTACATTATGCTCTTGACATATAATAATTCATGCTTTTTGTACTTATTTATTATCTATTCACAAGAAATCTTTTAAAACGATTATTTCTTAAAAAAATGGACCCCTGCTTAAATCTCAAATAAACGATAAACGGTAATGTCGTGTGATCCTCAACAAGCAATACCATATTCAGTGATATTTTATCTATCAATATAATCTATAAAAATGATTGGAACTTGAACAGGAGGTAATTTCCAAATATTTGTCAATTCCTTTATCACTAATAAGGAAACCATTCATTGATGAGACCTTAGGCCTAAGGTCATGTAAATCACGAAACGGAATATTGGTTTCCTACTGTTATCATCAAAGTGGCCCTATTTACAAAATAAGTAAACACCGTGCCCCCCCCCCCAGAAGAATTACATACATTTAGATGGTTGCTATATGGAGACAGCAACAGTAATATAGATAGATAGTTGTTACCAGTTACCTAGACACTGTTATGTGGACGAAAAATATGCAATGTTTGGGTTGATATCAGTATCATTAACTTCGTGTTACCTCGGTAACAATACAACATTTTATGATGGCCAAAATAAATCAGGTAAATGCTTTAAAACAATATTTTCTCAATATTTGAAGATCAATAAGATAAAGAACATAATCACGGTCTAACGGTTATATTAAATATTCGTTGATATTTTAACTTCCTACAATTTTCAATTTTATATTTGTATAAGTTCTTAAACCATTGATTATGAAGATTGATAACATGTTCTTTTATGCCAATATCAACATTTCATAGTATTTATAGACAATTTACTGCATACATGGATGGAGTAGACAATATTTTATAAAAAATTATTAAAAGCCTTGTACCATCATCAAAATATACACTAATGCAGTTTTCTGAAATCATGAGCCTGTTTACATTGCTTAAACAAATATTTTTCAGAAAAGTGCAATCAAACTCCATGATTTTTGTAATTTTGTAATCAAGTTCCATGATTTTGGGAAAACCGCAATCAAGTTCCATGATTTTGGAAATTGTAATCAGAATTCCATGGTTTTGTGGTTTAATGTTTTGTAGCAATTTTGTTTTTAAGAAAAAAGAAAATCATATAAAGTGAAGTTATATCAAAAATTATTTTAATTTTACACAATTGCCATATCTTAAAAAACATTTTAAATGAAGCAAATAGGTTTTTTTTAACAACTGGCCTTAAACTGAACATGAAGAAAACACAAGCAATGTGGCTTGGTCAGAAAAAACACTCAATTAATAAAACCCTGTAGTATAACTTGGAAGCCGGGGGGAGACGCTAGAATAAAAGTTCTTAGACCATTGATTATGGATATTGATAACATGTTATTTCATGCCAACATCAACATCTCGTAGTATTTATGATTAAAATTTATGATTTTTGGAATTTTGTAATCAAGTTCCATGATTTAGGGAAAAAGGCGACCAAGTTCCATGATTTTGGAAATTGTAATCAGAGTTCAATGGTTTTGTGTTTTAATGTTTTGTAGCAATTTTGTTTTTTAAGAAAAAAGAAATCATATAAAGTGAAGTTATATCAAAAATTATCACAATTTTACACAATTGCCATATCTTGAAAAACATTTTAAATTAAGCAAATAGGTTTTATCTAACAACTGGCCTTAAACTGACCATAGAGAAAACACAAGCAATGTGGCTATGTCAGAAAAAACACCCAAATGAAAAACCCTAAGTATAATTATCCCACCGAACGAAGTGTTTCCTGAACGCAATGCGAAATACCATGAAGATTATTAAACTTCATTTACCTGAAAATGTTATGCTAAACTCTGCTATTAAAACTGCGGACATTACAAAATTTGAAAGGTTTTTCTTGAAATAAAGTTAATGCTTGCACTTCAGAAAATTGAATGTAAGCTGCAAAAGAATGAACCAAAGATTTATTGAAATTGAAACAATTTTTGTTTTGCCTACTCCCTTTATCTGACTCTCTCTTTAAATAATAATGCATATTCACCTTCATTTCTTTCGAGTCATTTATCATCTGTGTTATGTTCTTTATTTTATTCATCTTCAAATATTGAAAACTTGTTATATGTTTGCAACTTTAAATACCAAGTTTTCACTTTCAAAATTTCTTCAAAATGATTGATACATCAATATTACACATTACCCTTGACACACTAGGTGGGAATAATTCATTTTCAAATATCAAGGAAAACCAGTATTTCATGAAAATTCCATGTTTTTTTATCATGAAATACCGGTAATTACCATGGAAATGTTCATGATTTTTTACCATGAAAGGCCGGTATTTACCATGAAATACCAGTATTTACCATGGAAAGCCGGTAATTACCATGACAAATCATGGAGACCATGGGTTTTTTCTTAAGGGGAAATATGGTACGGGAGTTTTAACGGGAGAAAACGGTACGAGAGTTTGGTATTTTATACGGAAAAACAAAAAATTTACGGGAGATTCCCGTAAAAAAACGGGAAGTTGGCAAGTCTGTTTTTATTTGAAATAAACAAAACTTTCATTCATACATTTTGTATTCAGATAGGTCTATACGCAGTTACTAAAATGCAGTTACAAAACACAAATTCAGAGTTTGCATAATTAATTTCTTTATTTCAAATAATACTGCACAATCAAAAACAAATTCTAATAATGAATTCATTAATGGAATCATAATATACACGAGTACATTGCATTTACAATTCTGTGATTAGACATAATTATGTACACAGATATATCTACATCTGATGAATTTTGCACATGGCATATGTATTTTATTCAAAACAAGAGATATATGATGGAATGGGAATATTTACAATTAGCCTATGAGATTTTCCTAAAATCATATTCATGAGAGAACAATACATAGACAGCAAGAGAAAAAGCAAAGGGTAACACCATGATAAGATATATGTTGAATACACATTCATTTAAGGAAATCTTTTTATTGCAATTCAAATATATTATCACTATCATACCAAGTATAGCTAGTATGAAATCAAAATGGTCTGTATAATTTTTCTGCTCAGTTGAGCATCGGCCTATGAATTAACGCTCCAAAACACTCAAAGCTGATTGGCTGTGCCAGGCTCGGCAGATTTGAATGATCTATATTACATTTGATATTAATCATACATATTTCTGCACTTGGATGTTCGATTAAATTGTTTATAATTACAATACTCCAGTGATGACTGGGAGCTAGTCTTTATTGAGCTTAACACAATCCAAACTTCTCAAAGTTCCAAGTACGAATATCTGCTGTTAGATACATGTTCAAATTCAGTTTTTTAATGTCATAATTCATATTTGTTAGGTCACAATTCAGTTTTCGTTTGTCACAATTCAGCGTTTCGTTTGTCACAATTCAGCTTTCGTTTGTCACAATTTAGTTTTGTAAGGAATTCTTATAGTTGTGCTTGAGCACCCACCTGAAAGTACACAGTGAAGTATATTATAGTACTGTAAAAGTAATAGTTTTATTAATCAAAAAAGGTCTCAGTTCATAATTTCAGTGGAACAATTGAAAACAAAAACAAAAAAATAGTTCCTAAGGTTTTCTGAAATGAAAGTCAGTTTGTTATCAAAAAGCAAGATATTTTATTGTTATTAACAGGTTACTTAGAATAATATGAGGAAGATCAGATGATTGTATTCATAAATATAAATATTGGCCATTATTGTTTTCAGCCTCTTGTTGACCTCAAGCAGCAAATCGAACATTACGCCTGCAACATGATTCTTAAAATCATCAATAATTCCTCTCTATCATTGCATTTGATTAATCACAATATTGCCTATAGCAACAGCTGAAAGATTAACAAATTGTTTATTTCCAAGTTACGATATGAAGAATTTTGATGTCATTCAATATTTTAGCTAGCGAGCATACTTGCATACATTTGCCCTTGTACAATAGACATGAGTAGAAACTAGAAAAACAGCAACTCCACGGAGTAGCAAATCCCACCGAACAAAACATGTTTTGATAAAAAATTTGAGCCAAATTCATCCACTGGTATTTGAATTATAAAAGATTATGTTTTTATGAAACATGGTTGCCATTTTGAAATTCAGCTGTCATCTTTAGATTTTTTCTTTAGCAGAAAATGTCCATCTAATGGTATTTGGGTTATCAAAGATTACTTTTAAATGAAAAATAGCAGCCATTTTGAAATTCAGCTAACGCCTTTGAAATTTCTTCTGAAGCAGATCTCCTTTTTCCCTAAACATCAGCATATAAAATTAGAACCAAATCCATCCACTGGTATTTGAGTTATCATTAATTACGTTTTTTAAGAAAAATGGCGGCCATTTTGAAACTTTAGTGGCCATCTTGAAAATTTATTTTTGAGCAGAACTTCTTTGCCTCTAGGCATCAGCATATAGAATTTGAACCAAATCCGTCAACTGGTATTTGAGTTATCAAAGGTTACGTTCTTTTATGAAAAATGGCAACCATTTTGAAATTTAGCTACCGCCTTGAAAATCCCTTCTCCAGCAGAGCTCCTATGTCCCTAGGCATCATCATGTAAAATTTGAACCAAATCCATTCAATGGTAATTGAGTTATCAAAGATAATGTTTTTTTACGGAAAATGGCCACCATTTTAAATTTAGCTGCCATCTTGAAATTTAGCTGCCATCTTGAAAATCCTTTCTCGAGCAGAGCTCCTATGTCCGTAGGCATCAGCATCTAAAATTTCAACCAAATCCATTCAATGGTATTTGAGTTATCAAAGATAACGTTTTTTACGAAAAATGGCCGCCATTTTGAAATTTAGCTGCCATCTTGAAAATCCTTTCTCGAGCAGAGCTCCTATGTTCCTAGGCATCAGCATCTAAAATTTGAATCAAATCCATTCAATGGTATTTGAGTTATCAAAGATAACGTTTTTTTATGAAAAATGGCCACCATTTTAAAATTTGGTGGCCATCTTGAAAATGTCTTCTTGAGCAAGGTTCCTTTGTACCCAGGCAACAGCATATAAAATTTGAACCAAATCCATCCACTAGTATTTGAGTTATTAAAAGATTATATTTTTTCTGAAAAATGGCCGCCATTTTGAATTAAGCGGCCATATTGAAAATTCCCTCTCGAGCAGAGGTCCTACACCCATAAGGCATCAGCCTATGAAATTTGAATGAAATCCGTCATCCGGTATTTGAGTTATCGCCCGGACACACGAACGGACGGATGAACGGACGGACGAACCGACGGACGAACGGACGGACAGACGGACGGACGGACGGCTTTTCTATATCCCCCTCGAACTTCGTTCGGTGGGATAATAATCTTGATTTATGTCATTAAAAATTCAAGATTCAGTCAAAGTGATATCATATTTGAAATCTACATGTAAAATTACATCTAGCAATACAGTTTTAAAATATATCTATCAACTTTGAAAATTAATTTTCTTTGGAGATGTGACTTCTCCATAGACCCCATGTTATAAAACCACAAAAAGTGAAAAATCTTGTGCAGATAACATTTTCTTTTACTGGACATATTTTAATTTGTATAACTATCAGGCACATGAGGGTAATATGAAAATTGAACCACTAACACTGATGAATATTCAGTTTTAAGGAACTTTCTAATACCCTGTTATGTTATCTACCCCTAACTAGCCACCTGGTGGTGAAAATGGTAACCACCTACTCTCATCTGGGTAATTCAGCTAAAATGTATGGTTGAAACATCACTGAAATTCAAATAGGAGAGTATATCCAGGGCACAACTTATTTATGGTGCACTATAGTTATTATGTGTCTTGAAGAGGGGTACCTTACAAGTTTTAATAGGGCCATATATATACTACTGTACTTATGTTGGATGATGATGATTTTATGTAAACGTATGATAATTTTGGGAGAAATAATGGTGATCATGCCAAAGAAATCAGTAATCATAATATTGAAGAGAATGGTCATAACAGAAAAAGAGAATGGTAATCATGACGGAAAAATGGCAGTCATAGAGGAGAGAATGGTAATCATAGGGTAAGAAACACAATCCTAGAAGAGAATGGTAAATATGGGAGATGAGAATGACAACAAGAGCATGGCAGTTGTGGGAAGATTTAAGATTAGTCTAGAGTCAAAATGAATTGCAATGATACATACTTGTACTTGGGATTGGACACCAGCCTACAAACAGGAAATATTAAATAGAACATACAAACCACATGTAATATAGCAGACTTAGTCACAAAGTTCTGGAGCCGTGAGTTCAGAATTGTGAAAAGTATATTTGTGTGTTTTCATTAAGGAATTAACAATGATAGGCTATTAGGTTATGGGCTAGCCCTTAAATTGCGGTATGGAGGTAGAATTTTGGAGACCATGGTAATTACATCCTAATTTGTAATTCTCACCACAATTTGGCAATAATTAAGCAAAATTTTACAGCGTTTAGGAAAAAATCAATATTTATACCCCCCGCATGACAAAAGTAGGGGGTACATAGAAAATAATTAATAACTTTACAAAAACATTATGAATAACCACAGAATATATACACATATATGTCATTGATAACTGGTAAAAATTTGGTGACTATAGGTATGATGGTTGCTATGGAAACAGAATTTGATTGTCAAAATTTGCTAATTTGTGTCTATTTTGGGCGGGCTAGTTAACGAAAAAATCCTATGCTAGCCAGTTATGCTGCAAAAATAGCATTGTTTTAAGGTTTAGAAAATTGCATATATATGTCCTGCATGCATTAAAATTGGAATGATGATTGAGTCTCAATTAGAAATATTAAAAAAAAATGTCTATGACACTCCCTATAAATAATCAAAAGTGGGCGTGGCATTTAACTGAATGATCAAGCCTACTTAACAGTAGATAACTTCAATTGTATAGCCAGTATTATCACAATTTCAACAGAAGGTATGATTCTTGTATCAGTTAACATTTTCTATGATTTTTCTATCCCTCCTCAATATTTGTAAACCCTCCCCCTCCTCCACCACTCCTCCCGCAGGACAAAAGTAGGGGATACATTGAAAATGATTAATAACTTTACAACAATGCAGCAAATAACCACCAATTTTTCAGACAGAATAAATGTATATGTCATCAGTAATTTGAAATAATTCTTGGTGATGATGGTTCTATAGAAACAGGATTTGATTGTTGTGAATTTGTGTAGATTGGGTGGGGGGCTAGTTTATGAAGAATCATATCCTAGTAAATTATGCTGCAAAATACCATTGTTTTAAGGTTTAGGAACTGTGTCCTTTATATATTAAAACTGAAATAATGATAGGATGTCATTCACAAATAAATTTTTTGATGAGATTATAATAATAGGTGACATTAACAAACTTTGATTTAGCGGAAGAAAAGAAGGTCTATAATATTGCCCGATCCTTTAATGTTTCACTGCAATGCTTTCATTAGATTGGGGACATTCCATACCCTTTTGTGCTGTGGGAAAATATATGAGATTAAGGGTTCGAGGACATTCTTATGGAATCTTAGATATTTGCAGTTCAATTGATGGTAGTGGAAAACACTTCAACAAGGCCTTCAGAGTTCATAAAGTCAGGAATGAGGAATTGGAATCCTTGTTGATTTCAAAATTCCATGAATCTGGAGAGTATTCAGCTTACTTATTGTATGATCTGTAAAATGAAGCCCTCTGATTGGTCAGTTCTTGTTCTGTACCAATCTGTATTGCTACTGAGATTGTCCTTATTGATCATCTCCTTAGCAATACAGAAAATATTGGGACGGAGGGGACAATCTCAGTAGCAATACAGAATATTTCATAGGAATTACCTTCTGAGTAAAATGTATTGGCCTAAGACCACACGATAAAAATGTTATAGAATGATTCGAGGTGCAATACAGGATACATTCTGCTCTCAATATTATGTATTGTCTCTTTCCAACACAGAATTTCTCGAGCAGAATATATACTGTATTGCATTTCAAATCATTCAATAACTTATATTACTGCTACTTCAACTAAAGCCTTAGTTGATATTGAAAACAATGAGTTATATCAAAGTACCAAACATTTAAGAATGACATGAAGAATGGAAAGTTTGGAAAGACTGTCCAATATACTGAGTTACATATCAGAACATGATTGATATATCACTGTACTTTGAAACACCAGAGAATGGAACATCAGCCAGTTGACGAAATGTGTTTGGAAATTTGGCTACTTGGTAAAGGACATGTTGCCACAAACACTTTCACTGTTTTGTAAGTTGTGACACACCCTTCTGCCTGGATAACTGCAATTTGCTTTTTGCTAAGCACCATAGAATCTGTCCTCATGGACTTTCCATGATTCCATGGCTCTCCATGAGTTTTTATTACAAACTGAATGGTGTTTCTTCATATTGATTTGGGCGCATCAAATGATTTAGTATTGATCCTAATACGGGCATTTAACAAATTCTTAAGAAGCAATACCTCCTAACACTGGGTGGATTTTTTGACTTGAGTAAGTGCTGAAAGTCCTGATGATATCCATAGAGTCTTGATTCTGTGATATCAAATGGCTTGATAAACACCACCAATCTGCACTCATGGTACATTAATAGTACCGTACAGTGCCATTCTATTATGGTGGTGTACAGTGTCCATGGTACTGTACAATACTATTTTAGCCTGGTACCATATATTACCATACCATATAGTACCATAGCCCAAACAGTACCATAACATACTGTTGGAGATACACAACTGTATGTGATTTTACGGTACTGTTGCCTGTGAAGCTGTAAAATGGACGTTAACTGTTATCTTCATTATTGATCATGAATCTTTTTAATACCAATAAGGAACTTTGCGTGCCTGTTGATTGTTGGTTGTATTGTTGAGGTTTTGATTTTGACAGCATTGTACCTACCCCGTGACCTCCTTTTATGGTACATTCCCCCATCATCTAGCTAAGATTTGACACCAGGAAATATTGTATCTACGCTAAGCAATGTCAGAAGATACATTATATTGTAGCAGGCATGGTTCTGATGATCAGGAGTGATGAAGAGATGTATTATTTTGGTTTATATCACAACCCAATGAGGTGTGTATTAATGATTAACTTTCCTGTTATCTCAAAATCTGCTTGGAACTATACCATAGGATTGCTATGGGAATTCCTCAAAGAGAAAATTGTAGGGAATAAGGAATGGGTACCATTAACACGATTTGAGAAATTATTGGCATACATTAAACCTATTTTAAAACAGCATTTATATGATCATAATCAATGATTCCTAGCCCTCTGAAGTTTGAAAAATAAAAAACCTGGGTGTTAATCCATAGATAATCCTTGAAAATAGAAATATCTTTTGGGGATTATATGGTGCAGTTTTATAGTCAATAAAATGGTTTAAAGTGTATTGATGTTTTTAACCCGATTCATTCTACAAACAACATGCGGTCCTTTGTTTGACAATCGAATCCTTTTTCCATAGCAACCATCAAACCTATAATCACCATAATCTTTTTCCAGTTACTTATGACATATACATGTGTAATTTTTAGTATGTTAAGACGAGGGGAGTGGCATAAATATTTGGGGATGAACAAAATGATAAAAAAGTTAACTGATTTGTGTAGAAATGTTGATCTATTAAGTAGGTTTAATCATACAGTTAAATGTCACGCTCACTTTGGATTATAAAGAAGGATGGGTCATAGTGAAATCTAAAAAATCTAATTGAAACCCAATCATCATTTCATTTTAATGCATGCAGGACATACATATGCAGTTTTCTAAACCTTAAAACAATGCTAATTTTGCAGCAGAATTCGCTAGGATAGTTTTCTTTGTGAACCAGCCCCCCCCCTCCCAATATCTTCTTAGTTGTGACGATCAAATCCTGTTTAGAAACTATCATACCTATAATTACCAAGAATTTTTTCAATTACTGATGACATATACATTTATCCTGTCTGAAAAATTGATAGTTATTCGCTGCATTGTTGTAAAGTTATTAATAATTTTCAAGGTATCCCCTACTTTTGTCACGCGGGAGGGGTGGTGGTGACGAAGGAGGGGTTATAAATATTGAGGGGGATGAACAAAATCATATAAACTGTTAACTGATACCAGAATCCTACATTCTGTTGAAATTGTGATAATACAGGCTATACAATTGAAGTTATCTACTGTTAAGTAGGCTTGATCATTCACTTAAATGCCACGCCCACTTTGGATTATTTAGAGGGGGTGGGTCATAGAAAATTTTTTAAAAAATATTTCTGATTGAGACTCAATCATCATTCCAATTTTAATGCATGCAGGACATATATATGCAATTTTCTAAACCTTAAATCAATGCTATTTTTGCAGCATAACTTGCTTACATAGCATTTTTTCGTTAACGAGCCCCACAAAATAGACACAAATTAACAAATTTTGACAATCACATTCTGTTTCCATAGCAACCATCATACCTATAGTCACCAATTTTTTACCAGTTATTAATGACATATATGTGCATATATTCTGAAAAAAAATGTGGTTATTCATAATGTTTTTGTAAAGTTATTAATTATTTTCTATGTACCCCCTACTTTTGTCATGTGGGGGGTATAAATATTGATTTTTTCCTAAACGCTGTAAAATTTTGCTTAATTATTGCCAAATTGTGGTGAGAATTACAAATTAGGATGTAACTAGCATGGTCTCCAAAATTCTACCTCCATACCGCAATTTAAGAGCTAGCCCACCACCTATATTCGATATGGTCAAATTCAGCACTAGTTGGACGGAATGTCGTAAAAAGCACGGACCGAATGTCAAGGTGGGTGCATATTTGTACTGACATTCTGTCGAACGAGTGTAGAATTTCACCATGTTGAATGGACTATCATTAATTATTCTGATTCAAACATAAAAATTAACATTGTTCAAATAATTAAAGCATATCCCATATTGTTGCATGTATTGTTTTTCCAGATTCTATTAAAACGCAGTAATGGCACTTGCATTGCTATAGCTGCATTATGTCCAACAGAAGTATTATATTCTTGGGATATTATCATTCTGATACTCATAGCATCTTTCTGTTTCACTGAGAAGATTTGAGATGTCATGGTTTATCATCATGGGATATTATAGTTCTGCCTCCCCATTTAAATTAGCTATGCTTATTTTTGGATCCTTGCTTCACACCTGGCTTGCTACGGTATATCTTATAAAATTCAAAGCCAAAAGCAAGCTGAATAAGGAGGAAATAAACCTTTGTTGGACTGACTACCAGTTTGAAACCTTCCATGACCCTACACTTGGCTGCAATAATAAACATTAAGAAGCATTTCATATTACAATTTCCAAAGAACTTCATAAGGTCATTGTTAAAAGTTTCAAAATGTATATTTTACATGTATTTTGAAGACAGTCATTTGAACATTCTATGTAAGCTTCAAAAGCTAGTTATAAATACTTATTATATATACATACATGCATATGTAACATCCCAAACAGGTGCATGGTACAGAGTTTATTAAAAGTATTGAAACCAGCATATATTAATTGTGTTAATCTCAAACCAGCAAACCAGACAGAGTCAATATGATGGTAGAATAACCCACACATCATCTGTTTAAAGGTGAACATGGTAAATTCAGTTATCTTTGAAGATAATTAATTTCAGATTGCCCCGCTCCTTCTCCTCAAAAATAATTGACTATTACCATGGGCTTTCCTAAGCCATGTTGTAATTGAACTACATTGTACACATACATGTTATCGTGTATTTTATAGAAAAAGAGTTAAGGTTTTTTGAGTGATAAAAACAACACTGAAAAACTTGTAGCGTTCCCCACTTTCAGACATATGCCATATGGTCTGTACGGCATTCCTCATGCAGCATATGATTTATAAAATATCACCCGTCATATGTCATATGGTTCAAAGGACAAAAAAAATATCCGAATCTACCTTATCCTTTGACTGACCTTTCTTATTCCTGCCGTTTCTATGTCCATTTACTTTAATTCTTGCTAATTCCACTAATAATTTTATATTCTAAATGAATCCTCACAAGAAACCACCATACCTTTTGTGTCTTGTATTTGTTCAGCTCTTGTTGAAGCCGGCTGCCATATTCTGGATCACATTGTCCAAAGTTTTTCACAGCCCTTGCTTGTATGAACTCCTGGGCCCCAGACAAATGAGCTCCAATGTTTCTGACAAGGGCACTCCTCTCTGATGGTTTTAAGACCTACAATTATAACAAATCCATGGGAAAAACTTTCATCCATGGGAACGCCAAAAATCGACAATTGCTACACTTTTAAGTTATATCAATATAATGTGAATTTCAATCATGATGTTTTTTTTAAATTCACAACATTGCTGTAAATGCTTTTTTAAATGTTGGCAATTATGGTGGTATAACTAGTTCATCATTTGAGAAAGACATGGGAATATGAAACAAGACATTAACATGCAAAATGTCAACACCTGCCATCTGTTACTGACACTGACTGACAAAAGCAGAATGCCAACCACCAGGTTGTTTGTCACCACTTTTGGTGGTGACATAAAAATGGGAAAATCCTTTAAAAAATACTAAAAACTGTTTAAACATGAAGTTGTGATTTTGATTTTGAGATGGGGTTTAGAATCTTATCTCTGTATGTGATTGTATTACATATTTTTACCAATACAGATCAATAGAGCAAGCCAAAGTTTCTTTCCAATTGCATAATGTAAAATGAAGCAAGCCTACTTTCTGTCCTTCATTACAGTATTGACTTTAATCTTTAATCTTTTTGGCCTTTAATATTGCTTATCAAGGTCAAGGTATAATGTTTACACACCCCTTGGACCCTTACAGTCACACCTGCTGGTGAGTTATGCAGGCCTAATGTCAAGAATGTCATTCCTCATATAATCAGATTGAGAAAGTTAAACAATAGTGTTAGATCTACCTCTTCACTGACAATCATATTTGATATATGAGATTCTTTTAAAAACATCTATCATCTCATTGTTATATTTGAAAGAACTTTACTGCAAGGGATGTCATGTAAGATTATCAGGTCAAAATACACTTCAGCAACCCTGAGAGCACATATCAGTTAGTTCTCTTCCCTCTTACAAGGACTGATTGTTTCACATTTTGCCATTCAACCGATAAGTGAGCACTAAAAGGCCATGTTAATGTGTTCCTTTATCTAACATCAACAGCACCTTTGAGAGATGTGAGGAGCTGATTGACTCAGTGAATCCAAAGGCTTGTCTGTTATATAAAGAGTGTGGGATTGTTGTTGATCACTATGGCAAAGGGTCATATTGAATCTCCTTCAGATAAAAACTTTTACTTGTAGGTGCTAGATTGGTCTCAGTTGTGACAATCAACATGTAAACTGCCAATAAATCATTTTCAATTAAATTTCCTAGGCATGCATATTTATCGTAAATAAGTAATGTTGACTTTGAAATGCTTTCATGATTTCAAATTTGCAGTAAATTATGGTTTGAAACATCATTACAAATATTTATGGTGCATTGTAGAGTCTCTATGTTGAATCTCACGAATGTCAAGTAGAGTTAAGAAATCTTAAAAATATAAAATAAAAAAATAAAAAGACATAATTAGTAGAAATAAACAGTTATATATTTCAATTTAACATATGCCTGGTCCAAGAATATGTGCATGTGTTATATATGACTTATCAGTTTGCAAGGTTTCCTGACACAAAATATTGACTTTAGCCAAGATAACACCTGGAGTTATCAATTTCATAGGTCCTTAAGGTTCACCTTATGTCACATTTGTACTGTTTCACAACAGTGTTATAAAACCATTTATTTGAAAATTATGAAATTCACTGTAAAATAAGGGAAGTGGCAATTTTAATGAACTTATGAAATGTGATTTCTCTTAAAAATATCAAAATAAAAATATCAAAATCATTAATGCTATAAGAAGTTCAACGTGATGAATACGCTACACAAGAAAAAGTATGTTCAAGAAGATTCTACCAATCTTTGTGGGTCACCCTGTAATACTTACATTTCTCCAGAAGTTTCCAACTTGTGTAAAGTTGTCATCATCTGCAGAGTTGTATCTTTGCACATCTCCTGATATGTTGAATGTTGTTTCATTGTTTTTCACATTGTCTACTGGGCCACTGAAGCTATTTGGGAAGTAGTTGGGGGCACCCACTGTAGAAGCAAACATTCAGGTTTTATAATTAAGCACAAAGGTAGCAATTCATGAATAGCCGGCTGCCAGCTACCAGTTTGATTGCAATTGAAGTAACGATGTGTTCTGCAAATAGCGGAAGTGCATTTGGCGCAAAACTTGTTGCAATGGCATAAAAAAAGTCACATGATCACTGTTTAGTCGACAAAATGGTTGTTCGCTTTTTTAACTTCAAGATGACATTTTAATTTAATAGGTTAATCTGGCAGCCAGCACTTGCATTTGGAGATGCTAGCTAAAAGCTAATTGCAAATATGTTGGGCAAATTCTGAATATAGCATGTACTATCTGTACATTGGTGAAAATATAACACATGATTGTAAGCACATCTAGTATCTTGTTTTGGATATCAGAATATAAATAACATTTTGAGACATAACAAACTGAGATACTTTATACAATTGCAATGAACTTTGGAACCAACATATAAATTGAACTGTTGCTACTCATTGCTATAACTCCGATCACGTCTATCTCAAGTTAAGCTTACATCAAGTTGAACCAACTGCCCAATTTCAATGCTTTTCCATACAACTTACTGGTCACTACACATCTCTTAACTTTATTCCTTATAGATTCCTCTCTTTTCCACTCCATTTTAAAACATGACCACTATGAAATGTTACTTTTGGGCTATTTACCTTGATTATCTGTCACACAGGCAGGGCCATCTCGTTGGTAGTTATTCGTTTTAGCATAGGGGCAGTTGACAGGTATTTGCATGTAGTTGGTCCCCAGTCTGTGCCTGTGTGTGTCTGGGTAGGAGTACAGGCGCCCCTATAAAATAATATAATCAATGACTAAATTAAATGTTTAATATTACAAGTCTCAATGTATACAAGACATTTTCAGGTTTCAAGAGCTGTCTATAGGACACAACTTATGATTCAATGCTCAAATCAGCTGTTTCCTCAAGTGAATATAACTCATATGTACATTGTGTTAAAAGTTCATGAATTGTTATCATATTTTCTGATTGGATTCAAATCAGCCTCATTTGACTGGGTCATATCATTCAAATAGCAACAGTGCTTCAGTAATATTGAACAATTCACTAACTGATTGCCTTATAAAGTGCAGGAAATCCTTAAACCTACCTGCAACATTTTGTCAGGACTAGCTTCGACCCCTGGGACCATGTGAATGGGGGCAAAGGCGATTTGTTCTACCTCAGCGAAGTAATCCTTAGGGTTACGATTCAACACAAATCTACCTGCAGGGATTAGTGGGAAGTCACTATGTGGCCAAACCTATAAAGGAAATGAATAAAAGCAATAGTTAGGAAATGAAAATATACATAGGGGATAGAAGACAGTGTTTAAGCCAATGGAAATTTTATTAATTATAGAAAAATTAATTAGAACTTTGAATTCGTAATCTTTGAACATGTGTCTCCCTCAAAAAGGTTCAGATATGATGGCATTTTAATTCCCTCTCCATTATATGTAGCATGGAAATTTGGAACTCAAGTTCGATACACTTTTTTCTTGGTTTATGAAGAAAATTATAATCATAGTAGCCCATGAGTTCTCTGTTTAGTGTGGCAGATTATTCACATATACAGGTACATTATTCGGCTCAACTGATCAGTAAAGGTTCAAGGTGACAAAATTAAGAGGCACAGTGCTGTTAATAGTTTTTGAGTTTTGTGCATATATGCATTTTTCAAATATTGCCTCTTGAGCAGTCTGAAATCATGAGGACTGTGATTTATTAAGTTTTTTAAATTATTTTAAGGTCTATAGCAAATGGGATATGTTCGTGCATATACTTGGGTGTACTTGTAGTTGTCCTTCAGAATTCACCATGATTTGTGTTAGCAGTCTGTCACTTATCATATACTTATTTATATCAGATAGAAGTGAATATTGTTGACAAGGGGTTCCAAAGTACACGCAAATTGGCATATATCTTACTTGCCAAAACCTTACATATGATACTACTTTTCAGTCTACAAGAACAGTAGAACCTGTTAAGTGGAACACCTCTGTAAGTGGAACACCTCACAAGTGGAACAGTGAACAGAAATAAAAATATTTCTATAAAATTCTCCACCAAGACCAAGTATTTTGTTATAGAAGATGAACAGTATGAATATTATGATAATATTCAAGTTTCATTGGCAGTTCTAGTCTTCAGAATATGAGTAATATTGTTACTTAATTGTCCACGCCGAGCAACTTAGTATCAAGATTGAATAACGGCTTCCAATCCTCCTTAGTTGTAACAGATAATATATAAACCAAATCCCAAATGAACTATGCCCAGTAAGAAACTAAGGACATAATGGACATTCATAACCAGATCACAGGTGTTATGCAAAATGAATCTGCTAGGGGTTTTATAATATAACTTAAATTAAGGTTTCAAGCCCTCCATGGACTCAGGGCATTTGAATGAATCAGCCACAATGCATCAAGTATAGGGCTTAAATTCTTTTCACGCATTGTAAAATATTTTCGACAAAATCACCAAAAAGATATGAAATCACTTATAGAACATATTTTCAATGAAACTTTTTGCAAGGGTCAACTTGGCAAAGCATCAATTTCAATCTGTAGACTCAAGTTGTTGCCTTAACAACCATTCAATGAATAACCTTGAGTGCGGTGATTGGTTATATAATGCAGTGCAGTAATATGAAATACTGTGTTCGGATTGGCTAGAATATATGAGACACACCTTGCTTAGCTTTATGTGAATTTAGATATTACCTTAGTCAAGTCAAATGGGTTATACTTGTAGGTCTCTGCCTCCTTAAATGTCATCACTTGTATGAACATAGACCAAGATGGGAAGTTGCCCTCTGCAATGGCATTGTAGAGATCTCTGGTAGCATAGTCAGGGTCTGAGGAAGCCAGATTACCAGCCTCATCCATATTAAAGTTCTTGATTCCCTGGTCAGTCTAAACACAGAATAAATGCTGATTATGATTAAGTTTCATGATGAAGAAGGGATTTTGTTGCTCTTATCTCACAGTGATCTCCCCAGCATTAAAGCAAGTGGGCGCAGCACTCATCTGAGATTTTGATAGGCTTGCACCCACCTGAAAATCCATTTGCACCCACTCAAAAATGAAAATATTGGTCAAAAATTGACATATTTTGACCAATTTTGATCTAAATTGTGAAAATGAGAATTTTGCACCCACTTGAGAAAGAATCTTGTGGAATGTTTCTTAAACTGTTAAAAGGAAAATAAATTCATTCAGGTACTTCAAAAATTTTGATGACCTGAATGAGTTAATGAAGGACCCACGGTCCTATGCTCACACAGTTTGGAACCTTCAGAGGAATTTATATCCTGACTTTCAAACAAAAATATTGATTTGGATTTGTAGTCTCAAACTTTAAAAAAACTTAGATAGCATAGTTGTGTGACCTAGTTTGATGACCTTTGACCTTGAAAATTTTACTTATTCAGAGCTCAGTAAAGTCTTTTGTGATTAAGCTGACCAAAATTTACATCCAAAAATCAATTTGAAAAATCAACTTTTTTGACCTTTCGAAGGTCACTGAAGGTCAGGTAAAGGTCAAATCCTATAGATGATTTTCAAAAAAAAATTGGGTCAAATTTAAGCAAGTTGAAAAATAACTTATTTTTACTGTTTTTTAACGTCAAATATCTAAAACAGTAAAAATTTGATGCTGACATATATTGAGAAATAAGTAGGGAATGCTTAAATCTATTAATGATGTAATTTATTGCAGGAAATGATCAAGTATAAGGCAAACTTTAAGAATCTTGTAAATCACAAAACCTGCCATTGACTTTATACATGAGAAATTTTCCTGAAAATGACCAAGTCCTACTTTTTTTCAAATTTTATAGAGTAAACACCAAAAACCGTAATTCCAAGAGCTTTGAAATTTTCAGAGGACATAAGTTGCATATACACCAACTACTAAAAGTTATTTGAAAGTTCTACTTCAACAAAGTGTCTAGTATTTACAGAAAATTTGACTTTTTGACGTCAAAATCCGCAATTTCTCGGAAACTGGGCGAACTTGGGAAATGGCGATAATAGGTCAAATAGGCATTATGGATATGCATAAAATGAATGTGGAAATGACTTAATCCGAATAGCAGTTTTAATTTGTGCGGCCAATGTTGACGGACGGACGGACGGACCAACGGACGGACGGACCAACGGACGGACGGACCAACGGACGGACGGACGCCTGGTCAATCCCATAGGCTCACTGTGTGAGCCAAAAATGAGGTAATAGATTACAGTGATACATGTAAATTTTCCATGTGAAAAAAAGTAATAATTACCTTAAAATGGAATTTGGTGTAAACTGCCTCCCCTGCATCATTGACAAGCTTAAAGGTGTGGCTGCCATAGCCATTCATCCTTCTATAGCCATCAGGGGTTCCGCGGTCAGAGAACAAGAAAGACACCTGGTGAGTGGTCTCAGGGCGTAACGTGATGAAGTCCCAGAACATATCTGGATCTTTAAGATGTGTTGCTGGGTTACGCTTCTGGGTATGGATGAAGCTTGGGAACTAAAGCAAGATTTAAAAATATTAAAATGAATTTCAGAAGGAAGTACATTAACTGGAACCAAACTGACTGCATGGTGACATATAGTCATATTGATGAAAATAACCATTTGTAAACATTCTTTCCAAACTGTTTCTGTTATTTTCAAAAAGATAATTTCATTTAAACATCTCCCTCTATTACATACCAGTATGGGATCTCTGATGAAGAAAATTGGAGTGTTGTTTCCAACCAAATCCCAGTTGCCGTCTTCTGTGTAAAACTTCATTGCAAATCCACGGGGATCTCTTGCAGTGTCAGCTGAACCACTCTCGCCACCTATTAGCAAATAAAGGAGTAGTTTATATATTCCCCAAACATAGGGTAGCACTAGAGGTCCCAACCCAAATTTAATTTTCTTAGGAATGTGCTGCCTAACTAACTTGAGCATTTAGGCGATTCGTCATGATACACAAAAATCTCTGAAAATTTGGTTTTAAATATCAGCTAATTTTAGAAACTGTATTTGCATGCTCATTATAATCAATGGGATATACTGTATCTCTAGTTTTTGTGAGAAAGAAAGCTAGTGAAACAGTATCTTATCAGGTCAACATGCAATTGTAAAATGGACAAATCAAAGTAAATTCAACATTTCACAAACGCTGCTTACAATACTATTGGATGGGCCAAAAATGAAGTGGACATTCTTTTGTATATAGTATTCCTTGAAGTATGACGTATCTTACCAACAGTTGAGAATCTGATGGCCATTGGTGTTTTCTTGCCAATACTGCTAAACATCTTCATCTTGGTATACTGTGTGATGTCATGTGTCACTTCAAAGTAACCAAAAGCACCTGTAAAACATGACATCATATACATTGAACACTGAAGAGTGCGAGTCTGGAATGTTGCATTTCATCTACCTGTATAAGTGAAACACCTTTGGTACCTTTAAAGTGTTCTCCTTGGGAGGTGTTCGACTTACAGGGGCTCTTTTAATACAAAGTCAATTGGTCATGGGACCCTACAGATTTTACTGTACTTCATGTATGTATTTACAGTATGTACTTCTCTATGTAAAGACCAGTGACCTCATTAGACTAATATGAATGACGTACCAGCTCCTTTAGCATGCACCACTCTCTCTGGAATACGTTCCCGGCCAAAGTGAGCCATTTCATCAGTAAAGACAAAATCTTGGAGCAAAATGGGCCCCCATTTCCCCACTGTCAAACTGGCATTCTTGTTGCCAATAGGAGCTCCAGTGCTGGTTGTCATACGGTCGGGTTGCTGAAAAAAACCTCACCTATCAAAAGTTATAGTCTCTGCCTCAACTTAATTCCTCATTTACCTCAAACATCAACATTATCTCCCCCCCCCTTAACCATGCCTTGTTTAACTTCTACAGTATGGTAATAGGATTACCTCAAACATCAACATTATCTCCCCCTTAACCATGCCTTGTTTAACTTCTGCAGTATGGTAATAGGATCTTTTAAATCAAGGATAACTGAGCTCTACACCTTACAATAGGTTAGATTTACAGGGGTCCATCAATAGACTGCTGCAAAGGAGGCAATGAAATTGAGGGAGGCAAAAACCTGTGACTTTTAACATTATGACTTGGTATGGCAATGGACCAAAATTTTCTGGTATGAGAATGGTCGTGGACTACTCCACACTCTGTCAGACATTGATTGATCAATATTTACCCTGCAATCTCTTCTTTATGTATTAGTTTGAATGGTTGCATGATATCCATTATTGACGCTGTAAACCGAATTTTCCTGGGACATTTATTTCAAATTTTCAGAGCGTAAAGATAATGGAGTGTCCGATGTTTCTGAACATGTTTCTTCAGGTTGGTAATTAATTTTTATATCCATAACTGTTACTGTTTGATGAAACCTTAAATTTATTGTTTATTGACATATCGAAAACACTTTGTGTTTCATCCTCAGAGTTGACCCCGATCTTATCTTGTGACGTCAGAATGATCCTTATCACCATGGTGCTGAACTTTACATAAATGGCTGCCTTGACATTTACCCAAAATGCAAAAAACTAATCAGATCTAAATTTTCATACTAAGAATCATCCCTGAAAATTTGAAATTAATCTACCAAACGGTTCACCTGAAACAAGACTTTACAAACAAGATTTTAGGACGAAAAAAAGGAAAATGGCCAACAATAAAAAAGTGATTATGAGTTTTTGCTGATTTCTTTTTACAAAATTATCACATATAACTACCATTAACAATAACATAGGCTTTTACAACAAAGTACACCTGAAATTATTTATAAAGCTACTAAATAGTTAAAGTATGAAAACTCAAAAACACCATTCAATATGATACAAAGTATTATCGCAAGCTAACTTTTCTTAAGACATTAAAAATGGCTTCCATGACTGAGCTAACAGGTCCAAAACCTAATCAGTTGTAGAATGAAGTGAGCTGAACAAGATGATAAAGTTTGAAAAGCAACTGTGAAGCCATTTTTCTTAAAGTTTCCAGACAAGCCGGATTTTAGCATTTGACTTCAAAATGGCCGACAGGAAGTAGGTATTGAGTTAAAAAAAATTTCATCCACATCTGTATGCACTCATAAGTTATCCCTGAAAATTTGAAGGTGATATCTGTAGCGCTTTTGGAGAAAACTGCCGGACGTACGTACGGACAGACAGACAGACAAACAGACGGACGGACGCGCCTAGGCCGACAATATGGCCCCACACTATGTGGTGGTGGGGACATAATAAAGGATGCGTTTTCAAACTAAACAGAGTGCTCCTACCAAAATGAATTTGCCTACATACCCCTGAGACTCTTATCTGATAGATAGAATGCACAAAAAAACACAAGTTTTGCTATTTTAGGTAAAAAGTTCTCTTAAAATTTAGAAGTGATTTTACCTGTTAATTCTGTCATTGGTCCGCCATTTTTACGAGTTACACTGAAACGCAAACTCCATGAAACAAAAAGAAATCACTAGAAAAAACCATGGCACAAATTGTGCCCATGTGCAGCAAAGTTTAAACCAATCAGATTATTTGATTATTTTGCGCACATGAATTATTTGCTTCTGAGTGCTTACAAGCTTTCAACAGATAGGGGAGACCCTATCTGTTGCAAGACTAACGCCTGGCATTTTTAAGTAGCGCAAGGATCCTGCCATGACCATGGTAATGTTATCGTGAAAGCCTGGTATAACCGCGACAATGCTGTATCATATTGCAATGCCTGCCATGACTGTGACAATGTAATATAGTTCTGCAAGGCTTGGCATGACCGTGACAATGTAATATAGTACTACAAGGCCTGGCATGACCGTGCCAATGTAATATTATCAGCTATAACACGTGACGTTTCACACGTGACGTTTAGAAAAAATTCTAAAACAGTTCGCCGATACAGCAAAAATACGAACACCAAAAAAACGTACGCAATCCGTTCGACTTTTCACGCGAATCACGTATATGTCACGCATTCCGTTCGAAATTTTTCGTCACCTCTAATTTCAATAGTTCGTATATGTTGGTACGTGAAATTTTGATTATGAATTAAATCTGTAAATAGCTATCGTTACTTTAGCAGAGAGGTGACGTGTGTTAATTTACATGATGCAACTTGTAAGATTTTGATTATTAATCATAATTTAAGTTATCCCAACGTCCACTGAAGTGTATATTGTTACGTCTTACAATGTCATAGGCGATCGCACCCCACCCCATAACCTATGAGAATATGGCCATGATGATAGAGGAAGAAAAGAACCTAAAAATGCTTTTTATTTGAAGCTTCTAGCTCAATTTTGAAGGAAGTTACATACATTTTTGTATATTCAAAACAAATCTTACACGTTTTCTAATGATCTAAATATGTTATATAATCGTATTTTTCGTTTTTTGGGTACCCGGTTTTTTCAACCGGGTACCAAGTTTGAACCCAGCATGGAGGATTTACTACCCGGTACCCGCTTTTTTCTACAAACCCGTGTTTAGGCTTAACTACCATGTCAAAATCAAAATAACTACCATACATTAATATTTACATTCGCTTATAAACCACAATAAAGGCTACGGTCGCGCCAGGCTTCCACGATAACATTTCCAGGGTTATGACAGGCCTTGCAATTGTAGCATTGTCACGGTTATACCAGCCTGTCACGGTTATACCAGGCTTACACGATAACACTACCACGGTCATGGCAAGATCCTTGCACTACTTAAAAACACTGATTAACATGGCGATGTTTGTGGCAGGTGTAAGTCTTGCTTATCCCGTTCCATGACTATCCTTGCAATAGATAGCATGTGAGATAGGGTCTCATTTATTTACATTTTTAAAATTTTGCGCAAGAATAAAACTTACCCCTTTTTGCTTCTTGTAATCCGACATTTGGTCAAGGGCTTTATCACTTCTTCCAGACATGTTTACTGCTTTTAAAACGCTGACAATTTTGATTCTTTGGAGTGTTTTACAGATTCCGTGTTGCAAATATTGTAATGTTCTCGTAAGAAGTGACTTTCAATCTAAGTCCAAAGTTCAAGGTCTTTTTACATGCTGCCATCTATAATTACAGCATTGAAGGAAATGACACGTTCAGTTATAAACGCCATCTTTATAAGCCTACCTATTTCATTATCATTATTTGGAATTTATATTTCGATTCAGTCAAGACTTTCTCCGGTCTCCCCCCTTTCTCCTAGGCTGCACATTTATAAACATATGATCAAATATACACTCCCCTCCAAAAGTTTGAAACTTCTTCATATTTGAATTTTTATTTACATAACTTAGGCTACGAGGAAAATACTTGATAGAAATGTAAATTGACTTCATTTCCTATAAGCTTATGCCTCCAAATTTTCCCAATTTTTTCCTCAATTACAATAGGATGGTAAATCTAATGAATTTTTGAAAATCGACATTCCCATGTAGGCCTAAACCAATGGGAAATGGTAGGTTTGCCGCGAGTCATATGAGCTACGAGGAAAATACTTATGATATTGATAGAAATGTAAATTGACTTCATTTCCTATGCCTCCAAATTTTCCCAATTTTTTCCTCAATTACAATAGGATATGAAAATTGATGGCAAATCTAATGAATTTTTGAAAATCGACATTCCCATGTAAACCAATGGGAAATGGTAGGTTTACCGCAAGTCAAATGATGATGAATATTCATCCATCCGAGTCCTTGCAAAAAATACAAGTAAGGTAAGCTCAGTCCATTTAATTTGCTAATTTTATTGAATAATGAAATTGATACGTTTCTTCAGGTTTCAAAAAGCCTTATAGATCTTCAAAGTCAAACTTCCCACATTGAAATAACACATTAGGCGAAAATGGTTTTCAAAAATGACTTTTAAGCTCTGTAGGGGAACATGGGGCAAAACGGCCCTCTGGGGCAAAGTGGCCCATCGAAATATCTTTTGAACTATAAAAAGATGGTTCTTCAAAAGTCACAAAATTGAATTTTGAAATATCTGCCACCTTCTCGAGCGTCCATTTTTAACCAAGCAGCGTCTCGCTTTACGTAAGAGGTAATTCTACTTTCCCCCTCTTTTTTTGGAAATTACCCCTCTCACGAGAATCTCTAAAAAATCCGGCAACAATAGAATATCGTTTTGATTTAACATTTTACATAGAGTGTGCACATTTATTCTTTATTTGTAAAAATTTCGAGCTTCAAATATTAGGCAAATTAAAATGACGTCTATTTGAAAACTCACATGTCTTTGGGGCAAAACGGCCCACACATGTTATAACATACAAAAACCTTATTGTGCAAGAACAATTGGTTTTCAAATGTAACAATTTTAACATCTGGCTTGTGCCTAATTTCCTTCCGACACATATCGAATGACTAGAATTATGGTAGGCGTTAAGAATACTTTATCTGTCAAAGTTCTGAACGTCTGAGATAAGATGTTTGTGGACGAGTCTTGTAATTGATTAATTTTGGTTTCAAAACCCATGTAACAGAGGGTGGGCCGTTTTGCCCCACCCATGGGCCGTTTTGCCCCACTCTCGACAATATTTTTGACCATTGAAAAATCACAGAAGATAGTCCTAGGAAAGTATAAAACACTCGAAAAATGTAAACCACAAACCATTAATAAAGTGGAACATCAAAGTGCGCGATGATTGACAGATACGAAAATACCCCGTACAGAACAACTTAAAATTAATTTTTTGGGGCCGCTTTGCCCCATGTTCCCTCGTGTAGCTTAACTTTCGTATTCAAAAAGTAAGCTGAACACTCGGCACGTTGGATAATTCAATTTTCTTTATAAAAATATTTTTTGGTGAATCATTTACTGGATATATAGATATCCTGAAATCAGATTTGCCCCGAACACACCATTTCCTATTGGTTTACATAGGAATGACGATTTTCGAAAATTCATCAAAATTATAAAATTTCTATACCTTTATTGTATTGAGAGAAAAATTGGGGAAATTTGGAGGCATTGGAAATGAAGACAAGTTACATTTCAATCATGTATTTTCCTCACAAGTCAAGTAAATTATAAAAATTCAAATATAAAGATGCTTTAATATGTAATTCAATGATGAGGGAGATCCGAGCTAAGGGTGCCAAACTTTACTTGACTAAAGCACGAAAACTGTAAAAAGCTAAACGTAATATTTCCAATAAACACGGCTTTAGAAACGGGCAATCTATTTTATTTAATAAGCAACCAACGCGGTGATTAATTCCACGCATTCCTGACAAATAGGGTTCGGACCACTGGGATTCGAACGAATTTGGCGACCAGCCTTTTTACGTTTAAATTGTCTAGTTCAAAGTAGTTTCAAGATGTGGGACATCCTCCGAACACAGGCCTCCAGACTTGGGACCACATTAGTTATAATTTCATTTAGAAGTGATTAATTTACTTAGTAAACTTACATGTACTGCAATATCATAATATGTGCTTAAATACTAAGCAAATATTTCATTCTATGAAGGGCAATACCTGTTCATCTTTCAATGATTTTTGCAGTATGTATTGCCCGCAGCCCGTAGGGCGAGGGAAATACATGCTGCAAAAATCATTGAAAGTGCAACAGGTATTGCCCGAACATAGAATGAAATATTTGTTTTATTATATCATTGCTAGACATTCGCTTACTTTGCAGACTGCCCGGGCAGACTGGCACTCTTGTAATATTCCCCATCACTCGTTCGCAGTTCCAAAAAAATCGACTAAAATTCCATCCAGAACGATTTTATCGATAGATTTAACGTCTATTTCGTTTGTGGACATAACACTTGAAAATGTTCTAAGACATTAGATGTCATTCCGTTGATTTAATGGTGTTTTTAGAATGCACATCCCTCAAGATGTCGTTCTTTTCATCGGAATTCAGACTTTTAAATCTTTTTCCGTCTGCCATTTTGATGCATGTCACAACTGTACTGGACGAAACGGGACGATTCAGAATTCCCGGGCGGGCAATACGCCGGGCAATACGTCTTTTATAATTCCAAAATTAAGGGAGCTGTGAAATACGCTTTGGTATTTTTGATCACATGGTACTGAATCAGCCAATCAAAGGACACAAATTCTAGCAATGATATAATAAAATGACATATTCCGGGATATATCATGGAAAACCATGGTCAGGTCTCGTGATTAATGGCTATTTTTTAATGTATATTGATGTATATTTGTGTCCAGTTTAAAACTATGCATTTGAGTTTTCTGAAACTTTCTTTTTTTTAAGTAATACAACTATAAATAAGCAATAGCTCATTTCCCTCAAGAAAGACTTAATAATTTTGAATACAACTTTTCTTTAGTACTTTCAATTTAGATATATATAATAGGATTTATTTGTACCAATACAGGTACCTGTTGAAGCTATTTGGAATCTGAAAGTGAGCTTTACAGGGAAAGTGAAAGTCAGATTTCAGGGGTCACGTCATAAGAGTTTAGAAAAAACAATTTATTTCAAAGTTTTGTTCCAGAATTCTATTTGTTTACTACAGGCCTCCTAGACTTCCAACAACGCGAACGTCAGTTCTGACTGATCTCTTTTCGGATCTCTGTCCGTGATTGGAGAAATATGTTCGGGAAATATGTTCGGGATATCATATTTTAGAAAAAAATCCACAAACCATCAAGTATCACTTCTTAAAAAGTGATATTCGAGGGTGTCAAAAGAGAAATTCTATGATGCGCACCATCATTTCGATGGTGCGCATCATAGAATTTCTCTTAATTTGACACCCTCGAATATCACTTTTTAAGAAGTGATACTTGATGGTTTGTGGATTTTTTTCTAAAATATGATATCTGGATCCACATATATTCGTGTATCTCATACTTCAGTGGGGTTGGGGTTTTAAAAGCTTAACTTATTTAAAAAACGTTAAATGTTACAATTTCTGTGTATTGAACTAAAGGAAGATTACGAAAATGTTTAAATATAAATTGTGCTTTTACTATAGGCCCATCTAGTCATTTGAAAATGGTGGGAAAGGATATCTGCCCCAAACCCACTCAAGTATGAGATACACAAGTTACATATATACGGTCAGTTTTGGATATAGGGTACATCCCTGGGGAAATATTTATATGTCTCCTTGGTCCCATCGGTCTCTCGGGTAGATATAAATATATCCCTCAGGATATACCCTACCGTATATACAAAACCTCCCAGTACATAACCCTTATATTTTCACTATTCGATCTTCTACCTTGTAATCATGAAACGATATCAAACTATCAAAACGGATAACACGCTAAGCATTTTCAGATGGTAATATTTACTGAAGGGTAGGGTAGTGTCGTGGGTAGGGTCTGTGTTTTAGAATAATTTCAGTCAAGGCTACTAGCAACTTCTTAAAATGTCTTAAAAATCGTGTCAGGTGTATTTGGCCTCGAGGCACAGGTGTCTTACTGGGTGTCTCTCTTTAAATTAACTCTCCATTTGCAAAAAAGACCATCCTTTGAGTTACATGAATCGACGACCATTATAAAATAAATTTATGAACGGATTGCACGTTTATTTTCATTATGACTCTAAATTATATAAATCATTTTCGACAAAGTCAATGTCATTAAAGCACTTATCAACATATCTATAGATGTCACTGTCATTCATTTCCACGTCTACAACTCTGTCACTTTCATTGTGGTTGCTTTTCGCTAATTCACGATCTTTATCTATGTTATCATCTGTACTATTATATATATCATTGTCGACCATCTCAAACCCACTAGGTTCAATGCCATCACGATGTGCATTGTTTTCCTTATTGCTGACATCGTTGTGATCATTGTCTATATCTGTAGGGTGATCCTCAAATGTAACTTTCTTGGAGTTCTGGCCACTCCTTGCTTTACCCGCTATCACAGGATTTTTTTCAACTGGCGCCCCATCTGGTGGTCCAGTCGATAATTCTGAATACATGTCCTCGGTTCCTTTTAGTTTAGCACCAAGCTTAGCATTCATCGGTTCATTAGCCTCTTGTATAGTAGGGAGTCCTTTTTTATTTGAAGCTTCATCTTGTAGCACAGTTGTTTGGTCAGTACCAACGGGAGGTATTCTAATACCATCATAGCCGTTATCACTAGAAGGCATTCCATCCGGTGGAAGTCTCCTCATTGGCTCATCTGTGTATACGTATCCATAATTGCTATGTCCACCGTTATCAGATTTTGTCTCCGTATTATGCGTAACATAAGCATTTCCTTTAGCTTGAAGTTGCTGGTTGGAATTCATATTCGAGTCCAACTCGATCCTTCCATCGTTGGAACTCTTCCGTCTGGAAGAATCGGTGAATATATAATTGTTATTTAAACAAATTACACCAGGACTGTAGAATTAAATCAAATGCATTGCAATAGACTAGATGCGAGTAGATATAATATTGATTTATGTCATTAAATATTCAAAATTCAGTCAAAGTGATGTCATATTTGAAATCTACATCTAAAAGTACGTCTAGAAATATGGTTTCGAAATTTGTTTATCAACTTTGAAAATTTAATTTTTTGAAAAAGTAACTTTTAGTTCGGGGAGATTGATCCATAGACCCCATGTTATAAAATCACAAAAAGTGAAAAAAAAATTCTTGTATTGGACAGATAAATTTACTGGATAACTATTATACATAAGGGTGATATGAAAATTGAACCACTAAAACAGTCGCATCTGAGTTATTGGCTTTGTTACTTTACCGTTATAGTCCTTTCAAGTCACATACTTACTTCTGACGTTTTCTGACGACACATGCCACTAAGACCAGGATGACACATAAAATAGCGATGGCAACCACTATACCAATAACCAAACCTGTTGAAAAAGCATGTTATGTAAATAAATACTTCAGTTGGGCCAAAATATTAAGATCAATAGCTAACCATCATTTAAATGTTAGCAATACTCAATCTGGTGTACAGAATTCAATTTTCGGGAAAATGGTAATTCTCAAATCGAATCATTTTGAACTTTCGTCAATGTAACTTATTTCAATTTACCGGGTAACAGGGTAATTTTGGCGATACGATATGATATATGAAAAGTATACCTAGATCAAGCGCATCTTTATTTGATTCAGTTGGTTTAGTATTCAATGTTTGCGTTGTTATTATTCCATCGCCATCTATTGTATCAGCAGTTGTTGGTTCAATGTCAACATCACCTCCAGAGGTTGTGCCATCCGTGATAACATTTGTATTCTACAATTTTAAATGTATATATAACTATCAAATATTAATGTAGTATGGTGCCAGAGACATATAAATGTCTCTGATGGTACTAAGCCCCACTATACCCACCCATCATCCATACGTACATGTACATTCGTACATACATTTAAATAATACCATATATCTACACCTTTTGCACTTTATAAGTTTGGGATTCTATATATTCATTGATTCTACATAATACATAGATTTAAGAAATATAGACCGAATAGCAGGGGTAATATCGTCGAATACACCCGACAGGGCTAGGCACAAACGTTTTCTGAAACCCGAACGACCGAAGGGAGAAACGCACCTGATTCGAAGATGGGGTCGTGTAATCAGATGATGGTGATGTGCTTGTCTTTGATTGTTCACCAGACGTCACTGAGTATGTCGTTGTTTGGTTGTTCTTTGACATCGATTGTGTTGACGTTGTTTCTTGATTGTTCGATGTTATCGATTGTGTTGAGGATGTTGTTTGATTGCTTGATTTCACCGTTTCTATTGTCGATGCTATTGGGCTGTTCGATGTCATCGATTGTGTTGATGATGTCGTTGGACTGTTCGATGTCATTGATTGTGATGAGGATGTCGTTGGACTGTTCGATGTCATTGATTGTGATGAGGATGTTATTGGATTGTTTGATGTCATCGATTGTGTTGATGATGTCGTTGGACTGTTCGATGTCATTGATTGTGTTGACGATGTTGTTGGGTTGTTCGATGTCATCGATTGTGTTGATGATGTTGTTGGGTTGTTCGATGTCATCAATTGTGTTGATGATGTCGTTGGACTGTTCGATGTCAGTGATTGTGATGAGGATGTTATTGAATTCTTTGATGTCATCGATTGTGTTGATGATGTCGTTGGACTGTTCGATGTCATCGATTGTGTTGATGATGTTGTTGGGCTGATCGATGTCATCGATTGTGTTGATGATGTTGTTGGGTTGTTCGATGTCATCAATTGTGTCGACAATGTTGATGTTGGGTTGATTTTTGAGGTCAGCTGGTCCGTTGACGGTGATATTGTTGTCGAAGTTAAACAAACTTCATATTTAGGGGATGATGATTCTCCAACAGTTGAATCACAGTCCAACGTAATAGATCCAGCGTTCCGAGCTATAAAACATTTGAGGATACAATGTTGTTTCTGTATTTGTTCATTGCGTTATAATGTACCAGATAAGTCCTATGTTAAACACATCAACCCAAAGAAAAACATTAAACGACATTACAGACTTTACACTTAACATCAAGACTTACTTGAGTAAATAATGACAATGAACGACATTTAAAGTACCGAATTTTTTGTAATCATGTCGTATATTTCTAATAGTTCACTGAAGAATCTCTTGCATCAAGTCAATTTGATCCCCCTAGACCCTCATCCACTTCACCTTGCATCCAGAGGGCGAAGTGGATGATGGCTGAGACTAACATACCTCAAAGTACGTTACTCTCAGAGCATGGGCCACAAAGGCAAGATTAAAACAACAGTTTTGTGATAGTGATAAAAACTTGTAACCAATGCAGGTTATTTATCCATTTACTTCCATGTACTTACCTGCTATCACAAGCCACATCATATAAAATGATTGAGCGATCGAAATGTTTATTGGCAGGTTCCCTTCATAGACTACTTCACCAAGATTACTCTCAAACTGTCCAAAAGGAACCAAGCATTTCCGCTCTCCACCTTGAAGAACGACGCCATCACCCGTGTTGAATCCAACAGATCGCATTAGTGTGATGACTGCGTCCCCTTTATCAGCATCAGTTGATGATATCGCACACGAACAAGGCGACCCAGATTCTGTTGCAGGGTACATTCTATTCATTATATGGATTTCATTAACTGCACTTGATAGTGAATTACAAATAGTAGTTATTTTTCTAGCTGGAATAAATGAAAACCATTATTAATCATTCACTCAATGAACTTGAATATGGAGATTTTAGACTATTTTGTAAATCAAAATCGCGATTGTGCAACAAAACTTCGAGCAAAATTCACAATTTTTAAACAAAGCAAATATTCCCATTTCAAATGAAATATTCAAAGAAAATGTCTTATCAGCTATATTTTAGATCATGGTGTATCTGCTGAATGAGAAGGATTCAAACAACATGGGTAATTTCATATCAGTTTAATCAGGCTAAAGATTGGATGAAGAAAAGAAATAATGGTTACACAAATTTATTTTAGAAATTAAAACATTCTGAAACTCATCACACTTTTTGTTTTGAAACCAGAAATTAAAAAGGAACTAAAAATAAACGAATGCGATCTCTCAAGACAGATGATATCATATAGAGCCCATATAGAATGTAGGCATGGCAAAGGTTGATATCTAGTACTAGAAATGCAGAAGATTTTGAAAGTAGCTCTCTTTTTATTTTATGCTTCTACTTTTAAGTTAAGGCTTGTGGATGATTTTTGGATTTATATAGGCCGAACCTACAGCTATGCAAAGAAATACTATTTGCACAATGAATCTGTCGCCTACCTGGTACACATTCATATTCCAATTGAATATATTTTGAATTTCCAGCACAACCAGTTGTAAAATTCGGAACCACGTCCTCAAAGGCCGAGTAATTCTTCCTCATAAACCGTTCGTAGAATTCCATGTGTTTCACAGTTTCATCTCTACAGTGTGTCTCCAGGTATTCACATGTACCATTTCCTTCATACGCCCCTTGGATGTATTTCGTGAGTCTTATCATACCACCATTTGGACATTTCCCTGATATGGTCTGCCCGGAGCATCCTGTTACTGTCGTGGTAGCTGCAGTTACTGGATAGAAATAAAATTATCAAACAACTGTAAAACTAATGCAAAATGCACTAAACCATTTATACATTTCATGTCACAATTTGTAGACGAGATGAAGTCACTTGGATTGACTCATATTAAGGTTTATAGAACAAATAGACTAAATAGAATAAAAAATAGTTACTAACCTGTGTTTGGGAACTGAATAGTCAACAGTACAGTAATAATTATCAGCTGAATACAACTACAGGACCGATTCTCCATTTTGTGTCCTACTGCGTCTCCTACACTATTCTATTGGGCGTTCCGATTTAAGTAGAGCGTATTTCAAAAGATGTATATTTATTTACTGTTTGTTAAACTGAAATATAACTACAACAAGGAAGTACACGTTAAACGACTTGAATGAATTCAAAAATTCACACATGTATATGAATTGTGCGCGCACATAATGAGAGGGCTACTTTTTATTCAAAAAAGTTTTTATGTTAAAATTGACAATTTTGTTTTAAGATTGAAACTTTAACTGTTAGTTAAACGATGTAGAACGATATAAATACAGACTACAGAGTAGCTGTGTATTTAGTACTTGGACCAACCAGTCATTCATGTTTACATTATTCTTGAGAATCAAAGCGGTGATTGTATTTTAAAAGGCGCGGTTACCATTTAGTATTTTGCAAAAAATGTCACATTTTGACGTCTTATGACTTAGTACATGGCGTTTTATTCAAGTTAAAATCAAAAATCTAAACCGTGGTTTTCTTTTCTTAAAATATACGTGTTTTAATATTTTGAGCTGAAATCATTCATTGTGATGTATATATTCTAATATGGACCTTAATGCCGGAAATTCAGTGCCATTTAAACATTTTTGGACTCCCCATCAAATATAAGTCAAGAATGTGTATATTTAGTATTTTCATGGGGGTAAAGCAGACACGATGATATTATAATCATTTAAGACCTATGTTGAGCTGAACATACCGCTGAGCTCGCCAATACATCAAGCCCCGTGATAAAGCCGTGATACCGCCCAGCAAGCTCATGGTATCATCGGGTCCGCTTTACCCCCATGGTTTTTGCCTGATTGTTTGATACAGAACATGTAATTGTTTGATACTGAATATGTAATTGTTTGATACTGAATATGTAATTGTTTGATACTGAATATGTAATTTAATGTGTAGTTGTATAATTTTTAAACATATATAGAGGATGTCCTTTGATTTTAGAGGGATGTTATTTTTATCCATGAGAGGATATCGCCCATTTTCTCTAGTGAACGCAGCGACTGAGTGAAGATGGACGATGTCCATGAGTGGATAAAAATGATAGCCCGAGAAAATCATAGAATATCCTATTTATTCTATGGAAGTCTTGTCAATAATTATTCAAAATACGTTGGGCAAATGTCTTGCACATTTAATTTTACACTTTGATTCCGATCCGCGAAATGTCAATAATCCTTCAAGATATGTTACACCAAGTCTGGTTTTATATAAAGTAATTGCATGAAAACATTTAAATCATTTTAACCACAATGCTTGGAACTACATGTATATAGCACTTCAATAGGTCAAGGCTGTTATTTATCAAACCATTTTGGCGTTAAATTCAAAACTTACGATAAGATAGTATCCATTGGATACGATTGGATATCTCCCCTAGGAAAATTGAAATGGAATTGCATTTGAAGCATTCTAGAGTGTTTTAAAATACGAAATTCCGACTAATATGGACTGATAAAATGTAAATTGTTGGAGTAGGTAGTCCCCAGTTTCACCACCAGATGGCTCATTCGGGTCAGATAGCATGGCGGGTATAGTAGAAAGTTCCCCTTAACTTAAATATTATCAGTTTTAGTGGTTCAAGTTTCATATCACCCTTATGTATCTAATACAGACCTGCTGATCATGAAGGATGTAAAGTATATGCCCAGTAAAAGAAAATGTTAACTGTTCAATACAAGTAAAGATATTTAACTTTTTGTTGGGATTTTATAACATGAGGCCTATGGGAATCTCCCCGAACTAGAATTCACATTCCCCCCCAAAAAAAAAAGATTTCGAAGTTGATAAACAATTTTCAAACCCATATTTCTAGATGTACTTTAACATGTGAATTACAATTATGACATCACTGACTGAATTTTGTAAATCAACCTTATTTCTACTCGCATAGCTAGTCTATTAAATGGACTCTTTTTAAATGTGAGACAATTCTCTGTAAATCAACTAACTTTTCCCTAAATTTTGAGAGAACGCCATGACGTTTTATGCGTATACTACGCCAGTGTGGTATATAACAGACTGGGAGGTTTCAAAAAATTTCCATTTTGTATCAAAATTGGACAATACACGATCCATGTGAAACTTTCTACTTACTATTTCAATGGGAACTTTCTACTGGGGACACACAACTTATTGATCCTTCCGCTAGAGTGGGAAGAGGAATAGATGGCATTTGAAAAACAAGACTATAGTCAAATTATTGTAATTAATTAGCATCACCAGTGGTTTGATTTTGGTAAGTACATGAATGAAAAAGTGTATGTATGGACCAACTCTAACACATGATTTTATGTGAATGGGGTGCATTTTCTATAGGAAAAATCAGTGACAATTTTTTTCTTTTAAATAGTCTTCATTTCATTTATTTACTAAATATATAGGCAGTACATGATTTATAAAACAAGTTTACGTAATCTCATTGCAGTAGTTTGGATAATGAATTCCATTTGGAACAATTTTTTCTACAATTAGTTTCATATTTTATCATAAAAAGCATCTTTTCTTGAAACTGTTCTTTGTTTTTTTACTGTTCAGTTTAAAATGTAAGATTTGTAAATGCTGTAAGCAAGTATACTTGTAAAATAATTCTAAAAATTACGAGTATGAGAGTCTTGGCCATTGTAACCAATTATTACTATTTTTCTATAGGAAATATTGAGACCACATGTGTTGTATATAAATTTCCATATATCCTTTGACAAACAACATTTATTCAAATAGAATATGTTTCAAATCACATAAGTGATTACAAATACTACAATGATCATGAATATATAAGCATACCGTAGATAAATTAATCAGTTAAACCAGGAAGTATATTGTTAATTAGTTGAATTTTTGTCTTTAACTTTGATGATCTTGCTAACAAAAAATGTTGCCATTTTATTTCATCTATTTCCCATTTCTTTGAGACAATCCGTTTTTCAGATTTTTTATTCTTCAATATAAAAGAAATCGGAGAGTGACAATTTTTGACATTTTCTATAGATGGCGTATTCAACAGGCGATATCTTTAGATTTTCATGGGGAGTTTTGGTTCAAACTTTTTTGACTGACAGTGGGGTGTGATGCATGATAGCATAACATGTCCACAAATCTTAGTTTTCTCTGAAAGACAAATCATTTAGATGGGCCGCATGTTATAGAATTTGGTTGTGTTAGGCCACTGTATCCGCCATGCTATCTGACCCAAAGAATGAGCTACCCGGTGGTGAAACCGCTGCCTCAGGTGCTCCCTGGGTAATAGGCTACTGTGTGAGGCTCATGGAAATGCAAGAATACAGAATCTTGTATTTCTTAAAGCCTCACACTCTTATTACCCAGGAAGCACCTTTGGAAACTACTGACTACCTACTCGCATCTGAGTCATTGACTCATTACATGTGATGCACATTGCACACCCGGGGATTCAAATCATCAATTTAATTTCGTGATTACAAAAACCCATCATGTTCTAACGAGTCGCAGCTTTTACGTACACGAGAAATCTTGAAATAAATATTCGCGTTTTATTTCAATTATTTTCACCCATTAAGGTCAGGGTGCATGATGGGAAATTTTCTGCATTCCTCAATTGAGTCACATGTTATTTTTCAAACAAGAATCACTCCTTCCCTTCATTGTCTATATCTTCCAGTTTTGCACAAAGAGTGCACTTATGTGCCTAGAAAAGACTTGTGAGAAGAATGTTTTGATAAAGTGTATAAAAAACAAGAAAATTCAGTGAAAAAAATCAGAAAATTTTCGGAAATTTTTTTCACTGAATTTTCTCATTTTTTATACATTTTACAAAACAAACCTTCTCACAAGGCTTTTCTAGGCACAGACGTGCACTCTTTGTGCAAACTTGGAAGATGTAGACAATGTGGGGAAGGAGTTATTCATGTTTGAAAAATAACATGTGACTCAATTGAGGAATGCAGAAAATTTCCCAACATGCACCCTGTCCTTAAAAGAGCTCAGAATGGGGACTGGGCACTATGCAAGAAAGAAACAACACAAGGGGGATAAGCCACTGTCTACAAAATACAGAACTCGTAGAAAAACAAAAGATTTAGACCAAATTCATGATGACATGAAACCGGAAGTGAGTAAAAAGTTGTTAAAACAAGATGTTGACCTTGATTTACCTGGATCTGGACAGTTCTACTGCCTACACTGCTCGTGAGTACTTGTATTAAATTTTATAAGCGCGCTATAAAGAATCATTTACATTTAAAGCGTCATTTGGGTCTACCACGCCAATATCTCACTGACCAATTTTCTTAGATCTGAAGCACCTGAACCTGACAGTGACATCTATTGGTGACAGAACCACAGGAATATATCTCTTATTACTTCCTGTGAAATCTATGTGGATTTTGATATAATAGCTTTCCCACCGCGCACTTGGGCAGCTGAATAATAGTGACCCTTGAAACACGAATTAAGTCGATCAGTGGGTTACTTTTGGTCTCTAACTGTGTCTTCCATCAGTATCATCAATCCGTGCAAGTATTGAAGCGCTGAAATACTTCTTTTTCGATCAAGACTTGTAAATTGTTCATCGAGTGAATGTTTTCTCGACCCATTTCCAATATGGCCGTTTGCTAGGAGCGAGATACGCAACAATCAAAATGAATTTTGAGAATGAGTTAGGTTTTGGCAACCTCCGGAGATTTACAAAAATGTCCGTGCAGAAAACACCATATTGGAATTTGGCAGAAAAAACATTCACTAGACTAACAATTACAAGTCTTGATCGAAAAGGAAGTACTTCAGCACTCCAGTACTTGCACGGAAGGATGATAATGATGTATGACATAGTTAGAGAACAAAAGTAAGCCGCTGATTGATGCTGATCGACTTAATTTGTGTTTTAAAGGTCACTATTATTCAGCTGTCCATTTCCCCGTTCGAGAGCGATAATTAAGTTTCAAAATCTAACATGGCTCTCAAAGTGAGTAAATCTCTTATAGAGCTCTATAAGGAAAGTAATCATCACTGGAAAATCACAAACCCTTTTTAAAAGTTACAAAATTGTTATTTTTCTATGATTGTGAGCCTTCATATTTTTTTAGCATAAAATTTGATTCACCATCGATGGATTATGATAATTTGATAACTGAAGTGTGCCGTCTTTTCGTATGTCAAAACTACGGTTCTGGTTCCAAAATTTCATTACTCACCTTTCATTCATTTATCGCTAGTTTTGGCACAAATAACAATATGAAAATTGCAGAGATGCTTCATTCACATCTTCGAAATGTATTTGCAACTGAATTTCCATGTTTTACTTTGTTTGAACGGTACAATTTGCAATGTTTTGTATCTGAGGGTAAATTTAAAAATATTTTCAAATAAATGGAAACGAGGCTGTCCAATTTACCCGTCAAAAATAATTCAATTTGGTGCTCAGTTTTTCGTCTCAATATCACTAGTTTCTATTGGATATTTCACACTCCGGATGTTAAGTTATTTCTTGAAACCTAACTCGATCACAAAGCTCGATCAATAAGAATTTTAAATATAAATAGATTTTTTGAACTGCTGTGCTCCAAAGATATGAGATCTATTAAAATAAAAAAGACCCACCATCCCCATTCCCATTTTTCACTCTTCAGAGATATAACATCCAATTTCTTACTAAATTAATGAGTTCATTTTTCAAATACGCGAATCCGTGTAAATGTGTTCTTAAAGTCATATTAATCCCCTCTTTGAAAAGCTTACAATGACATTGGTTTTGTGATAATAACGTCCCTTATAAGTATTTATTACAGGTTGTGTAGACCATTGTTGCCTGATTTATAGCAAAAACATTAAGTTTTGCACATTGGTGATGATGCGCCTTTTTAAATAGCCTAGATCTCATATCTTAGAAGCGTGTCATTTCAAAAAAATCCTAGAAGACCTTAAATTATTTTACCATGCCATGCATCTATTCAATTAGCAATACAATTGACTGTAAACTTTTTCTTGAAAAAATGAATCTTCCAGATTTGTTAAATTTTCTTGCAGAAATTGCCGCATTCCCCCGTTCATTCTGTCCGATCAACAGGCATGCAAATACCAGTGGACGGATTTGGTTCAAATTTTATGCTGATACCTATGGGACAAATGAGCTCTGTTCAAGAAGAATTTTTTAAGATGGCCACTATTTATCAAAATATTTTTTGTTTGGTGGGATTTGCTACTCCATGAAGTTGCTGTTTTCTAGTTTCCTTACTTTTTCTGGAAAGTACCCATGCATTGTCATCTTTAAGAATTTTTTTTTCAAAATGTTCCAAATTAGGTTTAGCATGGACAGTTTTGTTTTCACTCCTTAATATGATCCCTTTCACTTCTATTTAACTAAAATAATCACAATTTTCCCTTTAAATGGTGCTTTAGGGTCCTGTTATTCCCCTCCCTCAGACAATAATATATGATCTATTAGATACCAAAGTAATAATGTATTTAGTCTTCTTAGTAGTAATTTATTTATTTTTTGTAGAAAGCACTTCATCGGTGACAAGGCTCTTAAAGACCATTTCAAGAGTAAGCCCCACAAAAGAAGGTATGTGTACTTCAGCTCTTATATATAATATTGGTATTTATAACACCATTGTAATCCCAACCACAAATGTTATTTAAAAATCTGATAGCTTTAATCTTAAAATTGCTAATTTGCTCACTAAGAGTTATCTGTTTTACCCACTTTGTATACCAGAAAGATTTCTGGCAAATTTTAATTGTACAGGGTGTCAAATAAATATGCTCTACCCCCTGAAACTTTAACATCCACATAGTGTTGCATAATTTTTGTCTGAAAGATATCTGAATTGTTCTTTAGTACATTAACACTAGGCTTCATAGAGCAACTCTACAAGAAGTTTAGATGACTAGCTCAACTAGATGCACTTTTATGCATAAAAGTTCATTCACCTGAAATTAAGGGGGGGGGACATATTTATTTGACACCCTGTACAAATACAGTTCTTTGGCAATATGATTTTCATGGAACCCAAACACTGACTTATATTGCAGGATGAAAGCTCTCTCTGTAGAGCCTTATACACAGGCTGAGGCTGATAGGGCTGCAGGTATGGGATCCTATGTTGCTCCGAAGAAGATAAAACTTGATACATCTGCAACTGCAACAGACACTTCTAAAATGGATGAGACAGATGATGTTGAAGTAAAGTGATAATTGATAAAAGGACTACAAGGGAACATTGATTCATGGAGCAGCATAAATAGATGGCATGAGGACCTTATTTGTAAATATAGATAAATATTACACTTATGTGTGTTCCAGAGCTCATTATTTTTGAAATAGGACCATTTAATATTTGGAAAGATTGGGTCCACCATTAGAAACTCCTTTGTTTGATTTGATTTTAACAATCTTTAAAGGAATTCACTTATACTTAATATCAATCCTTGCTGCAAGGATGGATTTGAATGCCTAGTGAGGTAACAACTTGAATTTAGCTATTTAGAAGTTCCAAGAAGACGTCATGGTTAAGGAAAGTGTAATTACTAGTTTATTAACAAAACAAATAAATGAGAAGATAATTGAAACTAATATAAAGGATATTGTTCCTTGTTGAGGGTGAAGGCTGAAGAGCATACCCACTACCCAGAGGGGCATATACTGTAACTAATAATGTAAAATGTGTTCCATAATTCTTTTTTACACAGATACTGATTTCTGAATGAAGACAATGTGTCATGCTTGACAAATAATAACAAAAGTACTCCATAACTTCTGATGTCAAAAGACAATATTTCGCGCTTCAAATGATTTACATTTAAAATATCAACTAGAAACATAAAACAATAATATAGAAATAGCCACCTTTTTGGATTTTGAACTAAATCAGTGTCATGTCTTGAATATTTTTTTGCAATTCAACCATGACAATTACATATTTGTAAGAAAATCTTTCATGATTTTCCCTTGGGATTGTGTATAATATATCCCCCTGTCTAACCTGATTCAGGATACTAATTGTCAGAGCTGTTGATGAACAATATCTTCAATATTTCTCATTGTTAATATGAATTTCTAAAATATTGTTGTTTTTATCAATTTAAACTTTCCAATAACTGGAAATGCACGCACCAAAAACACCAGGGATTTTGGCGAGTATTTAATTAACGCTCGCCAAATAAAAGACAAATACAGTAACACTCTGGAGGGACATATGGATGGACATAAGGAGTCATTCTTTATATCTCTTGAATGAGGAGATAAGCCCATAAGAAGTAGATTCTTCGTTTTGCATCCCCTTGCTTGCACGATTTTGAGTAAATCAGAAAAACAAACACATCCAAAAAGCAATCACAAGGGTCTGAAAGTACCATCACATTATTATCGCACTTTGAAAAAGTGCTATATTGTCGTCGTCTTGTGCTGTTGGGCGGGCGTTTGGGTGTGCGGGCGTGCGGGCGGGCGGGACATAAACCAAATCTTGTCATCAAATTTCCAGGATAACTGCTTACCTGTTCAACTTGAAATCTTTACAGATGCAAGAGCAGACTAGTACCAAGATCTGATTAGGTTAAGGGCATGCTGGGTAAACTATGTGGCGGCCATTTTGAATTTTTCAACAAATCTTGTCATCAAAATTCCAGGAAAACCACTTATCCTTTCAACTTGAAATTTTTACAGATGCAAGAGCAGACTATTGCCAAGATCTGATTAGGTTTTGGGTATGCTGGCTGAATTACATGGTGGCCATTTTGAATTTTTGAATTTGGCGGCCATTTTGAATTTTTCAACTTGCTCTAAATTGACCAAATTTTTTTTTTAAAAACATCTACAAGTTCTCAGAAGTTCAAATCTGACCTTAGATTTCAGATTTGACCTTTCATTCACCATCAGTGACCTTGAAAAGGTCAAAAAAGTTGATTTTCTAAATTGATATTTTGGATTTAAATTTAGGTCAGCTTAATTACAAAACACCTACTGAGGTCTGAAAAAGTGAAATTTTTAAGGTCGAAAGTCAAGGTCATTAAACTAGGTCACAAATGATGTTATCCAAGTTTCTCAAAGTTTGAGACTACAAATCAATTCTTGTCATCAAAATTCCAAGAAAACCGCTAACCTGTTCAACTTGAAATTTTTACACATGCAATAGCAGACTAGTGCCAAGATCTGATTAGGTTAAGGGCATGTTGGGTAAACTACGTGGTGGCCATTTTGAATTTTTCAACAAATCTTGTCATCAAAATTCCAGGAAAACCACTTATCCGTTCAACTTGAAATTTTTACAGATGCAAGAACAGACTATTGCCAAGATCTGATTAGGTTTTCGGGTATGCTGGCTGAATTACATGGTGGCCATTTTGAATTTTTCAATTTGGTGACCATTTTGAATTTTTCAACTTGCTCCAAATTGACCAATTTTTTTTTTAAAAAACATCTACATGTTCTCAGAAGTTCAAATCTGACCTTAGATTTCAGATTTGACCTTTCGTTGACCTTCAGTGGCCTTGAAAAGGTCAAAAATTTGATTTTCTAAATTGATATTTTGGATTTAAATTTAGGTCAGCTAATTCGACCTTGAAATTTTCAAGGTCGAAGGTCATCAAATTAGGTCACAAACAATGTTATCTAAATTTTCCCAAAGTTCAAGACTACAAATAAATTCTTCTCATCAAAATTGCAGGAAAACCGCTAACCTTGTCAACTTGAAATGTTTACAGATGCAAGAGCAGACTAGTGCCAAGGTCTGATTAGGTTTTGGCCATGCTGGGTAAATTGCATGGTGGCCAGTTTGCTCTTCAAAGTGCGATATTTATCACTGTGTGTCTTGTTTTGTTCAATTGGAATCAGAAATGACAGACAATTTGATGTGCGTCAAAATTGACAGTGTTATTGATTACTTTGGCATACTTTGTGTACTTTCTTATTTTGGTTACCTTTGAACTATGTTTAAATATATTGTATATGATGTTTAGATATGTGTTTGTAATCACTGCAAATTGGTATGTCATCCCTTTTTATGCTCATAAAATGTATACATTTCTTAAGCAAATCAGTTTGCGAGTTTGTGTTTGTTTTCCTTGTACCCTTGCATGATTTGGATTTTACCATGACGCAAAACAAAGAATCTACTTCGTATGGCCTAATAGAATAAATAAATGATATAAACATTGACAGACATCTTATTAAAAATGTAAATATTTTATTTCACTACAACGTTACAAAATTGAATACTGAGTAACCTCTAAACATTTTGATTATCATCTAAAAACTGAGATAGAGAAACCCTATCATAACAATTATGCTGAACAATAATGAATTTCAAAACATATTTTCATTCCTTGATTATACAACAGTTGCCCTGATTGTCAGAGCCCAGTACACTATACCGTTTTGATGCTGATAAGATGGTAAGAATTAAAATATGGATTGGATCGAGTGGATTGGTTTAATTTGAAATTTGGTTTTTTGCAAAACATTTTTTTTTAATTTTGATCATTGACTACACTGTAGTAGAGGGTTGTATTGTACAGGGTAACTCAAAATGTTATCATCTGGCTTTTGCTTTCTATGGATGACATTAACGGATTAATTTTTAAACAAGAAGGATACTTGTATATGGTTATTAATGTAGTTGACTTAGTTGTCACATACAAATGAATGTACAATGTACTTTTATGCATCATATGTTCAGCCTAATACTTTTAAATTGAGCTTGTAAAAAGACTAGATGCGAGTAGAAATTATCTTGATTTATGTCATTAAAATTAAGAATTCAGTCAAAGTGATATTATATTTGAAATCTACATGTAAAATTACATCTAGAAATGTGAAAAGTGTTCATCAACTTTGAATATTTAATTTTCTTTGAAAATGTGAGTTCTAGGGTTGAGGAGATTCCCCATAGACTTTGTGTTATAAAATCACAAAAAGTGAAATATCTTTTCTAGTATTGGACAGATAATGTTTTCCTTTACTGGACATATTTTAATTTGCATAACTATCAGATACATGAGGGTAATATAAAAAGTGAACCACTAAAACTAATGAATATTCAAGTTTAAGTGAACTCTGCAATACCCTGCCATGTTATCTGGCCCGAATTAGCCACCTGGTGGTGAAACTAGTAACTACCGACTCGCATCTTGGTTATTGAACTATGAAAATTACATATTTTGCAAATTCTGTATTCAATCAACCTTGTACATGAAACCAATCCAATCCAATCCTCTCGATCCAATCCATATCTTAATCCTGACCGATAAGATCAATAGTAGTAATGGCATATAACAAGTTTCATTATGTTAGACTTGGTCAGTAACGTGGGCAGTCATTTGTACGGAATGGTTGACGTTTTTAAGACGAGTGAACGTACTGGACTAGATGACTTGGTTAGTTGTATGGAATGGTTGACGTTTGTTATGATCGTATGGACTAGATGACGTGATCAGTTTTATGGAATGGTTGACGTTTTGTAACTAGACTAGATGACGTCCGTTAGACGAGTGAACGCACTGGACCAGCTGATGTGGTCAGTTGAATAAAATGATTGACGTCCGTTAAAGAGTGAACGTACTGGGCTAGATGACGTGGAATATTATGTGGAATGATTGAATTATGCTAGACGACTCGAGTGAACGTACTGGGCCAGATGACGGCGTCACTTATATGGAGTGATTGATGTTTGCAAGACGAATGAACATACTGGGCCAGATGACGTGGTCACTATCATTGACTTAGGCTAGACGAGTGAACGTACTGGGCCAGATGACGGCGTCACTTATATGGAGTGATTGATGTTTGCAAGACGAATGAACGTACTGGGCCAGATGACGTGGTCACTATCATTGACTTAGGCTAGACTAGTGAACGTTCTGTGTCAGATGACGGCGTCACTTATGTGGAGTGATTGATGTTTGCTAGACGAGTGAACGTACTGGGCCAGATGACGGCGTCACTTATGTGGAGTGATTGATGTTTGCTAGACGAGTGAACTTACTGGGCCGGATGTTGCAGAATATCTGTTATTCACACGAGCTGATTGAGATGACCTGACGTTTGAGCAATGGTTGTGGTAAACCTTCAACAAGCTACATGGGTTCCTCAAATTGTATTTCATCATATTTTTAGTAACATGCATTAGGACGTTTTCTGCACCCCAACTGTTCATAGGATAATCCAATATTGTAAGTGCGTTTGGGGGAAATGGACTGTGCATATAGAACATGTGAGTGTCATGAGATCCTACGTATTTTATGCAATAGTTCCATAACTGGCACGACGTTTTATTCCGTGGTCCCTGTCTACTTAATGAATAACTGATCCGTCTGTCTTTCACGTACTCCATTTTAATATCTTCAAATCCCTCACCGAGTGATATGTCAGCGTTTTGGAACACCACTATCTTGCCTATAAGGTTCTCGGATGCATATTCAGCAAGCATTCTGTATGTTGGCTTACCATTTATTTCTGAAAAAGTAAGGAAAGAGTCCACCAGAGATGCGTTTATCCGAAATATCGTCTGATTTTTAATGGATTGTTTGACGTTCACTGTCTCCACCAAGAGATGTATCTGTTCCACACACGGGTGATCAATGTTCATCTTTAAGCTAGCTAGGTATTCCCTGTGTCTATTACGTCTGTTGAGAGCATCTTCGTGCGTGTATCCTCTACTGGCAAGGTATGTGTCATTTGCCAGTAAATCAGGAAAACTTGTTACAATATTCAGCATTACTTCACAGTATTTACTTGAATGATTCAAGCCCTGTGTTGTTTTTTGTTCGTCATTTTCTTGCTCAGCTCGTGGAATGGGCATTGCCCTAGTTGACATCGGTGTGTCTTGTTTGTCTTGAGTGTAAACATAAGTCATCATTGATATTGCGTAGATAAACATCATTGCAAGTAAGACATTGACGATTGTTTTCCATCCTAGTTGGACACGACGCGAGATGAACTGCACTGCCATCGTACAACTGAAATCAAAATTCAATTCAATTGATTAGGTTTTTGAACAAATCTTCATATATTACAATCCTATAATGTTTTTGTGAGTCAATAGAAGGACCATAGTGAAATGATTTCATGGATTACATGCATTCATATACATACCCATGAATTAAGAACATTTCACGAGGAAACCTAGGTTTCCACGTGAACATGTATTAAATATTTTAATAAATGAGATTTGAACGGAAAATGAGTTGAATTAAATACGTGGACGTTTTTGTCTAATTGAAGATGCACACCTTTTAGACGTCAACGAAAATTGTATCCAGCAACGCACATCTTTCCAATAATTGCAAAACGTCACGAAGATTTCGTCTTCGTATCACTATTATTAGTGCAATATTCTGGTCAATACATTCTGGTCAATAAGCAAGATAGCCATTCTATATTTAACATCAGGTGAATGGTATTTTGATCTGGACCTATAGTGATTTTTTCCCCATCATCAATTTGATCATTTCAGAATGGCCATGTGAAATGTAAAACATCATATTTATACGAATGCGGTATCATAACTCATCAAATATCATGTACTATTCTCACCTTTGAAGTCTAGTTCTAGATCTTTTGCCGAATTTTTGTCAATATTCGGATTTTATAATACACTCCAGATATAGATTTCCTCTTTCTGCATTTACGATTCCAATATTGACCAGTGGCCTACCTCAGCTGCGTTTTCCAATAACAGACTAATAAGTCACCTAATTCCATTTGCCAAGTATTATGGCTGAGCACATGGTATTCTAATTTGTGATAATAAATACACTGTTGGTCAAAAATATGGAATATGGGCATTTCACAAAAATCAGACAGAACCATAAAAATTGCACGAGAGTATGAAAGAGGGATTGTTCTAAAATGTCCAGTTAAAAATGTATTCCAGGAAATGTTTAATCAGTCTGAAGAATATGCTAATTTACTTGAATATTCTCCAAGAGTTAATGGATTCTGACAAACTGACAAAGCAATTCCTGGGAAATACATCCTCCGTACGCAGGGCTTCAAAATCCAGAATATCTTCTTTCTTTGTACCAGTTTACTGTACGTATTCTGGACACCTACTTATGGTAAGTAACAAGGCAATAGAATGTACTGACAAGAAGGTAATATATTAACATATTATATAATATCCGATCGATTGCTAAAAGCCAGTGAGCGTCATCTCGCAATTACAACCAGCTTAGTAGTCCGGATGTGAAGTGCCATATTTTAAGTGAAGGTGGAAATGCTTATTATATGAACTTTTTTTGCATTTTCTGTTTAAACATGATATCCATATTCAGAAACTGTCGGATGCCCAACGGGCATCCTTGAGGATTTTTTTGGCGGCCATTTTGAATTTTCACACGTTTTATGTATTTTAGCCAGCATATTAGAACAGAAAACTAGCATACACATACACAAATCTTGCTGTTTTTTCTATAATAGAGTTTTAATATGATGTATACCAATATGTTAGGTTCCAGAAATGTTTCTTGACAAAAATAAAAAAAATTCAAGATGGCCGCCAACCTTACAATTTATGAAATGTCTCATTCTGTGATAATGTCAAATTGATATTAGTGTTTCCTACAAAATTATCAATAAATAATACTAAATACATCTGATTATGATCTCTTTCTCACATATAAAATATCTGAAATGAGTAAAAAGTAACCTACATAATAATAATGATGTTCCACAAGGGTCATTTCTAGGTGCTATATATATCTTGAATTTATGAATTATCTTCTTTTACTAAGATTTCATCAAGGATTTCCCTCAATAAATCCTCATCATTTTCTTCCAATTCCTGGTCAGTAACTGTCTTTGTATGTTGGTTATTGCATTCATTCCCCTTGCAAACACAGAACAATGTACATGATAAAGATGCCTTGGAGCATGAACATCGCCCAGTTCTACATACATTGCCCTCTGATGCACATGTGCACTTAATGAGCTGGAGAATTCCTTCAGGGGCACAGGGTGTATCCTTGGGCATTGTTGTTGGGACAAGTGAGCCTGTGCTCTTAATTTCCCAACCATAATCTGTTGGAAGGATAAGTGGGGGGTCAGGCATATCAGCATTTTTCCATATAGCTACTTGGAAATGAGCTTGCTTCACATGCTGGGAAAATGCTTCTGTTGTTGGTGGGAGGGATTTAAGCTTTGGTGCATTTGTAATGTGTTTTGCAGCATTTTTCTTTGCTCATACAGCATATCTCACATCAGACATTTTGTCTGTGACTTTCGGTGTAATTCCATAACATCTAGAAACAAATTCTGTTGAAGTTTTCTCAACTTCAGTCATGTCTGCATTGACATCTCCCAAGTTAGCGAGTGAGTATCTATTTAACACCTTCAGGACTGTTAGCTTGCCAATTCCATGCATGCAAGATGTCGTATCACTGCCAGAGAGACCATGCACAGCTAACAAGTTTGGGATTTTTAATTTGTGTTCATTTACGGTTGCATTAATGTTAATGTTTGCTCGGCCGGATGATGTTCCCTCCATTATGATGTTATTTTCCATTAACTTGTGCTTGAGACAGTGATGAAGAAGTAGAAGGAAAACATCAGTATCATCACTGAGTACACTGATATTCTGTTGGCCTTTACTGGCAGCATGCAGAACCTGGTGTACGATAACAACATCTGCTTCTTCTTGAGTGTTCCTTAAGTCATCACGTTGTTCAATATTGCCTTTGTGAATTTGTACAGGTGTTGGATCAGGACCTGTGATAATAAAGATGTTGGAGAATGATCCTTCACTAGCTTTTTGAGTGAGATGGTCGATGACACACTTTATCAACTGGACCTTGTTCTCAGTCACATTCAGAACAACATTCTTTGCAGGGAGAGGTGTGTCAGAGCTGATCTTATACACTCTACTAGCTGATTGAGCACAAGATGACCAGGTGCTGTTCTTTACGCTATTGTCTTTATATCTGTCAAAGATAAGGTATACATCTGACTCGGTTAGGAGTCTCAGGATGTACTTAGTGAAAGCAATACAGAAGTTTTCAATTTTGCCAGCCATCGGCCATGTTATGATCCAAAGGATGGCACATCCATCAACAACACATACATTGCAATTGTTTCCTCTTGAGGTCACCTCAATCTGTAACTTTTGTTTAAGTGTTGATTTGAAGTTGTGATATTAATTTCTCCATTTTAATCAAATAGAGATAATGGAGGGAACATCATCTGGCCGAGCAAACATTAACATTAATGCAACAGTAAATGAACACAAATTAAAAATCCCAAACTTGTTAGCTGCGCATGGTCTCTCTGGCAGTGATATGACATCTTGCATGCATGGAATTGGCAAGCTATTCCTGAAGGTGTTAAATAGATACTCACTCAATAACTTGGGAGATGTCAATTCAGACATGACTGAAGTTGAGAAAACTTCAACAGAATTTGTTTCTAGATGTTATGGAATTATACCTAAAGTCACAGACAAAATGTCTGATGTGAGATATGCTGTATGAACAAAGAAAAATGCTGCAAAACACATTACAAATGCACCAAAGCTAAAATCCCTCCCACCAACAACAGAAGCATTTTCCCAGCATGTGAAGCGAGCTCATTTCCAAGTAGCTATATGGAAAAAATGCTGATATGCCTGACCCCCCACTTATCCTTCCAACAGATTATGGTTGGGAAATTAACAGCACGGGCTCACTTGTCCCAACAACAATGCCCAAGGATACACCCTGTGCCCCTGAAGGAATTCTCCAGCTCATTAAGTGCACATGTGCATCAGAGGGCAATGTATGTAGAACTGGGCGATGTTCATGCTCCAAGGCATCTCTATCATGTACATTGTTCTGTGTTTGCAAGGGGAATGAATGCAATAACCAACATACAAAGACAGTAACTGACCAGGAATTGGAAGAAAATGATGAGGATTTATTGAGGGAAATCCTTGATGAAATCTTAGTAAAAGAAGATAATTCATAAATTCAAAATATATAGCACCAAGAAATGACCCTTGTGGAACATCATTATTATTATGTAGGTTACTTTTTACTCATTTCAGATATTTTATATGTGAGAAAGAGATCATAATCAGATGTATTTAGTATTATTTATTGATAATTTTGTAGGAAACACTAATATCAATTTGATATTATCACAGAATGAGATATTTCATAAATTGTAAGGTTGGCGGCCATCTTGAATTTTTTTTATTTCTGTCAAGAAACATTTCTGGAACCTAACATATTGGTATATATCATATTAAAACTATATTATAGAAAAAACAGCAAGATATGTTTATGTGTATGCTAGTTATCTGTTCTCATATGCTGGCTAAAATACATAAAACGTGTGAAAATTCAAAATGGCCGCCAAAAAAATTCCTCAAAGTTGCCCGTTGGGCATCCGACAGTTTCTGAATATGGATATCATGTTTAAACAGAAAATGCAAAAAAAGTTCATATAATAAGCATTTCCACCTCTATTGGCTCTACATCCAGACTATAGGGTTGATAGCAGAATTACATACGAGTGGGACCCGGTACACGTTACGATAACTGCAGTTTAAGTATTACTGATCACAATCTTTAATATAGAAAAGATACGTTTTTATCGATGATTTACACCATGATGTCTAGAAAACACTAGACTAAAGGAAATTTTGACTTCAACTTCCTGAAAATGTTGCTGAAACTTCATTGAGCAGAATGTTTGCAGACTATACATGTAGTTTCTGAAAATGGGCCGAATATTCGCAAACACATGAAAAGGCATCTGAAATATGTGTTTATAAAAATGTGTATATTCGCGACGAGGTTTGATATATTCACATTAGTGACTCGAAGGTGGAGTATACTTTAGGCTCAGCTGGAAAGTAACATTTTGGTAAAAAATTGCTATACCTGCACATGTTATTTTCTGGGACAAAATTAAGTATGAAGTCATGTGTGTATTTCCTTGCTTTTTTCAGGAAAGTATCATTACACTGTCTACTTTTAGTAAACCTGGAAACAGGTCAATGGTAGCTCCTGTGTTGTCTGGAAACTTTGAGAGAAAATTTGGAAAAATAGAAAGTGTGAAATATCAGAATTTCCTGGAGTTTCCATTGAACTCCTACTGAAAGAAGACAATGTAATGATACTTTCCTGAAAAAAAGCAAGGAAATTGGCACATACCTTCATACTTAATTTTGTACCAGAAAATAACATGGCAAGTATAGCAATTTTTTACCAAAATGTTATTTTCCAGCTGTACCTTAATATGTCTTGTCATTTATGTTATTCCCACTTTCTGACCATCATGATAAACCATGACATCTCGAATCTTCTCAGCCCTGTTTCAGGTGAAACAGAAAGATGCTAGGAGTATCAGAATGCTATCTGACTACAATATGCCCATTGATTGTTGATTATGACTCTGGTCGTGTAAACAGTAAATGATAGTGTTAAAGAAAACAAAATTGATTGAAAGTAAAACAGTCTGTAGACGAGTCAGTTTGTTTCGTCAGTCTTAGTGATCCAGTTTCTGATGGAGTTGAGAATGGAGGGAATTCAGTTACAGTGTTCTTTTATGATAGAAACCCATATTTTGTTATCCATGTAGAACTACTCAGCGTGTGGCCTATAGACCTAACTGAGGTGATGTTTCCCCGACCCATGTAAAGCAGAATAATTACAAAGCCCGTCCTACCTTTTAGTAAATATGAACATTTTGGTAGATCGCCCTCTGGTAACTCCAAATGTAATTGCTTTCTGTATTCGTTTTCAAATTATTTTACCTCAGAAGCGTTTTCACATAATGCTTAATACACATACTGCGACTTAGCTTACTAATACTAATACTTCCATTATAGGATTATGATGTGTTTGGGTATAAAGCTGACCGTGTACACCTCTCTGTCGTTTTCTATTATAATATTTGTAAAAGAATCCTATGTATACAATTGTCCATTTACTCTGTTACTTGCGTGTGTAACCTACTGGTGACCCGAGCTTTGGGCCTTTGTATCATGTAATATACCAAAACGCAGCCACCCGCGCACTACACTATTATACTTACTGACTAATGTATTCCTTCAACCAAGAAATGGAATATCTTTACACGAGATCAAGATGGTAGCAGACTGCATCTAGTCACGCTCTCAATGTCCGTCGAGTAAACTGGCAAATGCAGTTTTGCACTTTCCACTTATGTCGTCGAGAGTTAGGCCATAAGTCAGTCATTCCAGATAGTAATGCCCCAATCGGTTTTCGGAAAATGATAAAAATAAAGTTTCTCCGTTTCACTTCATACCTTGTTATTTTATGGGGTTATATGTCTACAGCATAATACTAAAAAATTGGCTTTTAGACTCTCTTGGTTTCGTAGTAATTTTGATTTGAAATATGTGGTACACAACTTAAGTTTTTGTGCCATTTTAAATTACGTTATAGGCATCTTCTTAATTGATTTGAATACTTCTTAATTTATGACAGTGCTACCAAAGAAAATGTTTTTCTACCTTAAAGTACAGACATTAGTGTACTGATACTTATCAGGAGGATTAATAATAGTTGGCTTTTGAAATTTTTTGCTCAATTACAAATATTTTATATTTTTGTCCTTAAAATTGTAATTTCCATAATGTTTGTCAGTCATTCAATCATTAAGCGTGAATCTTTTGTGACCATTGCCTCAATTTAATACTTTTTAGCAGAGCAAAGGAGTATATCTCTGCATTGTGAAACACTAATATTGGATACTGCCATGGTTATCTATTTGTAAATAAACTCAAGCATTGAACATACCTATATTGTAACGTAGATTAATTCATGGGAGCTGACATTTTCAATTCAATCAGTTGCACAATATTGTGGTTTCCAAAGAATTAACTTGGTCCGTTTTATATACGTTTTATATAAGAGAAACTCATTTTATGAAAACACGCTATTTTCATTTTCATTTGCGTTCTATATTCAAACGAACGGTAACGTAGATTAACATCTTAGAACATCAGCTTCATGTGTCATTAAATCTGATCAAGAATACATCACAATGAAAAAAAAACAAATCATTACATATTGTGAATGATAATGGTGCTATATGTTGACTTGGTATAGACCCCTTATCCTAGCACTGAATCAGCACATTTTGGTAACGCTTGTTAAGAAACAGTATAGTCGACGTCATTAGATAACGAGGGCAGATATTGTCTATGTAAAACTTAAACTTCTTATAACAACTTAATCACTCAATTCAACATCTCTAGAGACGTCTCTAAAACAGTACTGTCAACGTGAACTAGTAAATGTTTACAGTAAAACGTATTTTCAAATCATATTTGTCCAAAACAACATATCAGACGTCATTGTCTCTTGATTCAATTTTTGAGGCAAATACCTCATCATCAGTTCAGGTAATCTTGAAAATTCTTGCATTCCCCCACTTGGGAATCAAATCCACTATTTGGCAAAGAACGTTTGCATTTTCTACCATGAGTAGATGTTCTGGCTACCCAGAGTACATGTTCTGGTGAAGGCCACTGGAAATACCCCCGTCTGTTAATCATAAATGATGTTTCGTAGCACACCATCCACATTAACTTTTCCAATGTACCAAGCACCATCATAGACTGCAGCAGTATAATTGTCGATTATGTGCATAACAGCTGCTCTATTATCATAGGGTTCGTCTGAGTCAGAGCTCTTACTCTGCTTACTCTGGGGTTCATTTTTGCACTCCGCGAGGCAAAGCAAGAAACAAACGTTTTAAAGGGGGAGTTCTACTCTGGGTGTGTGGTACCGCTTAAGGTAATGGTGTATCGAAAACATTTTTGAAAAAATTGATATACCTGCACACGTTATTTTCTGTTGAAAATAAAGTATGATGGGATGTGTGCATTTCCTTGTTTTTAAGGAAAACATCATCACATTATCTTCTTTTAATAAACTTGGTAAAAGGCCATGGTAACTCAAGTGTTGTACAGAAACTTTGAGAAAACACTGGAAAATTGAAAAGACGTCCATTTTGAATGTTTTTCATGAAATTTCAGCATTTCCTGGAGTTAAAATTGACCTCTTACCAGACTCAATAAAAGAAGACACTGTGACGATACTTTCCTGAAAATTCTACATGCCTTCATTTTTTATTTTGTACGAGTAAATATAACGAGCAGGTATTGCGATTTTTTCAAAAATGTTTCTGTTCCACCATTTCCTTAACACATGCCCTTTCTTTCTGTACTTTTCCCCATCTTTTCTCTTTTCCATTCAATATAGGCTTTTTGAATCACTGCTCTTGATTTACCCATTTTCTGAAAGAATGTTCCCCTATTTAAAACTCTTAATCAAGTCAGAAAAGGGTTAACAATCGATTTAAATTACGTTACCGATCATAACGTAATTTACCCAACATTTAATATTGAATTTCACCAAATATATTTCAAATTGAAAGTTTTGTTCTTGCACCACAAATAGCATGTTTCTAATGAATGATGTGCTTCGAAATTATTATCCAAAAACTCCTTAAATGTTCTTTACTGAGATTGTGAATGGAGTTAGGTATTTACTTACATATTTTCAATTATTTTGATGGATTGTAGTCGATTGTCAGAGATAATACACAGCTCTGAGTCAACATGGCGCCATGGCGCACCAAAACGAACCATATGACCCATTGTCATTAAGCCTGTAGTTATAAAACGAGTCAAATAGGATTGTTTCGTAAAAAATGGCTCACGTAGTTTAAGGTAACGTTATTTAATATTTGTGACATTTTAATGCGAATAAATTATTAATTCAGTACTAACCGACAGAGTAGGGTCTCATATTAAGTCATCAAAGGCTGTAGTACAATATATGTGGAAAACAGTGCCTTCGTTCTTTGATTATGCTGGATATTTGGTAACGTAATTTAAAGTCCTTATCCATAAGTTTCAAAAAATATTTTTTGACAGGTCACAAATGATATATCTTGGTAAATACATTGGTATTCTGTATATTTCATGAATGTTTTATATGTATACCAGTATTTGACGTTGGTTTAAAGGTAAACGTCACATTGGTATAAGCTCCATATCAGGTATACATGCAACAGGCAGTAACTTTCAAGAATCTGGCGACATTATTCCAACGTGAAAAAGAAGAGGTTCTTGTTAGTGTTTTGATTTGAAACTTCGCATGAATATTTCTAACACATCATTGTTACCCATGAAAATATATAATACGGATTGTGATAAGTAAACTTAGTCTGTTTTCTTCCATATACCTAAAAATGCTTATTGGCGACAATAACGTAATTTAAGAATTTCTGACTTTAACTGATTGTGATAACACATATGTGGACAAATTGAGCCAAACTTTTAGTTACAATATTAGACACTGAACCATCCTATACAACCATAATGATTAACACTGCAGGCACGGGGTTATTTAAGAGAAAATACACGGCGACAGAAAAATTGCGATTGGGGCATTACTATCTGGAATGACTGAATTGAAGTAAATTCTTTGTTTTGCGTCCCCTTGCTTGCACGCTTTGGAGTAAATCAGAAAAAACAAACACATTCAAATAGCAATCACAAGGGTCTGAAAGTACCATCGCATCTTGTTCAATAAGAATCAGACGAAATAGCGGATAATTTGGCGTGCGTCAAAATTGACAGCGTTATTGATTACTTTGGCATACATTGTGTATTTTCTTATTTTTTACCCTTGAATAATACCTATGTTTAAATATGTCTTATAAATTGTATAGATATGTGTTTGTAATAACTGCAAATTGGTTTGTCATCCCTTTTTATGCCCATAAAATGTATACATTCCTCAGCAAACAAGTTTGTGTTTTTTTCTTGGGTTTGTGTTTGTTTTCCTTGTACCCTTGCATGATTTGTAATTTCCTAGGACGCAAAACAAAGAATCTACTTCTTATGGCCTTAGTGAGAATGCATTGATTTTTATATAGCATCCATTCGATGACAAAGATATTACTTCGTTTTCATTCAATTTGAATATGCTGAATAAACATAGCCAGTTAGTCGAAATCGTAGAATCTTGAATTTCATTGTTAAATCTGTACAATGTCAATATATTTCCACATGCTTATAGCTATTTGAACGGCTTACGTTGTTTGTGAGAATGCTTTGTTTAGTAGTATTACTTCTCTGAAATTACGGTATAGTCCTAAATCCAAACGTATTCGTCCGAAATTTTTGCAAGCAGATTGTTTTGATGGGTAGTGGGAGGGGGGTGGGTCGCAAGGGGTTGTAGCTAGACAAATGTGATATACCCCGAGCGCACATAATATTGTAATTTCTCTGTTGGCGGCACTTATTAGGACCGCTTTTGTAAATAATTTATAAATATGCATAATATATAGCGATATACAATTTGGGATCCACAGTCTGTTCTGTCCCTTGATTAATCAGAATGCCGATATCGATCTAGTAGCCAATGTTCACCCGAGTAGCTAACTCATTATACTATAGTGTGTACCCTTTGCATTCGTTCGTTTATAACTACGTATACACTCTGCGCGCAGGGTAACTATAATCGCTGGCCAGTATCACGCGAAGGTAAGGGCCGTAACCTTCGCATCTAAGATGGCGGAAGGTAAATTTCGATTTCGATATTTATTAGTTTTCATTGAATTAAACTACTTTATAGTTGACTATGCTTTGTTATCCCACGATTAATGTGTTATCTGTACAATAACAGCTATTGATATTTCTGATATCATTGGAATCCCTGTGATATTTTCCAAAAAATCGTTTATCAAACTCATATGCGTGTGATATCGTTTATCTCACGCATATCCGTGTGATATCACATTTGCATTTCGCGCCACAATATTGTTGGAAATTAGGTCAGATAGTTTATTCTCTTTTGAGAAAATAGGTCCGTTAATTTATTCTCTTTAAGTTTCATTGGTGTATTAAATTACGATTGTGTATATAATTTGATTAGAAGGCTGCTAAATAACGATTAAAAAATTGTATTTATGACGAACCATATCACAAGGTGATCGTAATCATGGGATAAACCCAATATCACATAATTTCTCGTGATATCATTTTATCGCCTCGTAGATATCAAATATCAACACTCATTCGCTTCGCTCACTCGTGTTGATATCAACTCGGCGATAAAAATGATATCACTCAAAATGATGTGATATTCTATATATATTTGAACCAAATCAGGCTTACATGACATGGGAACTATGGAGTATGATCATTTGTTCATATATCGTGCAATATGGACGCCACAGTTCAACGATATCTTCCACCGCTTAAAGCCAATTAACTGGTAATGTATGATGCGGTAACGGTCATATTAGTTTTCAATACCCGGAATCCGGACATCTTAACTCTCCATTATGATCTCTCATAACGTTACCGCGTCACATTATATCAGTTATCATACATGTCATATGTAAAACCAAAATCCCAGTTACCTTCCCTTAAGCGGTGGAAGATATCGTTGGACTGTGGTGCCTACGTATGGTTTATGAAAACATGATCACACTCCGGAGTTTCCATGTCACATAACGGTCAAGTCAAGTAACTTAGTCAACATTCGATATTCGTATGTTCATCAATATTTACTAAGAATGTTGCCACAATTGAAGTAAACCTCTGGTTAATTATTTTCAATAAACCTATCAGCAAACGTGTAAATGATAATTTTGAGGTTCTGTTACATATTGGTGAAGCAATCTTGGGGAAATGGCCTAAATTTCTGATTTTCCACTGTGTCCCTGTATACCCCTACTTCAAAAGATGTGTTATTTGTCGTTTTTTATTATGAACCAACCATAAATGTATGTTTTCTTGTTTACATACAGAATGAACTTTCTGTTTTCAAATATTGAAAGATGGTACTGCATTTATTTGTTCATGATATGGAGCAAACAAATGCGTGTCAATTTACACTGTAATATCCTACATACTTATATTTCAAGGGTAGTTTTGAAGAATAATCAAGAAAATTCATGTTTTCAAATGGATTCATCATTGTCAAAGAACGTAAATGAGGATATGCGGTTTGAAAAACTAACAACACGTTTCAAGTTCTTACAATTCTTGGTTAAAACAAATATTTTGAAAGTTGTGATTTCGAATGTAATATCCTACTCAATGAAATTTGTTGATATTTGTGCACATTGCTGGATCACAGAAACTTTCCTTGTTCGCGATGCACGAAACGTGTATTGTTAATTCTTGACGTCGTTCGGATATTTGGAATATGTGATTGACGTTTTCGTTAATCTCCTACCACTGTAACTTCCAACTTAATTTTTGAAAGCCAAATATGATAGTCACGAATTGATATTTAAGTCACACGTTGATGCATACATCATGTGTGTACATTAACTGTCGAATACATGCCGACTTACATTTATATAAATATCCACAGTTAGCTCAAATCATCAATTCGGTTTATCATATTACCTGGTGAGTTTAATGTTACATTTTAATTTATAATTATGGTATTGGATTTGAGTATGATATTAGTCGAGGCTAAACAAAGCAATCAAATAGCGTGAAACCTTTTGTGAAAATTCGAACGATTTTTCAAGAATCCTCCTTCAAAGTGTTACCAAAGTGCTCCCCGGGAGTGGAAATTTCGTCTTGTGTAATCAAAATAATAGCGGGTGGTTTGAATTTTCGTTTGAGTTTAGAGCTTACATCTATTAATTTAAAAACATATCGCCTCATTGAGAGGTACATGCAGATTTTGGCGATCTATCATTATAAAAGGCTAAATAGTGTGCAAAAACAGGAGTTGACACGCTTACATTTGGAAATGAAATTTCCTACATAATTGCCGACTCATGTTTAAAAATCATGAAAACAAGGTTGGACACAAAACATTGACCCAGTTACTGTCTATTTAGCATGGGATCACTAAGGGAAATATTATTATAACTTAAATCGTTAACGGTTAAGTTGTATTCCAAGAAACTTATCAATTTAGAAATGCAAAATGTTCAATTTTGTTTTTCAATTATAAAAAATCGCACCTGTAGAGAACAACGTTGACAAAATTATTTAAAACGGAGATATTTACTTATGTAACATTCATTGGCATGTGTCAGGGAGTAAATAAGAAGAATATGCATTTGATTCTATATCTTGTTCCCAAAGGAGTTTGTTAAGGAGCGGTATATCTTAACATACTTTTATCATCCCGAACTCAAACATTTCGAATACTTATTTTGAGAACGCTTTGTTAAGAATGGATTCGAGATGTACTCAAAATTAATACGTTAAAATGTGTATTATCATCTTAATAAATACCTCATAAATTATTTTGGAAATCAAAGATGTACGATTTTTGAGATTTTTATTTTCTAATGTTGACTTAGTTACTTGGCTTGACTAGCCTGATATTGTTCAAATATCAAAGCATTGCATCGACTATAAAGTGGTTAAATTCGAATGAAAATAATTAAAATCGAATATATTTTATGCTGCATATTTCTCTCGATTTTGGGAAACTACGCCCGCTGTACGGTTGTCGTAGATTAAATACTGTATACTGTATACACCTATCACGGGTGACCATTCCGAAGCATTCTGTTGACATTACTTTGGAATATAACTGAATATAACGGAGGGGGATTGTTTTTCTTAGATGTGAGGAAAACACAAAAGTCTTTTGATTTTTCAAACATTTTCTTTCAAAAATGTGATTTACCTTACAAAAGACTGGTGAGAATTTTTTTGTATTTTCTGAATTTTTTCACTGGATTTTCTTGTTTTTTATACATTTTATCAAAACATTCTTCTTTCCATTCTTTTCTAGGTATATTAGTGCATCCGTTGTGCAAAAGTGAGAGATGTAGACATTGTGGGGAAGAAGTACTGGCCCAGAAAAAAATTGAGCCAAAAAAGGCCTTAAGGCCCCAAAAAGTTGGCCTTTTTGGTCATAAATGGGCCTTCTAAGGCCTTGTTTTTTAATTTTAGGCCAAATTTTGAAGACAAATTTGATTGATTTTGATTGAGAAAAATGTTTTTAGAGGACTTTTGCAAGAACTTTATGAACACCCTGCATCTGTATTACGTTAAAAAATCTTTGGTTGTTCCAATTATCTCTTTGAGAAGAAATCCTACAGTTTCAGTGATCTTCAATTTTCTTTCGAATTTATTCTATTTTTATTCAACAACACCCCCCCCCCCCCCTTATTCGGGTCCCAAATGTAAAAGCTACACTCAAGCACTCCCCCATTGTATAACGTGTTAAAGCCTCTATATGTTTGATTTGTGATTTGCATATTCAGTGAAAAGAAAAAACTATTTTTAGGTGGAGATATAATTTGACATAATTTCCAAAGCCTGAATTTTTCTTTAAGAAGAATTTTGAATTATATTGACGTCCATCAAAGTTATAAGTCGATTTTTACAAGAAACTTCTCCCATTGAAACAACAAAGGATACGAACATGATTTTCAAAAATGACTTTAAAGCTTCGTTTTGAATTTCAATGTTCAAAAGGGAAACTAAATATCCAGCGAGCAAAAATAGACAATTTTCTGTTGAATCTTTTACATAATAGATATCCTGAAATCTGATTTGCCCTGAACCCACCATTTTTCCATGGGAATGACGATTTTCAAATATTCATCAGTTATCAGCTTTCGACCTGTCGTAATCTGGTAATTGAGGGAAAATTTGGAAGTATGGGGATTAAAGACATATAACATCTCTACCTTTATCATAAGTACTTTCGTTGCAGGTTTTAAAAAATTCAAACACATCGAGATTTCAAAACGTAGTCCAATGGGCAGCTAATACGTGGTTCGATTGTCTATTTTGGGAAGACCCTGGAGCGTGAAGTTTTACTTTAAGAAATATCAATTATTTCGCACAATTTATTTTTAGCTCACTCGAAAACTGTTTGGCTTCATCTGGGACAAATCTTTGTGTTTATAAATGATACAGCGGGTAGACAATAAAAAATGAGACACTATGTATCATGTTAGAAGTATTTATGATCACACAGATGAACCATGTATTACATACCAAAAGAAAATGTCTAATATGTCTCCCTCTGTCTTAGCTCTAAATCTCAGAAAATTCATTACTGTACATTATATAGGCCTTAACCTTTGCAACCATTCATGATTCCTTCTATCCTCAGTTTGTTTCAATATCCATTGCGTAATCAACCTATTATTATAGCATAGTTCCATTTTTGCATTGAAACCTTGATTTCAGTTTTTTGGAAAAACTCATACAAGAGGACCAAATAAACGTTATAGTTTCTATAATAAAAAGTCACAATGTTGTCACAGTTTTATTCTTAACATAAAGGGGGTTGTTTAGGCTACAAATAACAATGATATTTTGTAAATATATTGACTAAAACTATGGAAAAATAAGGACATTATGAGAAATTTCAAAGCTGTTTTTCGAGGTAATGCATCATATTTCTTTGCTTAAAAAAATAACTTTCTCAATAATTAATAAAGAATCTTCAAGATCCTTTATGTGTATATAAGGGCCTATAAGGTGTTCAATGGAAAAAAGATTGATATGCTTGCACAGCATCGATAACTTTGAAATTAAGAGATATGTCATTTTCCGCAGACCCATACTCTGGCACAAAATGTGAAAGTAATCCACTCAGAAATGACTCAAATAACGGCTCAGATGGAAATCCCAGATTTCAGAAAAATGTATTTTTTAACATTTTTTGACGATTTCTTCTAGAGCATGCCTGGACGGAAATCGTGATTTCTCTAAATCTCAAAGAATGGGCATCGATATGGCGAACTTTTTGAACACACGTTTCTCTTAAACCAGCCATCAAAAATTTCTGAAAATCTTACAAATTGTCAATTTAATGGCCATTTTTGAATGGTAACAATATAATTTGAAATAGATATGCATACTTTCATCTATATTGTTTTAAAAAACACATCAAACACTTGTTTTGTTCTTGGTATCATGTCATATCATAAAACAAAACGGAGCAGCACGAAAAGACTTGTGTTTTCATTAGTATTAAGACTAATCGATGTATTTTTTAAAAAGCCATCGTTGTAATGTTGTAAAAAGTGTTTAAGGGGCTTGGAAAACGATGTGTAGGATGTCTGCGTCGTTTTCAAAAAAAGATTTCACGATTTAGCCATTTAGCCATAGGTGGGTTATTTTGTCAAATTAGACGATCCCCCTTGCCTAAGGTTGCCAAACTTTTGGAGAGAAGTGTAACTTTACGATGTTTTTTATAATTAAAGGGCTCGGGTGTTCAAAACAAATGTGTTCGAATTCGTTTACTAGTCATATTAAAATAATCAAGTTGCACAGTAAAATGTTTCTGATTATTGCTATGAATTTTGCGCAAAAATATTTTTTGGGATATCCTGACCGGGGATTCGAACCCATCCCGAACCCCAGGTCCCTACGACTATGTGACATGTATACATGTTTGTGCCGAAAAGATGGACATTATACACCCTATGCAGACAGAGCCTGTGGGAAATATTGGGTGCGGCGCAAATGAGCGGAGGGTGCGGAGCTAACGGTCATTTTTTAATTTAAAATTGGGATATTTCTGAAACTACTTACTTGCCGTTTTGGGAAAATTGTGAAAATAGTAGTGCAATTCATTTTATAGCGACGCACTATGCCTTAAACAATTCCCAGACCTATATATTTTGAGACTATCCTTTTAATACTGCGTCCCCAGCATTCATAGAAAAATGGTGTTCAAGATACACTACCCATGCAAATTATTTTTGCATCTTGGAAGCCAGGCAGTATCTGTGTGATTTTATAAAAATTCGGAAATGTTCTTCAGATATGAGCCCCCTCTAAATATTGGGTGCGGAGGTACGTTTATGGAGCTCCTCCGCACCCAATATTTAGAGGGGGCTCATATCTGAAAAACATTTCCGAATTTTTATAAAATCACACAGATACTGCCTTGCTTCCAAGATGCAAAAATTATTTGTATAGATAGTGTACCTTGAACACCATTTTTTATGAATGCTGGGGACTCAGTATTAAAAGGATAATTTCAAAATATATAGGTCTGGGAAAGGTTTAAGGCACACTGCGTCGCTATAGAATGAATTGCGCTACTATTTTCACAATTGTATTGATATTTGGTGTCAAATACACATATCTTGGTATATTTGAAGTCCCAAAACGGCTTAGTTTCAGAAATATCCCAAATTTGAATTCAAAAATGACCGTTAGCTCCGCACCCTCCGCTCATTTGCTCCACACCCAATATTTCCCACAGGCTCTGTCTGCATCTGCATAGGGTGTTATATAACCTTCGCTATGCCTGTAATAGCTATTCTTGTATTATCAGACCATATCTTAGGTATGTACAAATGTGCTAAAAACATATTATACATATTAGCTATCCTTGTGTTTTGTCAGATTCTATCTCAGCTATGCTCCTGTTTTACTGGCTCCTATTTCTTATACTTGTATTACGAATACATGTTTTGCTAAACCTTATCTTAGGCAATAGCCATGCTTGTGCTTAACTAGACCTTAGCTATGTTTTTTACATTACCAGGCCCTATCATAGCTTCTATATACTTGTTTTATTAGCTACACACCCGGTGATCGGAAAATTGGGACGGACACAGTGACGGGGGGGGGGGGCAGCAGGCAATTTCTGCTTGGAAATTCAACAAATCTGGAGGATGTTTTTCAATTTGAAAGTTTACTATTGAATTGCCTTAAGGATAGGGTCACGGTATGGTAAAATATGTGAGGTGAGCGCGAGCTAGGCTTTATCATTGGGAGAGACTGAGGATTAAGATGACATGGCGATCATTGAGTGCGACTTTAATTTTAATTTAATTCAATTTTCTTTCCTATCTCTACCATCATATCAGAATTGTAACTGCTGTTATTCTAAAGATTTGCAATTCAAAATATTTCAAAAATTATATTCAGCACCCTCAGACCTGTATTGAAATTAATGAGAGGTTAAATATTAGAAGTCAAATATAATTGAATGAAACAACAAAAACTCACACCATGTACTGCTGGATTGGGTACGATATGCTTTTAGATGGTTACGTCATGATGCCACTGTCAAAATATCAAATTAATGAGTTTCTTCCATTTAACCCCGGTTGTGGAAATGCCCTGTTATCAGCCATCCGGGTTGAATCTCAAAACATGTTGTTTAAGAATCCATGATCGTCTTATCATGAGAAAAAAACGTTTTCAATCCCAATTTTTTTTCTAAATTCGAACCAATGAATAATGGGAAAAGTTCATTTTGTCCAAACTGTATTTTATTCCTTGAATATATTCAATGCTTCCAGGTCTATTTCTGTTTTGTCTGTTCTCATGGTTTACCAAAAGGAGAATATTGGAAATGGTAGAAAACCAATTAATGTGTATACTAGTATATCATTCAATATTGCAAGAAATAACTAGTTCAAAAATAAAATAAATAAAATCAGGGTCATTTTATCCTGAGTGTCAATGCCTTGTAATAACTGTAAGTGTAGATGAAGCTCTCTTTTGAAGAAAAATCAATCAATAATGGAAAGGGTATGGCACCTTTCACAACATATTCCAACTTTCCCATATTGGCCTTTTTAAGGAAAATCCCTACATACGTTATTGATATTATCATAACAGAAGGCGCAAAAGGATTTGTCACTCTATCTCGGGTAATTGATGACATCAATCTTCAAATATGTCAAACCATGGAGTCATCGTGACCTAACCATTTACTCGTTGGCCTCCTTTAACTAGATTGAAGAAAGAAAAAAAATGTTTAAATAGTCCCGATCAGGCGTACATTGATGTTTTGATGTGGTCCCTTAAACTGTCGTCACTCTTGAAACCAGAGCTGGTCGCTGACTGATTAACTTCTGGCCTAATCAGCATGTTGGTTGGTTATGGTGATCTAACACCCTAAAAACGTTCCAAGATTTGGGAGACTAAAGAAGTTCCACTCGGAAACGGAACCAGACAAACCACTTATGCTATGTTATTGTTCTTCTTATAAAAAATAAGGTCATTCGGTTTTGTAAGTTTTAGAGCTCCACTTGAGACCGCTGGATAGTCCTGCAAGTCACGAGAGCAAAATGAAGGTCTTTATATTGTTGATGATTGTAGTTTTGGCGCTGATATGTGGAGTATGGGCACAGGAGTTTCCCGATGACGAATATTATTATTATGACTATGAAGAAACAACGACTGCACGTCCCAAAAAGGCGCCCAAACCTAAAAAACAACCTAAAGCACCGAAAGCTACAACTGAAGCTCCCACCACTCCTATACCGACCCCAGAGAAAGAGTCATTTATCGCCGACGAATGCAGTTACACCTTAACTATCCCTGGACGAGAGCTCCAGGGAGCCTGCAAATCCATGTTGTTGGACACTACTGTGCATGACCTGAAAGTGGAACTTGAAGTGCTGAAACACGCCAACCATCAGCTGAAAGACGACCTGCAGAAGTACAAAGCCAAAGCGGAGGAGATAAGTGACTTCTACGATGAGATGCAGACGCTCACCAAGACATGGAAAGAGATCGTCCATTGGCCAAATATTGATAGCAAATTCCAGCCCGATAATGAGAGTCTCGCTCGCCTCGTTGATGGCCCACAATATAAAGGTTGGTGATTTGAAAATCATTTGAATTATGAAAATGAAGATTCATAAATGCTGTTTGCCCAAACAATAGGAGGATTGTGGGTCAATATGTAATGTCTACTCGGGACAACAAATAGAGGGCTCATTCTTTTATAAGGAGTTTACTACAAGGTCGTTCAATAAGTTCATTATACAGGGTGGTCAAAAAAAACGGCAACCCTAGTTTTTTCTAATATCTTTGTCATTCTAAGAAATAACTCCCTGGTATTTTAGACATTTGAACATCATTCAATTTCCTACCAACCTACCAAATTTCATGACCATCGGACTGATAGTCACAATATTACTGCATTTTAAACAACATGCCCTAGATGGCCACTTTTGGGCTGTCATGAGCTAGTCTGTTATTCAAATGAACTCCATTTACAACTTGATGCACCGGTAAACTCTAACAATTATGTATTCTTGGAGAGCCAAGCACTTGATGAAGTAGTGGAGAGGCACCTTCACACAGACAGATGCACAGTTTAGTGTGTTCTCAGAAGATATGGTCCTTTACCTTTGATGATATCAACGGATATGCAATAACTATCAACATCAAACTCTATTTTGTGATTCCCATAGAGTTCTTGAGGACTTTAGGTGAACCCAGGGAGGTTGATATGCAGTAACAGTGGTTCCAACAAGACAGAACCATACCCCATACACCCAATGATGCACAATAATGGCTTTGGGACCACTTCAATGACCACATTATCAGCAGTGCAACAGACAATGAATGGGCACCCCATAGCCCAGATATGGCCCCATTTAATCTTTACCAGTGGGGATACCCCAAAGATAGATTGTAGGGTAATAACACCAGAAAGACATTTGACCTCAAAATAAAGATCACATGTGTCGTTCAGGCCATACTTGTTGAGGAATGCAGTTATGTCATTGGCAAGTTTGGAAAATGTGTGCAGGTTTGCCTACAGCACGATATTGGAAAACTGGGGCACCTTGTTTAAAGTGCTGTAACATTGCGACTATCAGTCCAATGTTCATGAAATAATAGAGTCTAGTATGAAATTGAATGATGTACATGCGTGCCAAATATCAGGGCAAAATTTCAAAAAATGACAAAGATATGAGGAAAAATTAGGGTTGCCGTTTTTTTTGACCACCCTGTATATTCTTGCAAAAATGCAAGAGCATTTTCTTAATTTTTATGTTTTTCATTGAAACTTTGGCGCATTGGGGTATATTTTTGGACTGGGGATTTTCCATGTCCTTTACACAAATTGGAATTCTCATCTTGAGGTCATGACTTGAAATAGATTGATTTATTATCTTAAACAGACATTCGCATCAATAGACTAATCACTCTTCTAATTAATTGTTGAATGTTGTTTATAAAAAAAATTCGAATGCTGATAAAATAAAAAATAACAGGAAAGACGGCAATATATCTATTGTTAGGGATACACCAATTAACTAAAAAATCAGCAACTCCCAAGAGTAGCAAATCCCACCGAACAAAACATATTTTATCAAATCCCGTAGTCATTTTGGACATCACATAATAGACAAAACCAAGGAGTTCTAGTAGAATAGTATTGTCTCCTTTTGCCAAAATCTATACCCATATTGTCACATGAAACCGTTTATTAACTTTCTTCCTAGTAAATTCTGAACTAACTCTGACAACTGGTATTTGAGTTTTTGACATATTTTTCAATGAAATAAAGCGGTCATTTTGAATCCAGCGGTTATTATTGAGTAGTCCATTAGGCATAAGCGTATAAATTTTGAACCAAATACGTCGTGTTCAACAAAAAAATTGTGACTTTTTGAATTGTGTGGCTATTTTGTAATTACTTTCTTGAGCAGAGGTCATTTGTCCATACGACAGCCTCTGGACCAAATTCTATAAATGGTATACGTTTTTTAAAAACGTAATTAGAAATCACATTGAAGCAATTTTGAATTGAGCAGCCATCTTGAAAATCCCTCTTTGACTAGAGTCCTCTGCCTTTAAAGCATCACCATGTAAAATTTGAAACAATCAATCAAAACTGATATTTGAGTTATCGAAAGTTATATTTTTACGAAAATGGTGGTCATTTGGAAATGGGCGGCCATATTGAAAGTGCTTCTAAAAGCAAAGGTCCTTTGCCCATAACATTTGGACCAAACTCTTCAAATGGTATTTAAGTTATAAAACATTTTTAGTAAAAAAATGGCGGTCATTTTTAGAGTTTAGCGGCCATCTTGAAAAATCCCTTTTGGCCAGAGCTCCTTTGTCCCAAAATCATAAGCATAAAAAGGTTGAACCCAATCCGCCAACATGTATTTGAATTATCAAAGATTACATTTTTACTAAAATCGCAGGCCATTTTAAATCGATTGGTCATATTGAAAATTCCTTCTCGAGCAAAGCTCATTTGCCCTTATGGCATGAATTGAATTTAAACCAAATTCGTCAACCGTTATTTGAATTATCGCCCGGACCCACAAACGAATGGACGAACGAACGAGACTATCAGTTATCACACGTTTCAGCATGTGATACAGGAAATATTACACGAAAGGTAATACTGTATCATCCACGAAAGCGAAGCTTGAGTGGTGATACATTGTTACCCGAGTGGAATATTTCCTGTATCACATAAGCTGAAACGTGTGATGACGATTTTATCACATGTCTAGGAATTTTGAAGCATTTTGATTTGGTCAGTTATGATTGTGTTCAGTACCCTGTGTACTTCTAGTAACTATTATAATTTTTGATTTCGCTTTGAAACAATGTGACGTCATATCGTTGTATTCGTACTTGTTTGTGAAATAGTATGACGTCATATTGTTTTCCTTAGCTAGAAGTGATATAATCAGTGACGTCACATCGTTGCTATTGATCATCACTGGTTGCCTCTAGTAACGTGTGAGACGGCCGTGTGAGACGGGAAAACTCACACGGTAATCAACCAATCAGATTACTGGAATTTTACAGAGCATGTGATAAGACGTCATTTGTTGCTGCTGCATCAGTGTCTTCATTCGTTGTCTTCTTCCTTTGTCTTGATTTGATTGTGATGTTGGTTTTCTTTCTTCATGGTCCACAGACTTGAGACTACACGTAGATGGGTTAAACGTTTTGATCCTGCCGGACGGGTTCTCTATATCCCTACCGAACTTCATTCGGTGGGATAATAACGAGGAGTAGATAGATGGTCAAACACACACAGTGACACACGCTTTATAAAATAATAGGATGCGAATTCTAATTCCTAAAAAAATCTGTTAAACTATGTCTTAATGACAAACAGGGATTGGAATTTTAAATCGACCATACAAAGGATTTTTTCTGAGCTTGAAATGTTTTTTATACAATTTTAGTACATTTTTTCATGTCTGAAAAGTCATCCCAATGTCAATGTAGACCGCAACTCTTCCTTGAAGTGAAAATATTCTGGGGTAACATCATTAAGATAACATGATAGCGAAATGCGCATCACCGATGTGGTTACTAATGCATATGGAACCATGTACTTGCAACTTACGTGGTTATGTTTGTCACGACTGAGTCTTTTTGCTTGTATTATTTGTGGTTCGGTTTCGGCATTAGTGAGCATGTTGTTTTCACATTCAACAATCGAGGTATAAAATAAGGAGAAGCGAATTGTATAAAACATCAAAATCAACCTAACTGTCATTCTGGTAGTCTGTATCTTCTGTTATGTGCGATAACTATTGTTATGAAAGTTACAAACCAATCTACGCACCGAGAATAATAAAAAAACAGACATATCCTTAGCAGAGAGGTGAGACGCGCGCTATCAGGAAAAAGTACACAGTATCGAATTGCTCATGTTTTGGAAATGGATCACGCCAATTAGGCCTAGACATGACGCCTCTGGTGAGCAGAAAATATAAAATAAGTGAAAACCCATGGTCATGGTTACAAAACCAGATGTCAGGAAAATGTTTTTTCAACGAATGCTTGACATATGGCACCCTAGGTGCCAGGGTCTAGTAAATTAGTAAATTAGATAAAGCTCTTTTACATCTCTTAGAAGCAATATCAAAATATTTGGAAGGGAAGAAACATGTAGACATTGTGTAGGAGTGTCTGCACAATGTTGTTTAACTACACCAGTCTAGCTCACACACAGTGTTTAGAAAACATTGACATAAGTAATTTCCCACAAAAAATTGCCTCTCCGTTGCTCTATAAGACTAATTAAGTTCCATTTGTTTTCCTTTTTTCCTTTATTAAGGACTCGGGGGCACTTGGTCCCCGGTTTAATGTTGTATGTAAGGGGAAAGCAACACCAAACTTCATCCTTTTGATTCCAATAAATTCATCCCCTCCACATCGGTAAAATGACTTTTGCTATTTGTTAGAACTTCTTTGGGTCATTTAAAATTCTCTAGCCATGATCACTCAGTTATTTGGAGTAATGATCTGACATTCTATTGTTAAAGGCACAACATTAACAAACTACTCCATTTTAAGTTTCAATTGATAAATATGTGTGAACAAAATTTATCCATTCTGTAATGGAGGAGTTTCTAAATAGCTTTGAAATCTCGCTAATTCTCTTTTTTCATGGGGTTTTGGATTTTAAGAGATTTGCACTTTTTACCTCTAATGACTTACTTTTCTTTATTTTTGATAGCATATTTGAATTCAGTGACAAGTTTTCTCCAAAAATAGCATTGGTTTACACAGTTATGTCATTTAAATCATTTTCATGACATTTAAAAAAAACTTGGGCCATATCTCAATTGGAGCAATGCTAAAATTCATTAAACCTTGGCTTATTCGTATGACAACCAACATTTTCATTTTTAATCACAATATGTACATTGACAGGGCCATCCAATAATATACCATTCGAGTTTCAGACAGACTCAACCAGCGCTTTTAGATAAATCATGAAATTAAGTGACTATTGCAAGTTTCTAGCATTTAAGTGAATGGAGGTCTGGCCCAAGAAAATCAAAAACAAACAAGGCTGACATCTATTATGTCAGCGTTATGCAGCTATTTAGAAACTATACATTTGATGAGATAGCTGCATCTCATGCTTATTTACAACCACACAGATATTTGTAATAAAATAAGAGCCCTCTACTGACAATAATATTTGCTTTTACCAGCACCAAACGTTCATTGCGACCTGGAGCGAATATACTAAAGAAAGTGTAATACTTCCAAACCCAGTTTGAAGTGCACCGGGCGACCAAAGATTCTAAGCTTGACTCACACTGAACGTCTTCTCGATACTGTTACAGTTCCTCCTTTGCAGATTGTTCGGAAGTGCCAAATAAAAAGGGCAAAGGGATTTACAAATTGAGGCCTGATGATTCACCATGGGCATTCAACGCGTTTTGTGAGGATGGTTGGACTGTAATCCAGAGACGTTTTGATGGTTCCGTAGATTTTGCCAAGTAAGCCAACATTACATGTAGGTTTCTACACTGAAACCCATTCAACATTTATCTCTAGATATAGGCTACACTGAATTTTGCACATGCTGTCAAGCAGTTGGGACCGATTTTCATAGTAGGCCTAAAAGGTTTTCAAACATGTTTTTTACTCCACCCTCTCTTGTCGATTCATAAATAACATCCCTGTCCTCAGAAATTTATTTTTCAGACAATATAGGCCTAGAGTCTTACATCCTCAACAAACATATTATTTCTTTATTTATAGGCGGTGGTCTGAGTTCGGAAATGGTTTCGGTGATTTGGCAGGTGAGTTCTGGCTCGGTCTGGAGAACGTTCATTCCCTTACTCAGAGTGGCAAGTACACGTTGAGGGTCGAGGTAGCCAATCCAAAACTTTACACTGCCGAGTATCCCGACTTCAGTGTCGCAGGAGAGGACGACTTCTACCGGCTATCGCTGGGTAACATGACCAAGGGAACATTGGTAAGTTTAGAGACATCTGGTCCGTAGCAAGGATTTGCCAAGGGGGTGGGGCAGTTTTAAAAAGTCTATGGGTGTTTGACAGTTTTGGCTCAAGTTATAACTTGAGCCAAAATTACGTGTTCAAAATGAAAATCAAAGTGAAAAACTGCATTTAAAAACTGAGATTTTTTGGCCAGACCCCCCTGGATGCGGCCCTGAACATGCAATATAACAGTGAACGTATTTTGTATGTAATTTGAATAATAACAAGAGACATACCTCTATGTGAAAGTAGCTGTGTGATTAGAGACGAAGTACACCAGTAAAATGTCGACATGTACGATTTTCAAAGCGAGGCCACAAAGTACATTTTCACTCCTTCTTTTTGAAGACCTTTAAAGTCATTCTAGGCTTATCTCGGGTGACGATATCAATTTCGATTTTGGGGCAAAAGTTGTTTATTACAATTGTAATTTATTACTTTTTCTACCAGGCCTAGGCCTATATAAATTATGATCTATGTTTTTGAATGTAACTTTTTATTCTATCGTACGATTGTGTTAGTTGACTTGTTGTGATTGGTACTCTTGGCCGGGAATTGGTACCAACTCGGGACTATAGATTAGGCTACGCCATGATGTTGCTCAAGTTATATTTTGATTCTCACAATAAAATTAGATGGTTAAACTTAACGTCGATGGAAAGCCGTGTTGGCCTTTGTAGTTTTTCAATTTCACATCGTAATGTGTTTAAAATAAATAGATTGGCAAAATACTATATCTAGTAGGCTTATGCTTCAAGGCGCGTCAGTTCGTTTCCATATAACTATAATCTTGCCTGTAGCCAGCTTTTACCAGGAGGGGGAGCTTTTTCCAGGGGGGAGCTTTTTCACAATTTTGGCTAAAAATCATGCGAAAAATTCTCAGAATAGTGAAAAACTGCATGATTTTGAAAGAATTTCTGGCCAGGGGGGGGAGCTTGCGCTCCCCCAGCTCCCCCTCTGGCTACGGGCCTGATAATATTATTACCCTTTCTGCTCAAAGGAAGTTAATACAATTTAATCAGACATGTCAATCTACCGAGAAACGGCATTTTGTATTTCGACAAATGACAAGCTTGATAAATAAATATTTTTCCCGTATTTTAACTTTAGAGGTTAAAAAACTCTCCCATATATTCTTTATATTGCGTGTCACCATTTTATTGTCATATTAACACGATTTAAATGGGCAACACTAAAGCCAGATAGGCCTACGAATTGAGAGCAAGTACACGAAATCTTTGCTGCAACTTTAAGAAAGCATCCTTTATGTATTTCTTAATTTCATTTTTTGTATTGTACAGTTTAGATCTAATAAAATGCAGTAGGAACAGAGGGATTGATTTGATCTCATGGATGTTTCTTGGTATGGAAACAAGAACTGATTAAGGACGCTCTTTCGGATAATTCGTCCTGAAATTTGGTTGGGAAAATTGAAGTAAAGTGTCCATTTCGATGATTTCAGGATGGCATGTCGAATGTAGATGGCCAGAAGTTCTCAACCCCAGCCTACGATAACGATAATTGGAATCAAAACTGTGCGCAATACTTTGCGTCTGGCTTCTGGTATGACAACTGTGGCTCAGACTTGAACACCCGCTGGTGTGAAAGGGGGTGCCTCAGATGGGCTAATAAATACATTACAAAATCATTGATGAAAATCAAAAAGAACTGATATTAATTGATACGCATCATATATGGACGTTTTGCATAGTGAACAAGTAATGCCATCTTTAGATGACATCTGCATTGAAACTATAAAAGGTTTGCCCTCACAGTGAAGTACTTGACGATTTAATCTTTCACTTGACACCCTTGGTATACGCAGCTAACGAAAATTGACCGGTACGGGTCAAAAGCTGTACCGGTACGGGTTAACGGTTTTATTTGAATTTAAAACAGCCATAACTTGCTCAATATTGACTTCCTCGTGTCTAATTTGAAATATATGATGCCTCCCGATGCTCTTAAGTACCCTAATTTTTTACAGATTTTTAAACGGACCAAAACTCTCTAAATGCGCATTTATATAAGAATCTCATTTTCACGATAACTTTTATTTAGTACTTCTAACATATAAGATCTATTTTTCGCGTTTGATTTTATAAAAAATGCCAAACTTAAACACATGTATAAAGATTCCTAAATTATGTTCATGCTATTGCCCCGAACCGGTCCGTCTTCTCGCTGCAAGCAGGATGAAATTCATTGTCACAAAGTTTGGCATTTTTTTATAAAATCAAACGCGCGTCATTGAAACTCACAAGATGTAAATAGCATGTCATTTACATCATACCTTGATGGGGAAAAATAGATCTTATATGTTAGAAGTACTAAATAAAAGATATCGTGAAAATGAGACAGTCGTTCTCGAGAGAAAAGAGCATAAATGCGCATTTAGAGAGTTTTGGTCCGTTTAAAAATCTGTAAAAAATTGGGGTACTTAAAAGCATCGAGAGGCATCATATATTTCAAATTAGACACGAGGAAGTCAATATTGAGCAAGTTATGGCTGTTTTAAATTCAAATAAAACCGTTAACCCGTACCGGTCCAGCTTTTGACCCGTACCGGTCAATTTTCGTTAGCTTCGTATACCAAGGGTGCTTGAGTAGAGCAGAAAAGAAGTGATCTGATGTACGAATGAAAATGTATGTTTTATTAATCGAAACATGGAAGACTTAACCACCAGGGACAAGAGTGAGATAATTACATTTGCTAGGGCACAATACTTCATTTGCCATTCTTCGATAGACAATATTATAACCCGGAAACATATTTAACAACGAATAAGACTGTAAGAGTAGTTCAGATCTGGAATCGATTTCAAGAGAAGATGTAGCATTCACTAGGAATATATTGCAGGCAGTTTCGTGTGTATTGAATAAAATCATTTACACCCTGATACCCATCCCATCTTTCTGTTAGAACTAAGATAAGGTGTGAACATAGAGGATATCCTATGATTTATGAGTGATATGATTTTTATCCACGAGTGGATATGATATCTGCACGAGCGAGCGTAGCGAGAGAGTGCAGATATCAATATCCATGAGTGGATTAAAATCATATCACGAGTAAATCATAGGATGTTCTTTTTATTCCATAGTTAAAGTCATCATCAGAATCGTCGGAAATTAAGTTATTTAATTCGAATTTCCAAACGATCCGGCGATGTTGACACTTAGCCTCGTTTTGAGTCTGAAGTAGCAAAAATCCATAAACCATCGCATACGACGTCGTATGTCATGGCTAAAAAACCGTATGTTATGGTTAAGTGAAAATTTGTAAAAAATATCATATTTTACTACTGATTACAAAAATACCGTTTTTATGTTCACATGTTATCCTATGAATATCATGCTAACTATGGAATAAACTTATATACTCAATCTACCATTTCCGCTGTGCGCTCATAATATCATATTTCTTTTATTCATTTTTATTTATTTATTTATTTATTGGCACTGCCACTGATTATCAGGGCATGATACCGCGGGTACTGCGATTGTCACAACCCAAATATGCATATCATCAAATGCTTATTTGGCTTAATTTCTTTGTACAGCTATCTGGTCAAGCTATTGTGAAAGCAAAATATGTAATAACATGACGTCATGGAGATACCTAACAACTTCAAACAGTTGAATTCAAAGCCATCTTGAAAATGACAGACAAGATATTTGCTCTAAGAAAGGCGTTGACACAATCTGAAAAGGAACGTCGACTTTTTTCTAAAAAAGGCAAAACAAACAGTATAATACAAGGAGCGAGAGTGGTTGAATGTCAGCAAAATGCAGTAGAACTCCGAAAATTGATTCTCCAATGGGAAACTCTGGAGAGACAAAAACGAAAAGCAGTATCGGATTTGAATACGGAGATGAACCTGACAAAACTAAGCTTTAAGAAATTGAATTTGAAACCTCAAAAATCGAATGAAGAAGAAGATTTAGAAACTATTACAAATGAAACGAATCCCGTCGGTTTTCGATTTAGATCGAATGGTGACATTCGGGAAACACAACACGTTTCGAAAACGGCTATGAAACCAACAATTGAAGCTTTAAAAGGGCAATCTGATATTCAACAGACTAGCACAAGATCAAAATCGAAACAAGAAGATGAGATTTCAGGTGAATCACTCGTCACCCCATTTGGAGAAAGTGATGAAAGTGATGAGTCAGAAAAAATCGATTACAATGAAGAAATTGCAAAATTAGAGAAAACTGTCAAAGAACTATCAGAAGATGTCCTGAAACGATCGAATTCTAAAGCGGCTAAACAGTATCTAAGAGCACATACTCGTGAAGACCATAGCAGTTCATATGCGGATACAAGGGCCCTACATTATATGCAAATGCATCAAAACGATCGTTGGGCCTCCCTCCCAAGTAGAACTGATTTCGGACGGTATTCTCGTACCGACAGACAAATGCACAAAAAATATTCACTCAAGGCTAATTGTGTCGCCTGTGAGCTTAGACTGAAACAGAATGACACCGATAAAATACAAAGTAAATCCCTTAACAAACCCTGCGGTAGAAAATGGAACATCACGTCTCGGGTCAAAGATGATTCAAAGAATATTGGGTCGCAGTGGGATATGTCGTATTTGAAAAGCAAAATGAAACGCCAGGCAGATGAACGGAAGAAGCGAGAAGTAGCTTCGTATGAAGATAGTTCCAAAGAAAAACAAGAAGCCCCCGACATTGACACAAGCACTCAAAACTATAGCACATTAACGGTGGATTTTTGTAAAGCTCCAAAGGTGTGGTCACGTTCTGAGCACGATACAAAATCTGACCGTTTACGTCCAAAAACAGCACAATCTTTAAGAACAGAAGTTCACTATCATAGTACAGAGGAACGGTATCAACATATGATGCAAAGAGCATTGTTATCCAGTCATGATGGGGAAAGTTTCGATACACTGAAGGGCTCAAATGCTTCAAAATGCCGATTGCAAAGTGCGCCTAATATTGGCGCGTCGTCCGCAAGGAGCAAATCTCAAATGAGTAGACGAGAAGTTGGAGAAATTCGAAAAACGTACAAAGAAAAACTTGTGGAGAAAGCAGTAAGTTTTTAAGCTTAAATGGTCATCTTCTATTCTAATTAATATCTAAAACAACCGATTGTCATTTCTCATTTTTTTACACATCAGAAGTTGCACCACAGTTGTCTTAGCTATAGGAGCGGGAGGTAATAGCTTGAAAGAAAAGTTAGAATTTTGGAATAACTGCATGGTTTGCTCTGCAGATTGTGCTATACCACAGAAAACACTAGGTGTGGATATCATGCGCGTGCGGTGGCAAATATTTTTGTATTTAAATTCGTGATGTTTTATCAACTAAGCCGTGTGTGGTATCTATAATTATATACATATCTGTAGATGAAACATATCAAAACGAAATTGTGTAAATAGAAGTGTTCTTCCAGCGCCGCAGTAATATAAACACTAAACCTCTCCAAAACATACATATTGAAATTGCCGCTCTTATAAACATTTTACAGCCCTCATTCAGTATTGGTGAATAAGATATACGCCAGCGATACAAATTATTTTTGCATCTTGAAATTCAAATAGGATTTGTGTGATTTGGTAAAAATTGCAAAACATTTATTTGATATGTACTTCATCTAAACACCATGTGCGGATAAGCTCAATAAACGGGAAACTGTATAATGCTTACTGAGAGTGAAATTCTCAACTGCAGTATTTTCATAATTTCTCTTTCCACACATGAATACAATTGAGTACCCAATATGGCTCAGTTTATAAAATTCAAATATGACCGTTAAATCCGCACCGCGCGCGCATGTTATCCGCACCGAGTGTCTCCTGTATAATAGCGCGGGAGTGGTCATATCTAACATTTTCAAGGGTTTTAACATGTAGATAATCATTCAGTAAGTATTCACGTGTATAGCTACTTATCCTATGCCAAGTAGAGTTTTAGGGAGATAAGTTGGTAAGATATATCCCGTATGCTGATTTTGAGGTTTCCATACCTCCATATCTCCCGCCCTGTCTCCGGCTTCGGTGCATATCTTCCCGCTTCCGGTGCATATCTTCCCGCTTCCGGTAATGCAATAAAATGACTTTGCATATGAATGATTTGTTTATTTTTACACCTTGTACCTTGAAATGGCCACATGCCCCTGAAAACTCTACTTGGTATAGGATAAAGCAGTTATGTACGGTCGGTTTGGATATGGGGTTCATCCCTCGTGAGATATGCACATCTACCTTCGGTCCCTACGGTCCCTCAGGTAGATATGCATATCTCCCTCTGGATAAACCCCATATCCAAAACCTCCCAGTGCATAACCCTTATGTATTTAGCAGATCTAATTCCTATCAATTAAGCTTACTCTGAACGTACTCATTGTACATAAGTTTTCAGAGTCTAGCATGGCCGTAGCCACTGGATAGAGGAAGAAAAGAGCTTCATAATGCTTTTTATTTGAAGTTTCTAACTCAATTTTGAAGGAAGTTACATCAATTTTTGTAGAATTCAAAGAAATCTTTAAAAAAAGATTTTTTGCTCGCTCATGCCACGATTGTACCACGCAGTCCTAACTTCGACCGTTAATTTGAATTTTTGACCTACCAGGTGCTTGAAAATCAAGGATTGCGAGTCTCATACTGCACCGATTTTCTTCAAACTTATACCATTAAAAGCAGAACAAAATTGCCCTACTATCGGTGCATTACTTTATTGTAAAGAGTCCTTCGTTCTAGCAGCGTTTTGGTCCCCAGCTGTTAGAAGGCCTTCTTACAGCTGGGGACCAAAATGCCGCTGGAAGTAGGGACTCTGTTGAAGAGAATAATGTACCATCAGAAAGGGATGTGTTATGCTTTGAATGGAACAAGTTTGAAGAAAAACGTTGCAGTATGAGACTCGTAATCCTTGATTTTCAAACATCCGGAAGGTCAAAATTCAAATTAACGGTCGAAGTTAGACCGCGTGACCAAAATCAAGGATTGCGAGTCTCATACTGCACCGTTTTTCTTCAAACTTATACCATTAAAAGCAGAACAAAATTGCCCTTCTGTCGGTGCATTACTTTATTGTAAAGAGTCTCTCGTTCTAGCAGCGTTTTGGTCCCTAGCTGTTAGAAGGCCTTCTTACAGCTAGGGACCAAAATGGGGCCAAAATGCCGCTGGAAGTAGGGACTCTGTTGAAGAGAATAATGTACCATCAGAAAGGGATTTGTGTTATGCTTTGAATGGAACAAGTTTGAAGAAAAACGGTGCAGTATGAGACTCGTAATCCTTGATTTTCAAACATCCGGTAGGTCAAAAATTCAAATTAACGGTCGAAGTTAGGACCGCGTGACCCCCTGACTGAAAGTCGAAATTATTTTGACGATCGCACCCCCCCCCCCCCCTGACCGAAAGCTGGATACGCCCATGCCTAGTACAATAAGTTGATGAAGTCATCTTTGAAGCAAAATCAGACTTTTGGAAAAGGAAACATAATTATTTATTAAATAATTTTAAACTAATTTCTAGAGAATGGATGCAAAGGCAAGCGATGAAAGGGTGAATCATTTCCTGATGTCGCTAAAAGATAAAGAAAATATTGATGGAAAAAGTACGAGTTCGTTAAACCATAAATCAAGTGGGGCATCAATAGAGAGTGGAGACAGCAGTGACAGTACTGAATACATTCCATATAGAAAGTCAGCATGGACAAGTAGCCATCCAACACTCCAACAAAAGATGGCACCACGGATGGTAAAAGCTGACGATTTTAAGAAAAAGTCCGCGTCAGTGATCAAATCAAATCAATTGAGAAGGACAAGCACATCACTGTTTCAAAATGAATCATCAAAAAAGAGAAGGAAAGCACTGACATTAGAACAATCTTTTAAAGAACTAAAAGACTGTAGATATCTCAGGAATCCGTCAAGACCATCGGTTGATGAGTAGCATTTCAAAAGTCACTGAGTTGCGTTTTACAAAGCACAATTACTGGATTGCATTTCGCACTTAGTGCAATAATTTCTGTGTTCATGATTATTATTTTCACATCATTTGATACACATTTATAAGAGAGTAGATGCTACGGATCAGTTTTATTAGATCCAAGCCTAGGGTTGGATTCAATCCAAGATTTGAAGGCTATTTTACATGTACAGGTCTCATAAAATGTATTCATGCCTGTTTTTAATTCAAATTAGTTTAGAAATAATACGATTCGGATGTACCATGGCCTGTGAATGTGAAATAAAATGTGAAAATAAATGATTTCAAAATACATCTGAAAGATCAATCAAAAATCAATCAAAGTTTCAATCATATTACTGTGAGTTCATTATGTTATGAGTCTGTTCCATGATTATTTGGGACTTGTACAACCATGGGCTTTCAAGAGAAGGGTATAAACATGAGAAATTCAAATGAGCAGTGCCATGCTTCCCTTTTTATGATACTATTTCAAAAAGTATTATATAAATGTATATGTTTTAGTATTATCTTGAATAAAAATCAATTTTCAATATGATTAAAGCATAAAACTTGTTTACTCTCTTGTAGAAGTAAACAAAAAGACCAATAAGAAAAAGAGGTATCAAAATGTTCTCTTCAAGTATTGCATTGTGGGTAATTATTCCAGATTACAACCCAATAAAAACATAATTTGTGGGAGAATGTTCACTTTCATTATTACCATAATCATGATGAATTTCATTTCGTATTAAATTATCAACATGTATGTCGATAATCATGTTTTTATTTTTGGATTATTTCTTAAATTATACATGAAAATTACAAAATAAGATTTTTCTTGGAATGTGTGCATTCCCAATTTTGAAAACCCAAGGCAATGGCTAGGTATGAAATATGGGAAGTTGCCTACCCTTCTCTTGAAAGCCCATGGTACAACTTAATGGAAAGCTTTGCCCAAATAGTTTGATGTCGATATACTCTAGTACCTTTTGTACACCACTTGTAATGTTTAGACATATCTCAATAATTAAAATGAAAAAATATAAAATTGTCACATTTACCTGTTTTCAATTCAAATTAGGTTTTAAAAATAGTATGCTTGACAAGTAGAAGTGATGAGTAGAAATTTGGGCTGATAATATCCAAATAGGGAAAATATGTTCACAATGGTGCTAGTTAAGTCCAGGTTTTGCACCAATAAAACCTACAGGCAAAACATTTGTATATCTTGGATTGCTAATGAAATGGACAGTAATATAATTATTAATATATATAATATAGGCCTATTTGGATAGCTAGAGCGCCAATCCTGGGAACTAAACCACGGGAATCGCAACCCATGTTCTATAGGAAAAACGGTCTTATCGCAAAAACTAAAATTGTGCTACAGAGCTAAAAATGTGTCCAAGATTAAGAGGAAAATGTGCTAAATTCAAATCCGACTTTTGGTCTATTTGTGCAAGGAAAATTTTTTAAGACATAAGCCATGGCTCAGGCATTTGTGATAAACAAAAAATTAGACCGCTTTTCATGTGGCCTGACTCATTTGATGACTGAAATGACTGTGAACAGAGCGAATCATTCATCAAATCCTGACGTCATATTCTTGCACAATGACGTCATTGATGTTTGTCAGCAACCCATCACAGTCTGAAATCTACTGAGCAGAACGTAAATTGATGGTTTTAATCTCATGGAAAGGCTGGTTTCCAGCCTAAAAGGGGCGTTAAACGTTGGTGCTCAATAAAAACAATGACGGAAGAGGTCATGGGAAGAGCAGGTGATCCCAACGACGAGTTGATTGCTCCAACAGAGGATGTAATCTCATCGACAGAAAATAGCACTGCGAGCACGGTCAGCTTGAAAGACAGTCGAAGATCATGGATTGTCTGCTTCGCTGGATTTCTCATTCAAGTTTTAATCGTTGGCATATTGCACGTCTGGGGTGTATTTTTCCTCTCTATATGCAACGAGTTTAACGCCAGTAGAGCTGAGGTCTGTAAGTAAGCATCTCAGTTCTTAACTTCCCTAAATTTTGGAAAAAGTTTATTTTAAATGTCAAACAAACGGTGGCTTTTTCATTGAGTTTCTGATGCAAAAATAATGATTTGCAATCACGCCTTTGTTTTTTCTTTTGTCTCAACTATAACGAATTATCTTTTAAATATCTGACAAGGAAGACTCTCGGAAATGCAATATGTGAGACAACGGTGATTGTGTCCAATATACAACATGCATCAAATTTTGTTTAACAGCATGGGTTGGATCTGCAGGATATGGTGTCACAATGTTATTTGGTCCTCTGGCGAGTGGGCTTATCAAAAAGATTGGAGCGCGTAAAACGGCAATGATGGGAACTATCCTATGTGTAATAGGAATACTTACGTCATCATTTGCCGAGTCTCTGACGGTGATGTTCCTGACCTTCTCCTTGGTATTTGGCCTGGGCTGCTGCTTTGCTTACACACCTACTATGTGTATTACGGGAGACTATTTTGATAAGTACATGACAGTGGCTACTGGATTCATGGTCGCCGGTGAGTACTATGCTTGGTAGGTTTGACCGAGCCTAAAATGTTTTCGGCGATATTCAATTACCATTCCAAATCTACATTTGCTCATACAAGACGCTGGTTCCAATTGTCAGTATTTCTTGATGTCTTTTCTTTAAAAGGAAGTAGTACTGGAACGTTAATCCTGGCACCGATCTCCCAGGCACTCATAGACAGTATTGGTTGGCGTAACGCCTTCAGGGTCCTGGCAGCGTTTGCTTGTCTTACATTGTGGAGTGGTTGGCAGTTCGTACCACTCCCTGGGACACCAGTAAATAGACCACCCGAGCAAACAATCAAAAAGTCGATGGCGAGACGTCTAATGGCAGACCTGCGCCTTTGGAAAAATAAAGCATTTGTAGTCTGGACGCTAAGTATTACCTGCGTTATGTTCGGCTATTACATACCTTATGTCCACTTGGTAAGTAGTGAATACGTGTGGGTAGAAGTAGAATTGAGTTGGTGGAGCTGCCGGTATGTTAAAAACAACTACAATGGCGAGTAGGGATCTTTACCTTTCATTGGTGTAGTTCTTGATACAACTGTGTCGCCAATATCATACAAAAAACTCTCTTATTCTCGTTAGGATTTTTAACCAAAACTGTGATAATTACCTCAAATAGAAGTAGCCTTTGCATAATATCCTCTTCAGCATACTTTTTTCTCGTTGATTTTTGCCTACTCTAGCCGCTGCTTTTTATTTAAGTACCACTTTACAGTCAGGTAGCTCCACCGTGTATTTTAAAAAAGATTAGACAGTAGATTGAATAAATAAAAAACAACAATAAAAACATCTAAAATGAACTTATGTTTCAAGGTGTCCTATGCTGAGACTATTGGGATTCCTCCAGAAAAAGGTTCCATTTTGGTGATGTGCCTTGGCGCGTCCACGGCAACGGGGCGGATCATGTTTGGAAAGATCGTGAAGTCGGGAGTGATGAACCGGCTCCATATGCACCAGCTTTCCATGGTCGTTACAGGAGCTGCCAGTATGCTTCTTCCACTCATTAAGAGTTTCCCAGGTCTCATCATCTACGTCATTTGTGTTGGCCTTGTGGACGGTTGCTATGTGGTACTTCTACCCGTGATGACGTCTGCATTAGTAGGGGCAGATAATACAGTCCTTGCCTGGGGATTCCTCATTGGTACATCTTCTTTCACGTTCACCCTGGGACCTCCTGTTGCAGGTAAAGTATTGACAGGAGTAACAATTTGCAGTCCCACCAAAATGATGATCATTATGTTATAGAGTTTTAAGTGTAGGTTTAAGAAAGGTAGCGTATTCGGCCAGGGTTGTGGTATTCGCCTAAATCGAATCTAGTTTTGATTACAATATTCATTCATTTTCAATTCCAGGTTGGCTTTTCGATTCAAACGGTTCATACGACGTTGCTTTCCACATAGCGGGCATCCCTGTTATTCTAGGAGCGATTGCTTTGCTTCTCATCCCTTGGGCCCAACGCACGTCCACATCCACCAACGTCATGGTGGCAGCGCGGCCTACGTACGCAACTCTCGATGAATTAGTAGTCGATGACAAAACAAACGAAGGTGACTCGCTGAGTGACGACGATTCAAATAATGGCGTAGTAATTGAACGACCAGGAAAGTTCCTTATAATCGAACTGGACGAAGATAGCGATCGAAAACTAACGGTAGGAGCCTGTAAACTGGTAAACCCAATCCATCAGAACCTAAGAGGTCGACGCCATCGCAGTATTTCTGTGTCATGCCCGAATGAGATTCCAGATTACGTGGTTCAGAATCTAGATGCTATGGGAGCTCTTACTCCGAGTATGGAGAAACTGGCACAAGCAAGAGAAAGGGCCCATGAGGAATCCCATTCGGTTATACCTAAACCAAGAAAGAGAACCATAAGTGAAGGATCGGCCCCCGCATATCTGAGCGTACAGGTATAAGCAATGTTGGTAGAGATGATCGCCTATCACTTATATGCTTGCATTGTAATTTGCAGAATACATTCTACTTTATATTATACATTATGAGTATAATGTATAGGTCGTCTTTGCAGCAACACAGTAGGATTTGCCATCTATTCGTATGACTCTATGAGTATCAGTGGTGGAGAATATCGTTCACAGTTCAAAAATAGGCATAATTTCAAAGTGCAGAACAACATCGACAATTAAGATCTTCCATAGTTATTTAAAAAGTTTAATTTCTATATATTGCTATGTCTTCGTAAAAATCACAAAAATTAAATAGCGTTCATTTGGTAACTCAAAATTAAAATAAATATTTATTACTTTCTAATTATAACTATTTTATGTCTCTCCAGGATCCACAATTAATGCGACATGTCGGCGTGGATGATGACGTCATCTTAGATGCATTGTCTCCCACAGATGATGCAAATTCTGCAACAAATCCCTGGATGCAAGCGACATCACCCCCCTCTATACGTAGCCCTCATCTAATTCTAGGAACGCACTCCTCGAGCAACAGCCTATTTCCTTCAACGCATAGCTTAGAGCCCGTACCTGAGGAACCATCTGTAACTATGACAGCAAACATTAACGATGTTGCTATAGTAACCACTACTGACGCTACGGCCAATAATACCCAAACACCTGGAAATCCATTTATTGTACAAAGGGAAGATTCTACAAGAAGTTCTAGCTCAGAAGGAAATAGTTGGGATTTTGTCGAAAATGAAAGCTTATTTATAAACCAGGAAACAAAGGAAAATGACAGTAGCCAAGATGTTACACAAATATAATAGAAAAAATAATAATATTTATTTATGTGTTGTTTTAAATTGAATATATTTTTGATATATTTCATGAATGAATTTAAATAATGAATGAAATATAAATATGGTACAATACTACATCAATAATAAAAGTGTGTTCTTTGCTACTTTGGCTATTAACATACATCGTCGTTTATTAATAAACATAAAGGGTGGACCTAAAATGATCAGATTCAAAAAATTACATAGTTTGATTATAAATATTGGTTCAGAGACTTTTCACTCAATTCACGTGAGAGATCATATATATCCTTCGGTCAGTTCCACTCTAATAGGCCTCTATATATATTAATGATTTGAAAACAATAACATGTGGCGAGCATAAAGATGTGACAGTATAAGAATGGACTCAATAAATATCATGACTATTTTGATTAACATTTGCACTTGTTTATATAAAATAGTACCATTCATTGAGCAAGCTAATTTCTTCTAGCCTGTTCATTTTTGGTTCACCCTGGTACACGACTAGGAATCTCATAGACATATTCAGTGATCATTGGAAGCTGACAACTATGGATCACATAGACACATACAGGAGCTTACATGGATCTCATAGTTATATATTCAGTGATCATTGGAAGCTGACAACTATGGATCTCAGATACACATACAGGAGCTCACGTAGATCTCATAGATATATTCAGTGATCATTGGAAGCTGACAACTATGAATCACATAGACACATACAGGAGCTCACGTTGATCTCATAATTATATATTTAGTGATCATTGAAAGCTGACAACTATGGATCACATAGACACATACAGGCGCTCACGTGGATCTCATAGATATATTCAGTGATCATTGGAAGCTGACAACTATGGATCTCAGAGACACATACAGTGATCATTGGAACCTGACAGTTATGGAAATCATACAACATATACCGTGATAACTGAAAGCTGGATACTATGGATCTCATAGACACATTAAGTGATCATTTGAATGATTATACTTCATTATAACACATTAATATTGTAGTCATTAAACTTCATTGTAACATGTCAATATTGTAGTTTTATACAGTACAGCATTGTGGTTAAATTATCTCTTCGTCATGTTTGTGTAGCTTTTCCATTGTAGCTAAATGAATTCACTGTGACTAACATCACAATTGCCACAACAGTCAAATTTAGAATTCACAAAGGCAAAAGGAATCGAGTCTTATGCAGTCAAAAGGAATTGAGTCTTCTGCTGTCCTAGAAGGGAGAGCACCAGATGATTTGAAGTGAAGAATAAATCTGTACTTCCTGGTTACCCGACCTGCCACTGGAAAACATGAAGCATAACGTAAACAATAGGTGTATTTCTGAATGGGATGGGATTAACTTACCAGGCTTTGTCATGTAATAGTGCTCATGAAGCATATTTGTAAAGTAATATTTTGCAAAAATAGCCCAAAACAGATACAATGCCACTTTAAGTTGCAATGAAAAGTCAAAATTAGAAGAAAAAATCTCAATAAACAACATGAAGGTATAAAACTAGAAATTAATACCCCAAAACAGGAACATTGATAATTTATAAATTAGAGAAAGTATAATGTTTAGTTTTTACCCTCAGTCCTTTTCCACCCTTTGGTTGTTCTTTAATGGCTTTTTTCTCAAGGTCTTCTCTTTGTTGTTGCCTTCGCTTTAGTGCTTCTGGATCTTTTATGCCTCTTGACTCATTGGCTTTCATTCTTTGCTCGGCGGCAGCTGCTGCTTGTTGGCGTCTGGTCTCCTACAAATGACATGGATACAGTATAGATTATTCAAACATGCCAAGTGTGTCTCAGCTAGTCAGCTTAAAGCATGATACATGATTCTTTATTCATCAAATAAACATCTGGGGATATGAAATAAATATCTTGGATGACTCAATCTGCGTTTAGCCTTGGTATGAGAGATAAGAAGAAGATAGATGGCCCAGACTGTCCCCCATGTCAACAATATAAAGTGCTGCAAATTCTCATGTTATCATACTACTGCTGTAACCCTCCAATTGTGAACCTGTGCTACAAGTCATAGGAACTTGTGAACAGCTGACTTCTACAGTGGTCCACCTTGAAGAATAGTGAAAAATAGAGAATACATACTTCTAGACTCAATATTTTTCCAGGAAGAATCTGTCAATTGGCTAAACAAGACTAGTTCCTGTGCTACAAGTTCCTGAGTTGAGTAGATTCTAAAATTGTTTATTTTCTGAATACAACCCGGAAGTGCTAATGCAACGCACTTTCGCATGATTCCTGAAGTTATATTACCTGATCTATAGCCTCATATCCGGAACTTTCTTCTTGGCAACATGATGAACATGATCCCATTTTGTGATATGGCCTAAATAGGCTACAATAGGACGAAATATGAGATTTAGCAGATTTTGGATTTTTTCAAAAGCTGCCCCTCGTTGGAACAGTTCAAAACGAGATCAAGTCAACACATGTTCACATGTTTATAGTAAATCGGTCTTGATGAGTTTATACACTTAACAACTGTTGATTTAGTCACAGTACAAGGTAGGTAATCAGTAAAACATTAAGATCTAACTACAGTTTACAAGATAATGGTGCAGGAAGATCAGAAAAAGTACGGTCACTTCACTTTGATTGAACATCGATGGTTGATTTTTAAAAATTTCACAAACACACGACATAGGATGTCTACACATGAAAGTATATAAGTGAAAAGTACCAGTGACAATCATTTTAAAGGTTGAATAAAGACTATAGAAGAAATTCCACCAGGATCGCAAATTCAAACAAAAATAATCTTAGTCATATTTGGTTTGGTGCAAGATAATAAATCCTGAAACCCATTGATCCTCTGTGTTCTGTACCGACCCTTTCCTTACCCCATTCCCTCCCATTCCATCCTGCCTCACCATTTGATCTGCATGCCCTGGTGCATGCCATTCCTTGCCCCTTTGTCTCACAATTATTTATACACCAAAGTGGTATGAGGATGGCTTACACAGAATGGGTCATTGCGCAGTCTTATCCTGTTCCAGGACTATAGTCCTGCGCCCTCTCATATAATTTGTATGATTACAATTTGGTAGTTTGAGGCACATATAATTGACAAGAACAGCATACTTCGAAAAATTCCTGAGTACTTTAAGAACTCTTCATGTAGTTGAAACTAGTGGTGGTGATTTTATTGTGATATACAGTAGAACCTGTATAACCGAACACCTGGCTAATCCGAACACCTTCCAATTTGAACACTTTTTTCTGTCCCATTTTTTCCTCCCATTGACTTCCATGTTAAATAAACCTTGAAATCTGAACACCTCCTAATCTGAACAGTGAACAACCAGATATGAAAAAATGACCTGTCTAATCTGAACATTTTTATCAGAAATCAAATGTCTGGACATTTCAATAATAGCCACATATTGAGTCAATGTTATTTTATCTTTACATATACATGTACAATGTAATCAAAGAACCAATACTGCCCTAATTAACTTATTTAGTCTCAGTGACATCCCTTATTTGTGGAAAACAACAGGATGATTTGAAAAGGTGTGAATACAGGAGTTAATTGGTTTATCCTATTAGAAAAGAACTGAATGTTTTATGTTTGGATTAAGAGAAATGTGTGAATCAAGAAGATAATTGATTTATCATTATTGGAAATTACCTGGATGTTTTTGATTTGGATTAAAATAAAGGTGAGAATCTGGGAGATAATTGGTTTATCCTTATTGTAAATTAACTGGATGTTTTTGATTTGGATTATGAACAGGTCTTAGATGTTTTATATCCCATGGGTCTGTTATCACGCCTAACCATCGACAAGGTACAGTCACGTGACCTTGACAAAATATACCGTAGTACACTTTTGATGTACTATGTCATTTCTGCCATTTTAGATCGCCATTTTCTAGAATGAGGAAGCGAGGAAAGAACTAGCATTGATTTGATCAATATTGTGTCAGTTCATCATCAGGTAGTTGTTGCATTCGATTTGTAATTAAGTTGCAAATATGCATATCTACTTTAAATGACCCTCAGCAACTTCAATATCTTGTTATAGATCTACCCAGCACGTCAGGGATCTCTAAATCTTGACTGAATTTCTCAAAATTCTCTCTATTTTTTGTTTTGCTATGCAAATAACAGCCAAACTACGACTAACACAACTTAACACGGTGTATAACCCAAACGCTCCTACATGCACGACGGAGCGTTTCATTACTGAAATTAAACAAAGAAACGCTCCGGAGTAGGAAAACTGTCTGGCGGGAATGATGAGCCGTCTGACAATTTCCCCAATAATGGGAATTAGAGGTATGAGTTACATATTTCGAGTATACCATTCGATGGGTGTGATATTCATGTTGTACGTGGCTGGCTGTTGACGTTTGAAGCAATTAGGAAGAGCTGTACGAAGCAGTATAGTTATCAAAATTCAAAAACGTATTTGTCATTCTACCGGTCAAAACCCCTTTTGTCGATACATGTGGTTAGTTGAGCCAAGATTAGAGCACCAACGTATATTTTAGTCAAATTCCAATGCTTCAACGCACCATACATTATCGTAATAGTGATTTGATGACCGAAAATCCAGTCTTAAAAATGATGACATTCTCATATTCAAGAAACGCTCCGATCTGGTTAACACAGTGAATTGGAAACGCTCCGGTAGTCTAGATCAGCTAAGGAAATATATAGCTTGCCTTTCCTTTTCAGGAAGAGAAAGAAAAGATCTATTATACCCCTTGGCATCAATAGAAGAAAGATTAATTCACATATAACTTTTCGTTTTTTTCTATAGTTTTATGATTTAGCACATATGTAGGCATGACATCATCTAATGTATAGGCTTTAATCAGCTAGTTGCACGTTTAGCACCACCAGGTTCAGATGTTTCAATTTGCCTAACAAGTACAACACGTTTTTGAGAGATAGATTCGATTCGGAACTCTTCTCTAATAATCTGAAAATGATATCAAAACAAAATGGTAAGAGCGTTTCTAAAATTGTGGTCTAAATCGACGGAGCGTTTCGAGGAAAACAAGCGATTTCTCGAGAACAAGTAATGGATTTGGACTGGGATTTTAGGAAATGAGAATATACGAGTTTGTGATCTACTACTTAAACAGAAAGATTAACGTTTTCATAGAAATACTAGTTTAATTCGTAATTAGTGGTCAAGTCGTCATCTTCAGATTCGTTCGATCTACACTACGGAGCTTTGATCAAGCAAATAACAGTTTACCACCAGAAGTTGAATAAATAAGATCTTTGCTCACGGTATTGTTCATCGAATGGCACATAATATTTCACCATGACATATGATATGTAAGAGAAACGAGAGAAACAAACTTACGGTCATAGTAGAATCTTCATTAGCCGCCATTTTATTTCGCTCCGGAGCGTTTCCGCGTAAATGTAACGCTCCGTCGTGCACGTAGGAGCGTTTGGGTTATACACCGTGCTTAAGATAAGTAAAAAAAATATACATTCAGAGTTAATGCAAAACCGCTTTTTACTTTGGATGCTACTACTAAAAATAGATAATGTATGTTGTCAACTCACATGTATGTTGTCACATTGGCCTTACAGATCTCAATTCACAGTTAATTTTACAGTGAATGAAATGCTATAATGTACGTGTAATAGAAGGAACATATTTGATAATAAAGTAATAATATTTAATAGGCATATCAGCAGTGTATGCCCTAAGGATTCCAGAGCTGCTGGTCAAAATGGCATTACTGACCAGTTGCAATGTTATTTTCCTATACCTAGTGAAAAAATCAACTGGTCAGTATCAAAAGTAACCAGATAATGACCAGCTGTCCGACGCTTAAGGCGTGCCCTGCATATCATATATATTTACCCTAATCTTTTTTCCGTTAATCCATAAAATTGTCATTGATATGATTAAATGTCAATGTTACTAATTCTTTTTTTTGTGTTCCATACCTGGCTTTTGAACTTCTGCACTTTCCAGATATACAGTGTCCCAAAGTATGCCCCCTCCCTAGGCAGACATATACCAATGTCTCCATAGTATGTGTCATATATCATTTTTGAGCTTATCCAAAGTTACATTGATTTGCCAAATATGATGGTTCAAATGGTAAAAAGTAACAGGCATTTCAAAAATTAGCGTTTTGTCAAAATGATAGTTCATTTCAGTATCCTGGAAACAGCCCTGACCCTGTGACAGAAAATGTGGATGCCATTCTCGAAGATAGGATGGCTATTCAGTTCTAAAAAGATGACGTTTATGGTAGATACTCCAAGGAAACTCTTCTTATGCCTTAAAAAGGGTTCATGAGGATTACAAAATGCCATATCCCTATTTGAAGCCTGTTAAGGTCATATATGGAAAGTATTGCTGCTGTTAACATGGCGGCTAAAGAGACACACCGATTATTGTTTTGGTGTAAAACTGACTTTAATTTTGGCCAAACACTAACTTTTGTATTCCATTTTTTTTCCATTTGTGAGTTGAACCATGATACTCGGCAAATTAATATAACTTTGGATGAGCTTTAAAATGATATATGACACATACTATGGAGACATTGGTATATGTCTGCCTAGGGGGCCCATACTTTCGGGACACCCTATAGCATAAATTTTGAAAGTCATCTTGCTAGTATAGATCTCTCCATGAACTCCTTGAGATTATTAAAATTCATAAAAGTGCAACTAAACATAACGTAACGTACCGACGCCGAGTGGCCAAAAAGGTCGGAAGATATCACGCCATGGTTACATATTAATCACCATATTAACACTTTCATAAAATAAAATAGCATTCAACGAAAAAATCACGTTTACCTGTTTATCTGTACTAGGGATACAGGAGCATGTTCATTGAACATCACTTGTTACGCATAAAACCCTTAATGCATTTTGAAATTAAATCATTGCAATGTTTAATATTATAACTCATGAATTTCAATTACAGGGACAACATACACTGTGAGTTGACAACGTACATTTCTGATTTTTTAAATTATACCAAATGCATGAATATTTATTAAATCTTAACCCGTCTTAAATTGTGCAGTTTAGAGAAACACATTCTCATTAAAATATTCGACACTCCGAGACGTCAGGGGAGAAAATTATCAAAGGAAATGTGTAAAAAACAACATTTTTCCAACCGAACAATTGTATGGGTAGACGTACAACGAAAAAAATCGAGCACTGCTCGAAGATCTTTTAACGTTATTAGAAAAATAAATGTCTTTGAAATCGAATACACGCAAAATCAAACAGGAAATCCTTTTTGTATTCCTCAAATTTATTTTTGAAAACCTGCATCAAACCTACATCATAGTCTTTGCTTAAAATCAGTTAATAGTGACATTGTACATCAAAAGTGTACTACGGCATATTTTGTCACAGTCACGTGACTGTACCTTGTCGATGGTTAGGCGTGGTTATGATAGCTAAGATTCAATCAGTAAATGTTTTATGATCACAAAGACAACACAGACACAATTGCAATCAAGATTTCACGAGAACAGAAAAAATTCAACTTCGTAATATCCTATCACTAAAATGCCTCCTAAAAAGGGAGGATTATACATCATCTCGAATGAACACTCATGAAAAATTCCTTTTTACTTGAAGAGGATATCTACTCAAATATTGCTAATGCTTAAAGTGCCAAAAAACAAACAACAATGAAGGACTTTTTCAAGCAAAAGTAAAGCAGTGTTATATAACCATAATATGGGATAAGTCATTTGAGAAGCTTAAGAATTCGTACGAGAGTATCATATACTTATACTGTCAGTGTATTACAAAGTTTTTGCCAAATATAAGTTATTTTTACTAAAATAATGAAATATTCAAAATGTAAATAAAAATAGCATATAGGCTATAGGCCTATTGTAGAATAAACTCATCAACAATATGACTTAGTATTAAGTGTTCAATATAGTGGACTGAACAATGAAAATCCCCCCCCCCCCCCGATCAACATTATCCTGGAAACTTGAACACCTGCCAATTTGAACGCTTTTGGCTGGTCCCATGGGTGTTCTGATTAGACAGGTTTTACTGTACATCACTAAAAGAGATTTTCGCGATGTATTGATGTCTGAAACAAAACATTGATGTTTTAAAAAAATCAAATTTGCTAAAAATCACCAGATATGTCTTCATTCTGAAATCGTGTCTGTTAATATCACACATGGGCCCATGCAAGAAAGTTAATTGAAAAATATTAATTTTCAGGAGGACCTCAAAGAGGATTTGATTCTGATTTGGAAATTACATTTCATATGTGATATATCTATATCTTACAGTTACCAGGATGGGTCTTACAAAACAATACCTGAGATATGCACCAACTGCAGTCTTTGGTGTGGTTGCAAGCCAGAACTGTAACATAGAATACATAGACTTGCCTGAGCAGACTGGAACATTCTGCGCAGTTGGAGCCTGTGAACATGTCATCATTTGGAACCTCAGGAAGGGAGAAAAGGTGAGGACTGCAAAGAGTTGATAATTGATAGGGTTGTACAACCAGCTGTTATCCATTTGATTGTACAGGCCCATCTGATTATCATTGCTCCTAGTGTAAGCAACATGTCTGATATTAACTCCATCACTGCCAAATGAGATTCTCTTTTCAATCTTATTTTCACATACCTGTATTTGTTGTCTGGCTCTGTCACTTTGGATTTTTATTTTTAAACTTATAACATCTTTCTGTCATTATCCCAACAAATGAAATTCTGTAGGGATATAGTGAAGCCCTCCATCCATTCGTCAGTCAGTCCATCTGTCCAGAAAATAAATTAAAATATATCTCGAATGTCTGTCTTTTTATGTTCTGCAAATTAAAGGTAGAGTAGATGGTAAATATAAAATTATGGCATATACAGATTAATGAAATATGAATTTGTTTTTTTTGATTTGCTGCTCTATGAAGTTGCCATCTTCTAGTTGAACACATGGTGCTCTTATTAATGTAATGTGACCTTATATAAATGCTTTATATTGTACAGGTTCTGCTGTTACAAGGAGATAAACATGAGGCTACCATTATAGCCAAAAGTCCAGATAAACAAAATATAGCAGTTGGATACAGTGATGGCACAGTCCGTATTTTTAATCTCACATCTGGAGAGGCAACTGCATCTTTTAGTGGGCACAAGTCTGGTGTGACATCACTGCAGTATGACCATGAGGGGGTCAGGCTGGTGTCAGGATCAAAGGTGAGTTTAACTTTGTTGTATAGATCAGTGGTTGGATTGCAAATCTTTGGTATTTTGATTACTCATATGACATGTATTTGATTTGATGGTTTTACTAATTTAGTTGTTGGATTAAATGCTACAGTATTATTTTAGACACAGGTCAAAAGGTATAACAAAATAATCATTTCAGCTTAATTTTGGCTGAAACTTATGAAATAAAATTATCTCATAACAGCCAGATGTGACATACTTTTGATGAAGATATGTATTGTAGTACATGTATGTTAATTCCAGGACATGCCTATGATCAACAGATTATCTGTATATTGTGGCTATTATCTATAAATCATTTGGAAATAATGAATGTACTAATTGTATTTGTATTTATTTAAAACAGGACACAGATGTTATTTTATGGGACATTGTCAATGAGTCTGGACTGTTTCGTCTAAAAGGTCACAAAGGTCAGATCACGCAGTCCCTATTCATGCAGAAACACAACATCCTTGTTACCAGGTATACCAACTAACTCTTCAATTTTAAGAATTTCGTGTATTATGATAACCATGTAGTCCATCTAAGCATGTTCATCATAATACACGAGAGAATTTAAATTTATGAAGATTCAATATTAATTAAAAAGTTATTGAAAAATAAGAGGGTTGCATTTTTACTGTCACCGTGTACAGCTAATAACAAAACTACAGAAATGCTTCTATAGATCGTTATTGAATTTGATTTAAATCTATTTCTTGTTATATTTTATATTTCAGTTCGAAGGATACATTCATTAAATTCTGGGACCTGGACACACAACATTGTTTCAAAACTCTAGTGGGACATAGGACTGAGGTAGGCACTCATCAAGAACTAAAAACCCCTTTCATTGATCTCATGAGGATTATTTTTCAACAGGATGCTGAATCCTAGTTTTACATTATTCATCAAAATTTCATCTTTTTGACAAGGTTCACTAATTTTCAAAAGGATGGCCTGTAATTTTTCAGATTCTACCACCTGCTTGCTTTAATGCTTGGGGGAGATCACTTCATGTTATAAGTTTCAACAGAGGCAATATTGGTTACCATGGCAACAAATTAAAATACTTACACTTACTCATTCCATTCACTCGTATGCAATCAGGAGGTGACATGTTGGCTTATTACTGCCTTGTTGTTTATGATTCTATCTTTATTTAACCATTTATTATGTCACCACCAGGAATGGTGACATATTGTAATAGTCTCCAGATTTCTTTGTATCTGGTTGTTGGTGTTTGGCATTTAGCATCTGTAACAATTGGCATTTTGCAGTCGATATCTGTAACAAATGGCAGGTGGTGACATTTTGCATGTAACGCCTCGTTGATTACAATACTGTCTTCATGTATGGATTTGGGACACTCATTTTCTGTAATATGTACATATCCGCATAATGTTTTATTTCTGGTATATCGATAGCTTCTACATTAAATCCTCGTCCCAGATGTTACCTGTCATAATACATAATTTGTCCTTCATGTTCTAGGTGTGGGGGCTGAGCATAGTACAGGGGGAGAGATTGCTGGTGACGGGGTCAGCTGACAATGAACTGAGACTGTGGCAAATACAATACAGAGGCGAGGTAGGCATGGTGACACAGTTATATTAACATTTTTCAATAAATGTATAGGAAGGACCAGGCTTTGCCTGCATTTCACAGTTTTTTAATCGTAAATTAAAGTCCAAGTTTATACAAAAGAAATAAAAAAATTTTCACGAACCTTCTTATATCACCAATGCATGTATACACATGGTGTAATTGGTATATCTCTCTGCCAGGATGCAGTGATAGCTCCAGCTAGTGTTAAAGAACAGATCACTGGGGATGAGGAAAAGATGGAAGAAGATGCTGAAGATGAAGAGGAAGAAGACACAACAAGTGTGAGTCTTTTGCTGTATTTGTTCAAGTTGCCCAGTTTTCGAATTGATTTTGCTCCACATATGTTGCCATGTCATTATTTGTAGTATGTTCAAAATGTGACTTTATAGCCTGAGGATAGATGCAAGACTACATTTTGTTTTCTACTTTGTCATGTATTTGTATTTTATTTTCAGGACATAGCTGGATGTGTTAACATTGGTAGTGTATTCAGACATGGAAAGGACAGAGTGTGGTCCTTAGCTACGGATGACACAGGCAGATACCTAGCTTGCCATGTAAGTACACAATGTAATTGTCCACCCCTTCAGAGGTATACAGTTTCTCAGTTTAACAATTAAGAACCAAGTGGGGTGGAGTGGAGTGGCAGTCAACAGCAAGATTCCAATGTTGCATACAAGTCAACAATGTAAAATCATGAAAGTATTGCCTACTGGTTAATAAAGAAATGAAAGTTTGGTTCTTACCTTTATATGTATTGTATGTCAAGTATTACCATATTCTCTCTAATAAGTGCACAGTTCCAATGAACGCACATGCAACTTTTATGTTGAATAAAAAGAAAATCTCAAGAAAACAAGGTTTAATGTACATGTATTAGTTTTCATTATTTACACAACAAGATGTCGATTGATGATTATATTTAAAGTAGATAAAGAAATACATGAGCTGTAGAGTATGTAAACCTTAGAGATAACAAGTGATAACAACTAAAAAGATGATCGGCAATATTTTTCTAAATTGTTTGGATGTGGGCTTATTTGAATCTCTCAATATTTATCCTTTTAAATTTCAAAATGGAAACCGCACTGTGCGCTCACTGGAGAGAAAACGGTTAGTAAGTTAAAATGAAACTGGAGAGGCAGATTAGGTAAATTGTATACCCTTGCTTCATCAGGAAAAAGGAACATGTGTGTAACAAATTGTCACACTTATGTAACCACTTGCAATGACAAACCGTATAGTGACCTTATCTAATGTTAATGCCTTATTAATCATATACTTTCATGATTTCTATTTTCAGGGTTCTGATTCAACATTGGAACTCTTCAAAGTTAGAACCGAGGAGGAGTTAAAGTCACATCTACACAAGAGACAGAAAAAAGCAAGAAAGAAATTAGTGTGAGTAGCACTGTTTTGAGAGCCATCTTTTCAACCTCTTATATGCTTAATGTTTATGTACATTCTCATGGGTATCATTATTTTCATTTCATTATTTATTTAAAGTTTGGTATAAAGACAGAAATAAGAATGAACTAAATCAAGCAATGTAAACTTGCAAGAAAAACATATTTTGAGAAATAAAGAAACCATCTGTGCAATATTATAACTAAAGCATTTCTTTTTATCGCACAATTTCTACATTCAGTAGAGGATCTAAAAATATGTCATTTTGAGCACATTGTCTCCCTGTGTTAAAGTGTGCGCCAAAGTTTAAAACTGCGCAGGCGCACCGCTCTCGCTAAACTATATAAAGAGATTACCAGGTACACGATTCAGAGGTAAGCCAGGAAGGCGAACGATCATCGTCTCGTGATGATTTCCCATATAATCGTAACCAGGGAAGTTTCACCATTGAAATTGAAAATTACTATTAGATATACTTTGTAGATGTTATTTATGAAGCTATTTAGTGTTTGCATCAATCAAATGGCTCATTTTGAACATATAAATCGTATTTGTGTTTTGTTTCCCAGGGAATTGTATTGTGTGTATGTAGTACACACATAAGTGTACATTATACAGTACTTGAATAGCCTGGTTTACATAATATTGAAGGGCATGCTGATTACATGCACACGAGTACATGAATGAAGGCCTAATATTGATATACGTAGCTTGCATACCTAAATAAAAAATAAACTCTTCTAATCCCCTAATGTAAACACGGCGGTATACGTAGCCCAATTTATCGGGGACTTTAAGGGCATAATAAAGTAGAGTGATATTTTAAGCACATTCTCTTCCTATTTCCAGGGCAGAAGGAAAAGAGGCATCTGAAGACATCAATGTAGAACTTAAACCAGATGACAGGCTGCCAAGATTAAATCCAATTAAAACATCATTTAAAACTAAAATACGAGCATTTGACATGGGAGCAAGCAAGAATGGAATCATAAATGTAAGTTGCTTTAAAATCCTGATCCAAATAGAGGCTGTTCTGGTGTAAAACTGAATACCCTTGATCAAATAAAGTGAGTTAAAAATAGACTTTTTCCCCATACCAACCTACATCATTACAAGATTTAGTGGAATCGTCTGGGACTGGAAGAATTGTCCATGATGGTACAAATTCAAAAGCCCCTTCTCATCTTCTCTTACTTGAAGTCTTTGAACATAATGAATGTTTTTTGAGGGTGAGTGAATTTAAACTAGGAGTGTGAAATAATTCATGTAACTTAGAACCAGAGTTTAAAAAAACTACAAACTTACTACATACAACAATACTAAAATATTAATATTTGTTTTCTATATAGCAACAAAAATATACAGTGCCTATACTAAATGCAATGCTCTCCCCACATTGAATGAAGATTTGGATATATATATGGCTACTATTTCAAGAGAAAAGAAAATTTCTTATATCATGGGTGATTTTAATATTGACCTTTTCAAAATCGAACAACATGCTCAAACAGAAAACTTTTATGAAATCATGAAATCATACAATCACTCTCCACTTATTTATAGACCAACACGTGTAACTTCAACATCAGCAACATTGATTGATAACATATTTACAAATGATAATAAAGTTAATTTATGTGGTGTTTTAATCTACGATATATCTGATCATTTTCCCATCTACGCTACTAATGAAAGAATACTTCCAAAAGCTAAAACAGTCTTAATTAAATACAGAAAAGTCAATAAGGAGTGTATCAATTTATTTAAATCAATGTTAAGTAACACAGATTGGAATAATGTAATCTCAATTAATGATCCTAATGAATCTTACAATATTTTTGACACAACCATCCGTTCTTTATATGACAAGTGCTTTCCTTTTTTGACTAAGAAAATAAAAATTTTCAATGATGCATCAAAACCTTGGATAACTTTAGGAATCATCAAATCTGTTAAAACAAAATCTAAACTTTATAAAAGATACTTAAGAAATCCATCTTATGCAAACAAAACCACTTACAAATCATATGACAAAATCCTTAGAAAAATTGTAAATGCTTCTGAAAAACACTTTTATAGACAAAAATTTCAAGCAGCTGCCGGGAGTATTAAAGACAATTGGGAAATTATTAACGATTTACTTAAAAGGAAAAAACATAATTCTAGCAATGTAACTTCTTTTTTGCACGATGGTAAAGAAATAAAAAATGAACAGGAAATTGCAAATCATTTTAACTCATTCTTTTCTGAAATTGGTCAAAATCTTGCTTCAAAAATCCCCTCTTCAGATAAAACACCCTTAGAATTTATGACAAATCTCAACCCACAGTTAAGCAGTATATTCTTAAATCCTATTGACTCAAATGAACTACTGAAGGAATTTAAACAATTAAAAGATTCGGCTGCTGGAGTAGATGACTTTAAACCTAATATCATTAAGCAATGCAGCGATAATTTTCTTAAACCTCTCTTACATATATTCAATAACTCATTCTTAAAGGGTGTTTTTCCAGATAAACTAAAAATTGCTAAAGTTACCCCTATTCATAAAAAAGATGAATTCAATTTATTTACTAATTATCGGCCTATATCAGTTCTTCCTGTCTTTTCAAAGATCCTAGAGAAACTTATGTATGCACGGATGAGTAATTTTATTGTTAGATTTGGAATTCTGTACTTGAATCAATACGGCTTTAGAGAAAAAAGATCTACTTATATGGCAATTCTACAATTTGTTGAAAAAATTAAGAAATCTGTTGATAGCAATGAATTCAGCATTGGGCTCTTTTTGGATTTTTCAAAAGCATTTGATACCATCGATCATAGCATACTGTTACAAAAATTAGAATTTTATGGATTTAGGGGACCTGCTCTTAGGTGGGTCTCAAGTTATTTAACAAATCGAAACCAATGTACCAAATATCATGATACAAGTTCATCTTTTGAAACTATCAAATGTGGTGTTCCACAGGGATCTGTTTTAGGGCCCCTATTCTTTATCCTTTATATTAATGATATCTATCTGGCCTCTCCAACACTTCTCTTTGTTCTGTTTGCCGATGATACAAATATTTTAATCAGCGGAAAAAACCTTAATGAAATTAAAGATACTTTAAATACTGAACTTAATCAAATTAGAGATTGGCTTGTAGCCAATAAACTTTCTCTTAATATAAATAAAACCAAATACATATTATTTTCTTCTAAGCAAAAAAAGATAAATACCACAAATTTAGATATATTTATTGATGGTAAAAAGATTGAAAGAGTAACACATACTAATTTTCTTGGATTGATCATTGACCAACACCTTACATGGAATGACCATATTAGTAAAGTCAAAATGAAAATATCGAGAATAGTTGGCATTTTGTATAAGATTAATCATTTACTAGATAGGAAAACCTGCATGACTATATATCATTCTCTGATTCATTCCTATTTAACATACAGTAATATTATTTGGGGAAATGCCAATATCACCTCAATTAATTCACTTCATTTAATACAAAAGAAATTTGCTAGATTAGTTACTCATAGTGGATATAGAGATCATAGTTCACCATTATTTAAAGAATTAAGAATTCTAACCATCCATGATATATTTAAAGTCAACGTAGCTGAATTTTTCTTTAAGTGGCAAAATAATGAAAACAATATCCATGATATATTTCCTAACTTATTTACAAGGCATATTGAATTACACAAGTATGATACAAGAGGTAAATACAACTATGCCTTGCCCCAATTTAAAACAGAATCCTTTGGAAGAAAGATGCTTTCATTTTCCGGACCATTTATTTGGAATGGCCTCCCTTCAGAAATTAAAAATTCAAGGTCGAGTAAATGCCTTAAATCTAAATATAAGAAACATATTTTGGCTTTGTATACATGATTTCATTTTACACTTTTCATATTCATGTATTTTATATAAAAATGATATACAAATATAACTCGAAGCCTGGGTACTGGACACTAAACCTGTAAATATTTATATCTGTGATGCACCTCCCCCACCAACACTTCCTCTTCGATCTTCTCTAAGACAAAACTTAATCTTGATATGTTTGATAATTCCTTGACCTTACCTTGTTCTTAATATTCGTAATATTATGCTTTAACATGTACGGGTATAAACATCAGAAATGATGTCACCTGTTAAACCTTTTATATGTACTGTATTTTATTATATTATTAAGGAAATTGAAATTGAAATTGAAGTCTATATTTCATAGAACCAAATTGCTCCTCAATTCAATAAGAAGTGCTTCTAGACCTAAATGTTACAATAAAAAATAAGGAAATTCTAAAATGTTGCACAAAAAATTACAAAATCGTAAAATGTTGCTAAAAAATTACAAAAATCATAAAATATTACATAAAAAATTACAAAATATAATTAAACAGATTATATACACAAGTTGTTCTCTCCAGTGATTATGTTATTTAGGATGCCCCTCATACAACTGAAAAGGTTCACAGTCACTGCTAATCTTTTATATTGCAGATTATATCCTTACTAAGCAATGACACACTGGATGTCTTCTCTCCTGTGATTGTTTATTTATATATTTGCTATTCATGAGGCCACAGCAGTGTCTATTATTTCTATTAGTCAGAGCTCCAGATTTTTTCCAGGGCTCTAGGAAGTGATTCTACACAATCCATTTAACATTGTTGTTTAATATAGACTTCATGTTGCAATAAGTATTCTGAAAAAGGTTATCCCTTTAAGCAGATACTAATCTAGTATGTGTTAATTGTGAAAGTTGCACATTATTGACTACCCTGTCCAAATTTAAGGGGTTACGGGGGGACCTCAAAATTATTTGTATTCCTATGTATGCTTCTATATGTTATCTTATATTACAGGCTATCACCTTATTAAACAATAACACACTAGAGGTGTTCTGTGTTGATACCACTGAGAAGCAATCTGGTGAGAGCATCTCCAAGGGCAGACTGAGTATACAGGGCCACAGATCAGATGTGCGTACAATGTGCTTCAGTTCTGACAACACTGCACTGGCATCTGCTAGTGGGGAGGCTCTCAAAATATGGAACAGGTAAATAATACATTAATCTCCCAGGCATGTAGCCAGGTGAGGGGGGGGGTGTCGGGGGATTCGAGCGAGCCCACCTCCCCCTCCCCTGACCAAAAATTCTTCATGCAGATTTTCACCTTTCTGAGCGCTTTTCAAGTGAATTTGGGCCAAAGCTGTTAAGTGTGAACCCCCCCAGGATTTTTTGGAAAATGAATCCCCCTTTGGCAAAAAGCTAGCTATGGGCGTGGGAGCTGCACCCACTTGAAATTTTGAAAATGACCTAACAGTACACCCACTTGAACCTATTTACACTCATTTGAAAATGAGGAAAATCATGAAAACTGGCACATTTTGACCAACTTTGGTCAGAGGATTTGTACATACTTGGTGAAAGGAACCTTGGGAGAACATTGCATAGTGTTTTATCATTATGTTCATTTTCCAATTTGTCAAAGAATATGTCTGAACGCCTTCATATTTTTAGATTGAAATCAAGACAGTATAAAATAGACTGAATATTTTGAGCTTAAAGGTGTTGTGCACTGATAGTGGCACAAAATATTTTACTTAGATATGCTACATACACTTGATCAATTTAGTATTGTATTTTGATTTTCCAGGACAAGTCAGCAGTGTATTAGGACAATGGAATGTGGCTATGCACTCTGTTCAATGTTTGCTCCTGGTGACAGACACTTAATCATCGGCACTAAGGTAATTATAGCTTAACTCAAAATTGCAAAGGGCAAGGCTTTCCTCATTTACAAGAAAAAATGAGAGAATTTCCCTGTTTCATACAAAGCTTGTTTAATTACTTCGTCCAAGAAAGCAATTCAAGATTTTAAGGAATTAGTAGTAGTTGTAGTAGGAGTAACTGTCTCAAATGGTATCATGAAATATTATAGATCAACTGTTATCAAAACTACTGATTGAGATTTATGCTCGACATTTGTTATTATGTCACCACCAAAAAGTGGTGACATATTGTTATTGTTTCCGTTTTTTTATTATTCATGTTGCCACCAGAAGTGGTTACATATTGTTATAGTCTCCAACTTTTGTGTCGGCAGGTGGTGTTTGGAATTCACCGTTTGTAACAAATGGCAGGTTATGACATTTTGCATGTTAATGACTTGAACCTCTATTTTATTCATTTTAGTTTGATACCTCTATTTTATTCATTTTAGTTTGATACCTCTATTTTATTCATGTTAGTTTGATACCTCTATTTTATTTGTGAAATGTATTTTCTTTCTAGGCTGGAAAGTTACAAATATTTGACATTGCCTCGGGAGACTTAATAGAAGAAGTAGATGCCCATGACAAGGCTGTTTGGTCTATTGCTATGGCTCATGACAAGGTTTGTATATATCTATTTGGTTACTCTATAATACTTGGTATATTTGCTTAGTTTGGGTCTGTTACTTTCGGCGATGATAGGGTGACATTTTCTATTTTAATTTGCTTCGTATGCGCTACATGTATTTGTGGCAGATCTTGTTTTCATTATCATCTGTACAGTTCTTCAGTGATTTCCAAAGATTTCACTTCTTAGGCAAACAAATATCCACATGTAAAGAATTGTATTTATTTGATTTTACTTGGCAATTGATATAGATATTGTAAACATTACAAAAATGCATTGAAGTTTTTGGTGTTTTCCATACCAAAATGACACATATGGTAAATAACCTAATGTTTTCAGCAAGGTCTGGTGTCAGGCGGCGCAGATAAACAGTTAAAGTTTTGGAACTTTGAACTTATCTCAGATGAAGATACTACAAGGTACATGTATTTTATAATATATTGTCTATCTTTTCATTAGTCAATGTACATGCTGTCAAATTGTATTTAATTCCATTTAAAAACAAGAGAATTGATTGTATAACAATATTTTGCTTCATTAGAACTTGCGAAAATGGATTTCAAAAATATTATTAGCCTTATAAGTAATAGAGGCACCAATGAATACTACTAAGGAACATAATTTATATTTGTACAGTAAACCCCTTTTAATGCAAACACCTCTGTTTTCAACATGTATGTCAATGAGGGAGAATAAATGTGGAATTGAGAAATTGTTCACATTAAGGGAGGTGTTTGGATAAAAGAGTGTTCCAAGATCTCGGTTTCACTGTATATAAAGAATCAGTCTATCAATTGTCTGACTCATATCTACCACTATATTCCGCATGATGGATTAAAAAGCAAGTTAAAATGGTGCGATCATATTAATTTGAATCCTTGCTTTATAGCAAAAGGCTAAGTTTGGTCCATGTGAGAACCCTGAAGATGTCAGATGATGTTCTCTGTGTTAAGTTCAGTCCTGATGGACGTCTTGTGGCTGCAGCCTTGTTAGATAACACAGTTAAAGTGTTCTTCAATGATACACTCAAGGTGAGTACATGTACTTGTAACTCCTATTGGCTGTTTGCAAGTTGACATTTGGAACATTAAGCTAGCCCATTTCATGTCATGCAAAGTATGTTTTCAGAGGGCATTATATCATTTGCCTTTTTACCATGAATATTTTTATTTGGTTTCTTAAACAGATCAAGTGTTTGATATATTTTCAACATATTCCGATGACAAAAAGGTATTCTGAATATGTTAATAAAACTAAGGTGATTCCAAAACATAGAATATATGTATATTTTTAGAATATAATCCAACCATGTTTATCTCATATATATTGTAGTTCTTCCTGTCTCTATATGGCCACAAACTGCCTGTGTTGTGTATGGATATATCCTCAGATAGTACAACACTAGTCACCGGATCAGCAGACAGAAATATTAAACTATGGGGGCTCGATTTTGGAGATTGTCACAAATCTATATTTGCTCATGATGATAGGTAAGATATTGCTGTGAATCATTTATTACTCTGACTTTACTATCCATTAGATGCAATTCACAATTTAAGTACATCAGCCATCTTGAATTTTAAGGCAGCCATTTTGATTTTTCTCTTCCATTGAGTCTTGTACATGTACAACTATTGCATTATCATATGTGTTTTTATTGCAGCATTATGTGTGTGCAATTTGTACCTAAGACACATCTGTTCTTCACAGGGGGTAAAGACCGCAAGTTGAAGCAGTGGGATGCTGACAGCTTTGCTCACATTCTTACACTAGAGGTAGGTGCTTAAGAATTGTAAGAGTATGTAATGAGAAAGACATACAGTAAGTGAAAAAAAGGTTTCCAAAAGATCTTAAATAGTGACATGAGCATTTCAGAAGTGAACCTCTCTTCAGCTGTTAAAATATTATACGACACATTGATATTTTGTTACATTTCTTGAAACGTGATGTAAGAGATTCATTCACTGTGATTCAGGGTCACCATGGTGAAATTTGGTGTTTGTCCGTCAGTCCCAATGGAGCTCATGTTGCGAGTGGGTCACATGACAAATCTATCCGTCTCTGGGAAAAGACACAAGAGGCATTGGTGCTCGAGGAAGAACGGGAAATGGAGAGGGAAAAAGAATATGAGGAGGGGGTTGGACAAATGGAACAGCCAGTGGTTAGTATCCATACAGATAAATATTATATACTGTAGATGTTCCTGTTTATGTCAAAGAAAATTCTTGAAATTGCGAACATACATGTATTTATTATAAGATTAACTGAGGATATTTCATATTCACTATTTTTTACAGCTCTATAGTTTTCAGTGATGCGAGCAACCTTTTGAAAGAGCTTTCATATGAAATTCAAAAAGATCTACAAATTATGCTTCCTTGTTTAAGGTTCCAGGAGAGGTTACCACGGAGACTGGAATGGCTGCAAGGAAAACAATGGAGACAGTCAAGGCCGCTGAGAGGATTATGGAGGCCATTGAGCTTTATAAGGAAGAAACTGCAAAAATTGAAGAAGCACGAGCTGTTGCAAAGACTTCTGGGAAGGAATATGTTGCGCCATCATTGCATATTTTGTTTACTGCACATAAAGCAGCTACTCCTGAACAATATGTGATGACCGTTTTAAAGAAGGTTAAATCGAGGTAAAGCAAACTTGAGATTTCCCAGGATTGAGTTTACGTAATAGTGGTGATTTCCAACATGAACTTGTTGAAATGTTTTAGTTCAACGAAAAACCCAGATGTCTAATTGGCTTATGTTGTTTTGTGTTTCAGTGAGTTGGAAGAATCCTTACTGGTGTTGCCATTTAACTATGTCATGGACTTGTTGAAACTACTCAATATATTCATAGAGAAGGGCTGGAATACTGAATTGTCATCAAGATGTCTTGTCTTCCTGCTCAAGTAAGTTAATATTATACATTGTGGCTGAATGGTCTGAGTGACTTTATAGATGGCACGTTGTTTGCTTTCTTGTATTGCATGTTGTTAATATTGTTCAAGTAAAAAATAATAATAAGAAGAAAATCGAAGGTCATTTATTTGCCATAAATCCTAGAATCAAAGTCTGTGTTATGAATCTAATACAATAAACAAAACAGAAAAAAGACTATTTGTTAATGAAAGTTAATGGTCATACATACTGTACTCAATTATAGATCAATAAATCAATTGTTCTAGTTATTGTGACATCATATATCATATAAGAATTTGTGTCCAAATTCGGCAGAGTGTGATTATTACATGTTTTACTGTTCACTGTTCTTTATTTATTATAGAGTCCACCAAGGCCAGATCACATCCAACCAAGTGTTGCTACCCATACTGGACAGATTATGTACACTGTTCTTTATTTATTATAGAGTCCACCAAGGCCAGATCACATCCAACCAAGTGTTGCTGCCCATACTGGACAGATTATGTACACTGTTCTTTATTTATTATAGAGTCCACCAAGGCCAGATCACATCCAACCAAGTGTTGCTGCCCATACTGGACAGATTATGTAAGAATACTACAACACAAGTAGAGAAACTAAGGGTAAGGTTTACTCTTTTCTATGGTTTAATATCTCATTGAATGAAGTTTGGTAGGGATATAGTGAAGCCTTCTGCCAGTTAGTCCATCCGTCTGTTAGTCCATTTGTTCAGAAAATTCTTGAAAACTAATGGACAGATTTTGTTCATATTTAGCAAGTGGAAGGATGTATATTAGCAAATAGTTATGTGAGCAAAATTCTTTTCAAGATAATTAGAAATGAAAAATTTAGATTTTCACAAAAATTCCCACGATCTTCAAAGTAATGAGTACATGTATTACTGTTTTGAATTTTGGTAGTTTATTATTCTGTGTGCCACCTGATGTTGCTTTCCATCTTTTTGATTCATTAGTTGATTCATGATGACATATTTAAGGTACATAAGTTAGGTTTGTGAAAACTATTTTCATCAGTGGACAAATAATCTTTACATCCCAGCCAGAGCGGGCAGATATATTATATCTGCCGCTACATCATAATCGCCGTTCGAATGTAGGTGCATTTTTGTATCGTTCGCATAATTATTACTGTAAATTGAAATTGCTATTTGATGATTGTTTGATGATTTACAACTATCAAAGATTAGAGAATTTAAATCTGGATGAATATATGAACGAACAAAACTATATTTCCTAACTTTTTTTGAGCGATGTATAATACTACAGTTATATAGTACACTGTTTCTCATAAATATGGAATATTAGATTTGTCAGATCAGAATTCAGGTTTCGGATGAAGGCAACAGTTATTTGGAGTCATATAAGCAGTTTATTTTCTAGGCAAATCATAAACACATATTTAATCTACAAATCAACATTTTTTAGGGAAAAAATATTTACATTTAAGTTCAGAAATTTGCATTGTTTTTCCCCACAAACAGTATCAAAGGTCAATGGAGTCACTGTGCTTTGTTATTATTCTCTCTAATAATACTAACATTGTAAGGTTAATCATACATTTTACAGATTTCTTAGTAGCCTATGTGTATGTACAAATTATTATTACAAATAAAAAAAACTGCCATGTCAGTGAAAATCAAAAGTATCGATGCTGAGATCAATTTTTGTCGTAATTAATTGTAAGTATCTGCTTTGAATTGGTAAATATGGACAACTTGTGATATACTTAGAGTACTTAGGCCATTGTAGGGTGGACAGAATTAAAAATAGGACTAAAAGCGACTGTAGGACATGCAGTAGATTCTTTCTTGTTTATCTTTTTGGATGAAAAATCGTGAATCTGATTCGTTCTCAGAGACTCAGACTCACAATCATGCGAATTACTCAAATCCCAAAATCCCCGCGAGTTACAACACTAATACATACAGTTCTGTTGCATATTTGCTGTTAACTACAAAGCAATGTTTGGTTAAAGGCAGGATATACAGTCCTCTAAAGGTTCTACACATATAAGCCTTTGACTACCTATTAAAATTCTGCACCAGGTTTGAGATATAAGAGCTCAGAAACTGAAAAAGGTCAAAGGAGCAGGGAAAGTATCGCAACAGACTTTTGATAATTTTGACAGTTGATAATTTTTTTGTGAGTAGTTTCTGGCTGTAAAAAGTAAATGCTTGGGAAAGGCGAATCTATAATCTTCAAGAAAAGTTCAAAGAATAGTTTCCAGATCAATTGGATTATCTTATAATCCATGTTTAATCCACCCATCAACAAGCTTTTTCAAAATACATTCGTCATTTTCACCATCGTCCCTCATTTTTTTTACAATTTTTCATGCAAAGTTACATTGTACTTGAACACATGTTTCATCAAGTAAAATATGTAAGGAACTCCATGAAGTTTGTTTTTGAGTTTTTTTTGAAAAGATGAACCTCTTAAAATGCATGTTTACAAAAATAATTTAGGAGTGATGTAAAAGATGGCAATGTTTTTCAATAATAACATGCATACATGTAGGTGGGTGAATTACTCATGTGTGTTGTGTTTTAATCCTGCATTCACTGACTGAGTTAGCCTATTGAAAAATCATAGAGATTAACAAATACAAACAGTAATACTATGAATACTTCTACTTCAAGCTCAAATGGCGCTTTCAGGGTCCTGTGTTGAAATACTAGATCACCTTATGTGCATGAATTTTCAAGAGAAACCATCAGTGCAAGCAATTAAATGAAAGCATCATCCGAACATCACTTGAAAAGTACTAAAGTGGTGAAAAATTGCAGGATGTTGACAGAAAATGTGCCTAGGGGAGAGGGTCGTCTCTCAACCCCCCTCCTCCCACTCCCTGGTCACGGGACTAATACATGTGATATAGCAAAGTCCAATTCATAGATTAAGTTTCCCTTACAGTCTTGTTGGCATTTTTATTAGAGTTCATGTTTTGTTTATGTTAATGGGTGAGTGGAAGACCCTTGGGTGGGAATCAAATATAAAATGTTTTCTAAAATATATATTTGAAATACTTTGTGTATGTACAGTCACAAACTCTAGGCAACATTAACTAGTAATGGGGAAACACCCCAACTCAACTTAGTGAATGTGTAAACCATATAAGGAACAAAAAACATTACATAAAACAAACTCAGCATGCAAACATGTAAAACAGGCATGGCAAAACAATAGATTGTGAAACTGAATAATAAAAGCACATACAACTAGAAAAAAGGGATTAGGACCTGTTAAAATGACATGAATGGGGATTGGTCAATATGAATAGTAGAAATATGAAAAATGTGAAAATTTTACATTTAGTATTGATCATGAACATTAGAGAGGTTAAGGACAGGGTGCATGTTGGGAAATTTTCTGCATTCCTCAATTGAGTCACATGTTATTTTTCAAACAAGAATAACTCCTTCCCCACATTGTCTGCATCTTCCAAGTTTGCACAAAGAGTGCACTTATGTGCCTAGAGAAGCCTTGTGAGAAGGTTTGTTTTGTAAAATGTATAAAAAATGAGAAAATTCAGTGAAAAAATTTCTGAAAATTTTCTGATTTTTTTCACTGAATTTTCTTGTTTTTTATACACTTTATCAAAACATTCTTCTCACAAGTCTTTTCTAGGCACATAAGTGCACTCTTTGTGCAAAACTGGAAGATATAGACAATGTGGGGAAGGAGTGATTCTTGTTTGAAAAATAACATGTGACTCAATTGAGGAATGCAGAAAATTTCCCATCATGCACCCTGACCTTAAGTACACAGGCTCGTAGGAAGGTAGAGGGGGAGAGATAAAGGGAGCTGCTGCTCCCCCAAGAGATTCTTTCAAAATGATGCAGTTTCTCACCAATCTGAGCACTTCGCATGATTTTTTAGCCAAAACTGTCAAAAAGTTCATCCCTAGGCAAAAGCTTTGCCCTTGGTAAAACTGCCTCCTACCCCTTGGTAAAAGCTGGCTACAGACTGTGTAAAACACTTGTGTGAGAACTTGAACATGAACGAGTACTGTTATGACCCCCAGTAATGTTGTCCATCTCTCAACTGGTTTAACTGGGGACCATTACATCAATTGGCATTATATCAATCAGGCAAAAAGAGGCCAGTGATGTGAAAATAGTCAATAGCACGGTGTTATAGCATGACGGTTACGCCACCTCTGAAAACGAGGTTGGACAGCTACGTTCACTGATTTATCCAATAAAATGGCCGCGATGGAAGAGACAACTAAGGTTGGCGCATTATTTTCTACTTCTGTGTATCAATGAAAGGATGAACGATTTATGTAAGAATCGCATTCGGTGATACTTTCAGTAATGTATATTTTGAACGTAGCCTTTGCAAATTGATGCCCGGGGATAACATGAAATAAGAGAAAAACTGTCGAGTTTGAAATTCAAAACTACACAAAAATTTAGTAATTTGTTTATTTTTGTTTTTGTTGTTAGGGCATGGTCTACATTGCCTAAAAAGTTTGTGGTATATAGATGTAACCTACATACGATCATACAAAGCCAATTGAGCATTGGAAACCACCTAATATGTTATACTCAAGCCATAATAATGTATTTTGAATTTGCAGTAGTTATACACAGTTTACTTATACTTACAGTTAATATTTTGAGTGGCTCATGTACTGAGACAACACGAGAATGGATCAAAACTTATAAACTTTGATATCTCAGTCGATAGGTTTACAGATTATATTCTGTTTCTTGTAGACTACCTGGCAGATTTGACCCAGTCTTTATAACCATCCATATATACGTCACCGAATGGAACTAGTTTAAAAGGAAATCTTATCTGTGAATATTGCCTACAGGCGAGAAAGAGGACATGCTGCCTTTCCCATCCGCCATATTTTTGTTATCGTTACAGCAAAATTTTGCAAATCGCCTTGACGTAACCGTCATGCTATAACACCGTGAATAGGGGACCATAAGTTTACACATTCCATATGTACGTTCATCAAAATAGTGTGATCTTAACCTCCCTAATAACTGAAATTGTTGACTCAACCAATAGAATCATTCTATGTTTGTTTATATTTGTTCACATTAATATGGAAGAAAATCGGACATTTTGCTAAAAAGATGTTATTGTAAATCTTAGAAATAATGATAAAGGTAGTATACACCACATACTCAATGGTATTGATTGTGGTTTTCAGAGACTCTCAATAGGGACTTTAAGCTTGCAATGTTTTTCACAACCTAAATGTGAATGGAAAATATTTAGCGATGCATATGTATGAGCGATTGGTCATAGGTTGGCGTTTCGATTTTATATGCAAGCTTAATCTCCCTAATGTTAACATTAAGGTAAGAGTGTATTTATTTTCTTAGGATAACATTTCTTGAATTGATGAATATGCAAAAATTATTCTTAGCATATCATCCTTCATTTCATTATTTGAATAATTAATCTGGATATATACTCAAATAAGGAAGTGTGTTATAACACATCATCATATAGAAACATGTTCAATGTTTTTTCAGAAGCTGGATCAAAATATTTGTCTTACTAAAATTATTGGCAAAGGTATGATGTACTAAATTCTTGTACTGTATTTATGATTTTAATAGCACTGTACCTAGTGAATCATTACTGATAAACAAGATACAGAAAACCTGTTCAAAGTAAATCCTATAATAAGGCATCATAGAAATTATCATAAAGAGAGGTATTTAGAATTTCTTATCAACTTACACACACACACAGGTTTAACACTCAAACATTAAACAGTCAACTTGACAGGTATTCAGAATTTTTTGGGAAATGCTGCGGTTATGCTCCATTGATTAAACAGGGGATCAAACAGCAGGGGATCAAACAAGTCCAACCATTCATTTATGAAAACATTTTGAACTAACTTTATGGCACACTAATGACATCTTATATGAGTGTGCTGACTAAAAGCATAGCCCCATTGGATCCCCTTATATTGGATTATCATAATCCTAATCCACGAGGAGTTCCTTATATATTTTTAGTGATGAAACATGTGTTCAAGTACAATGTAACTTTGCATGAAAATTGTAAAAAAAAATGAGGGACGATGGTGAAAATGACGATTGTATTTTGAAAAAAAGCTTGTTGATGGGTGGATTAACCATGGCTTATGAGATAATCCAATTGATCTTGAAACCATTCTTTGAATTTTTCTTAAAGATAATACATTGGCCTTTCATATGCATTCATTTTTGTACAGCCAGAAACTACTAGAAAAAAATTATTTACTGTCAAAAATCTGTTGCGATACTTTCCCTCGCTCTTTCATAATATGTTGTGGTCAAATTTCAACTTTCAAATTTTAAGCTTCAAATTGAACAAATCTTTTTGAATATTATCCTCAAGTTGCCAGGAGCTTATTAATAATCTTAGATTTGAGATTTGACCTTTGACTGACCTTTGAATTGTCAAAAACCCCTACAAGGGCATAGAAAAGCAACTGATTTTTTTACCACACTTTTACACTTTAGTTTGACAACAATTAGTACAAAAAGTATAATAAAGGGTAAAGCATAGAATTCCCAGTGTGATGATTGTTCAGATAAGCGTATTGTTACAATGGGCCCCTCCGGAAATATATATATATGAGCCCCTTCTTTAGCACAGTATTTTGATAGGGACATATTAAACATTTTCCCAAGCACTATGTTGAAGGCAGACTGATCTTGTCTGTGAACATATGTATCAACATTATATATCACACGGTAAAATATTTGCGACCATGTGGAGTTCCTCATCACTGCACCTGTGGGGTTGATACATTGTAAATCAAGGGCACATCGTACTAAAGGTCTCATAAACTGTGTCTGGATCCTTGCACTGTTAATAATCAATATTTTGTTGGCTTCTATTGAGATCTGTTTATTGTAACTGTCCCGGGTGACATTGAAATATTTAAACATCCCTGGGTGTGTGTAGCTGTTACTGAGATGCCCATTTATACTAGCTGCGAGTACTCCTGAAGATTTCACCTGATCAACTATTGGCACCAAGTTTTTTGTTGTAAACAGTGTTGAAGTATCAGACCAAAGTATTTGTTGAAATTCCCGCAGGGTCTCATCGATGATTAAAATCTTGAATGCAAATGTTCGTAAATTTTTTACATGAGGTGGATATTTCTGGAAGTAGAAATCTCTTATCTTGCAACCATCGCAACGTTTTTGAATTTCACTGACTTCTGTAGTTGTTAGTCCAAGGTTGTAAACTATGAGTTGATTATCCGGTTGATATTGTTGCTTATTTTCAAGAAAGACATGAAATTCATTCACATGGTTAGAGCTTAATCCTGTTATGATTGTAAAATTGTTAAAATGTAATTCTTGTAGGGCTGCTTTATTGTCTTTTTGAGTTGCCATCACTACCTCACATATCATTAGCATATATCCTAACATAAAAAACAGAACTAGCCTCGCCATGATGTATTTTATATTCATGTTCATGGACTTTGTATTCACAGATCTACATATGTCACTGGCGTTTAACATATCTAAACATCATGCCGAGTAACACAAAACTCACAGCACATTTATCTCTATGGAGTTTTATTAAATCCTTTGTTTTTATTCATTAATGGTTTTCTCAACCATGAATGATCTGCATTTGATCAAAAACAAAATGCTCCAAGTTGCGACAAATGGAGCGCTCAAATCCCCTATGAACTACATGCCTGAGGAATATCCTCATTGAGTGGGAAATCCACATTTCCAACACCATTAGGATGGGGAGAAGGATTAAGTTTTGTTTGAAAACCTAATGATGTAACACCTACGTTTCAAAGTTAAATAATTCTCAAGTGTTTCAGCTAGTGTTATTTTCACAAATACCTATACGAGTATAATCATATACCATACGCAAATAAACAATAAATAAGCAATGATTGCTACTTAACATTGACCTCCTCACAGAAATATTAACATAACCATCTGCTAAATGCATACATAAAGTAAACCTACACTTACTTCTCATATCCAAAATGTATTAAAATCTTTAATACGTCAATTATGTATAAGCAAAATAGTTGAAATGATTCAATATATTTGTAGAAAAAAACTTTTTAATTCAGACTGCTGTGTTCCTCCTGTAGCAAAAATTACTGGTCGCTAAATGGATTAAAGAGCCATATGGCCCTGACCCGTGGTGTTGGAAAGCATCTTTGTAATGAATCAGTAAATATTGTGCAAAACAATTCATCGAATGTAAATGACTTCTGAGTATTGGAGTAAGACATACAGGTAACTATAAATGCTGTATAAAGTTAATGATATTGCAAATCATACATGGGAACATATGCAATTTATTCAACATTCTACCCATTGTCATTGTCTAAAATTAATTTCTCCACATTTAACAGAAAATGTTCCAATGGCCAAGTTCTTCAAGAGATGTAATTAGTAATTGTAAACGAGAGCTGTCTGCCATTATAACATTCTCAGCAGATTCCACGGCTTCTTTCAAATTACGTATATCCCTTGCTTGTTCATCTCTTTTACAATTATGTGTAGATTTTGGCATTTCTTGAGTCGATTTAACCCCCCCCCCCCTGGGTCACTCGCACCGTGCAGTTTTTACTGTCGATTAAGAGTTCCTCCCCATTTTCTGTAATAGATTGAGGAATGACGCCTATATCTATTTTGTTAAATTTGAAATATCCCGATTTTTCATTCAACCCCTGTGATTCGCCTACCACCAGTGATTTGTCAGGAAATGTTGTTATTGAGTATACTTTACATTGATAACACAATGCGATTATAATATCTGTGATTGCTACGTCTTTTCTATCTACTTCTAGGTATTTGTTACGTTATCACTATCACTTTGTTACGTCGAAGTAAAATAATTTGACAGAATGACTGATTTATTCCAACAAATCTTCCAAATATACTATCTGACCAATGTTCTATATAAATAAAAGCCCAAGTCGTATATATTTTCAAAATGGAGGTGTAAATGAATATAACTTACCTTAAATTCTACTTTAAAGTTGCTCATAGGAAATACATGGCGTCTGCTAAAAATCTTACAATATGCAAAGTAACTCACTCACCAATCAACGTGTATGCTTAATTTATAGCCAGTTTATTGAATCATCGGTATACTGATTAAAGTCACATTACTTGTGCTTGAAAAAATACACCAAAGGAATTATATAAAGCATTTAATAAAACCCCATAGAGATACATTTGCCGTGAGTTTTGTGCTACTAAGGCATGATGTTTGAGATACGTTAAACGCCTGTGTATGTAGTCAAAAGCATTAATCAACCAATCTCAATAACTATGCAATATTGATGTCCAAAGGCTCAATCTCAGTATACACATTACAAATATCAATTTTTGTTATATATTCCAGATTTTTAGGTGGTGTAAATCTCAAATGCTGTTTCCACAACCCATGTTAACAAATCTATACTTACTACTCAGTCAGTGCATGTCATTACAGACATACATCCAGAAAAATAGTCACCAATGGGCATATCTTCTACATTTATGAGTGTTAACAGTAGAGAGTTTAAGCGTGCATATTCAGTCGAAATGCCACCCTATACGTATGACCAATCGCCCATACAAATGCATCGCTTAAACATTTTCCATTCACGTTAAGGTTATGAAAAACATTGCAAGCTTAAACTCCCTAATGTAGAATTGAAATACTGTACTGAAATAACTTTTAAAAAATGGCCAGCATTTACATGTATGTGTGTGCGATTTTTTAAAGATTTTATATGTGGCTACTTAAAAGCATATTACTTCTTCTGATGATAACTTGGGTAGTGAGCAACCATTTTGAAAATGGTGGCCTTTCTTATGGATCTTATTTTATGATATTTGCTATATATTTTGTTTTGTAAAAATGCCAGCCATTTCTGTTCGATGGGATTCGCTACGCTTTGGCGTTGCCGTTGTTCTGCTTTGCATTGATAGATCTCGATCACCAATATTGAATGAATGCTTTTTACGCTGTGAGACAGCTGCAATTTCAAATTATTTGCTTTGGAGAGAGTATTATTGCTTGATGTGTCCCTATGAACTACACACCTATTTACACAATTCCGTTTTTATTAGCTAGGGCACCTCTACACATGTATGAATATAATTGAGTACCCAACATGCCTTAGTTGGTAAAATATCAGGAAATCAAAATCAAAAATGACCGTTAATATCCACACCTTGCGCAGATGATATCGACACCCCTTGTTTTCGTATAGCACTGTCAGTCTGTATAGAGTATATAGGGTCTATTTTTATGACAGGTTTACACTTAGAGTTTGCTTTTCTTGCATGCTAGGTTTCTTTACAGTTTTCGGTCCTTTCCCTTTGGCACTTATGCTTAGATATTCCTAGAAATTATGTGGGTTGTGACTTTCCATTCACAGATTAACACCCCCTTTTTCTTTTGTCTACCCTGCCTGTATATATTTTCCCTTTACATTTATTTCAGGGCCGTAGGGAGAGGGGGTTCGGAGGGTTCGTGCGAACCCCCCCCCCAAAAAAAAAATCTTGACTAAAAAAATCCGAACCCACCTTTTCCGGGAATTGTGCGAAATTTTGAGTTAATGTTTTGCAGTATTTCACTAATTTATCGTTTTTGATTACAAAGGTATATACCGATAGATATTCGAGGTATATGCAAAGATGGAAACAAGTGAGAAGTACTTTATCTCGTCAATGAGTAAAATGACTGAGAAGAAAAACGATCTATTTTGAGATGGGCGATGATAGGTTTGCATTTTGGGCCTGAAATACTGTTCTGATACCATCAAAAGGAATTCAATTGTACAAATAAAGCAAATTTACTGAGTATAAACTGTCTGATTGGGATATAAGGTCAAAATGGTCCCTAATTTATGATATAAAGCAGAGAATTTTAAACATTTGAAAGTTCAGTGATGCAATGCACGTGGTGCACCAAAGTCCTGAACGCTAGAAAATTCTATTTTTGGTCAGGAGTCACTTTCAAAATTGTTTTCTTTCATTGGAACTCATATTTTTGCAATTTTTTGCCTCTTATTTATTCGATGAGCACATTGAGAAAGTAATGGAAAATAGACAATTGAATTACACATGCTTGATGCTTGATTAATTTGGAGGGGGAGTCTATGTCTGATAATGTCCTGAGCTATTTATTTTGGATTTATTTTTCTTACTTATCCACAAAGTGGTAAAACATAATTTGGAATTTTAACAGACCTTTGTTGAAAAAAGTTCTAGATTTTTGCCTATAAATGTTCCAAATAAACAAAATTGGTCATGCAATTTAAAACTAAATTCCGGCAAACTGGCAAAAAGTAATAAAATTAACAAAATTTAAGCAAAAAAGGCAGAGATTAAGTAAATTTAAAAAGGTTTTTACCAAAATCACCGTTAGGTGGCTGAAAAAAGTTTTGCCGAAAATATTCGAACCCCCTCCTGTCAAATCCTGGCTACGCCACTGTATTTACCTTTAAAATTTATTGTCTGACCTTGCAACTTGTAATGTTAGTCAATGTTATTTGGAGTTTAGAATATGGGAACAATTTTGAATATTATCTTCAAAAGGTAGTAATGTAGCATACACTTAGTTTTAATATTTGAATCAAAAAAATAGTGCACACATAACAGAACATAATGTTTAAAGACTAAAAAGCTTGTCATAAAAAAGATAACATTTTTATCTTTTAAACAAACATAATATTTTTATGTAAATCAACTAAGAGATAAGCTTGTCATGCGTTATAGTGTTCACCAAGATGTTTAAAGAGGTATTCCTTGCCAGACCATTTCTCTTCTTATATGGTAGCTATAACCATGCATATTGAAACATGTATATCAGAACACCTGGCTAATCTGAACACCTTCCAATCTGAACACTTTTTTCCAGTCTCACTTTTACCTCCCATTGACTCCCATGTTAAAAAAACCTTAAAATCTGAATACCTTCTCATTTGTACAGTGAACACTCATATTTAAGGCGATTTATTGATGTTCATTGTCACAGACTTACATTTTTTGTTTTAGATGTTTCAAATGCAAACTGCATCCATGATCACTAAATTTAAATTGAAAAACAGTTGAAATGAATACAAGTAAATCTTCTTTTACGTCATTAAAACTTAACGTCAGAAAATAATTAATTGCCCTGGCAATATAACTTATAAGAAAAAATATGTCAAAGTGGATTTTAAACCTATGCAAACACTTCGAAATGTTCTCGTTCATCCTAAAGATAAGGTCAAACAGGATCGCAAAGCGAACATGGTATATCAAGTTCCATGCAACAATTGTAATAAAAGTTACATAGGAGAAACAAGTAGACCTCTTGGCACTCGCATCAAGGAACACAAAACAGAAGCAGATAAGAAAAAGAGTCACTACACTAGAAACAATAAAAACGATTCTTTTAACAGCTTTAATAAATCAGCGATTACAGATCATATTTTCACAAAAAAAACCACAAAATTGATTGGAACAATTATAAAATAATTAGCACATAAAGGAACAGAAACAATAGGTTGATAAGAGAAGCCATTCACATTAGAAAACATAAAAACTTCAATAGAGACATGGGCAACTTCAATCTAGATCGCTTGTGGGATGAAGTTATATTGCCATAGCAATTAATTATTTTTTGACGTTGTTTTCAATTTAAATTTAGTGATCATGGATGCAGTTTGCATTCAAAACGTCTAAAACAAAAAATTGTAATAAAGTCTGTGACAATGAACATTAATAAATGGATTTAATATTACCAGACTATGAACTTATTTAATGTAACACTCATATTTGAAAAATTAATATGCCTATAATATGAACACATTTCACAAAATATCACATATTTCGGGTTTACATAAAGATGAATAGATGCAAAATTAGAAGAAAATAATGTGTTAACCCATGAAAAACACATGAAAAACTTGTAACATTGTCATTGTCTGCAATGTCATATTTTTTAGCGAGGTCTTAATTGTTAGAAGACCAGTTTCATTCTGGCAAAACTAAACCAAATGTACTTATTGATGCAATAATAGCTGTACTTGGATTTGGTTTCAGTACTATAAACCATTTTAGTCACAATAAAAAAGTATTAATATTGTAGGTCTGACGTAAAACCACGTTGTCATCTTTTAAAGAAATAATACGTAATGTTTGCATCTCATTGTTAAACCGTGAGCTCTCGATAAAAAGCAATCGTGAATTGTTCCGATGTCCCTGGTGATATTTTGAGCTAAATTGAGAGGATATATGCTGATGAACAATTGGGGCAAAGAATTTGCACAAATACTCACGATAAAGGCGTCATTATCACAATTGCTCCGGTTTCTTGGAAATTCATTGCCTAAGAATATCACGTGACGTGTACATTAAAGCCGTTTGGATGAGAAGCGTTGATTGACCTCTCTCTGTATATTCGGCCCATGTGGTCTAGGGGAAAATTGCTTGTTTCCCACGCGGTCATACCATGGTTCGACTCCTGGCTTATCCGAAATGATATTTTATTTTTTATTGTGCTTTTATATTCTGCACTGGAAATACCGTTATTAACGAAGTCATTTTAATATATTGGCATTCATAATCTTGTCAGTTGTCGAATTTAAAAAGTAAAATACATCCAAATATTGCGTTTTACATAAAGATCAGACTTTAAACGACCAATTTCAATCTGGTAAAAGACATTCAAAATAACAAAATTATAGCTTTCCAATAGTGTGCTTAAATGGTTATTCAAACATGCCAACTGTGTCTCAGCCAATCAGCTTAAAGCATATCAGTGTGTTAATTTTTTGATATATGTATGACCTATATGTCCTAACAACAAACAATGAAACAATTTAGAAGAAGAATTTTCTACACAAACTCCTTTTTTCTGTACATGTACACTATTAGCACATCTTTTATGGGGTTGTAGCTAGACCTAAGTCTACACAAAATATATCTGATATACATACTGATTATGCCTGGGATGACAGAAGTAAAACAATAACAAATATTAATGAAAAAAGTAGTCTAAGTTTAGATTTTTGGTAATACTTAAGAAATACTTGATACTTAATACCTTAAGAAAAAAGCCATGGTAACCATGGTATTCCATGGTACGTCCATGGTAATCCATGGTTTTCCATGGAAATTCATGGTTTTCCATGGTATTTTCCATGGAAATTCATGGAAAACCATGGTAATCTTCCATGGATATTTATCATGATTTTCCATGGTAATTAGTGGTTTGGTAATTGTTTTTTCATGGATGTGTCATGGTTTTTACAAGGACACATGGAGATCAGTGAGAAAAAAGCATGGACATTTCATGTTTTTTAGGTTTAGCAGGAACATTTGTCAAATATTAAACTCTGCTTCCTTACAAATGAGAAAATATGTGAAAATGATGTTACTTTTCTAAGAAGAAATATGATAATGCATTTAATGCAGCACAGAGTAGACCACAGGGGCGGATCTAGGAACCAACAAGGGGGGGAGGGGGCCCAAATTTCAGGTCAGAGAAAAAAACGTTAAAAAAATTTTAGGCCCCTAAAATCCAAAAGTGGGCCCAAATTTTGAGGCCCATTTTCATCAAAATTTGGCCTGAAATTAAAAAATAAGGCCTTAAAAGGCCCAGTAATGACCAAAAAGGCCCACTTTTTGGGGCCTGAAGGCCTTGTTTGGCCCAAAAAAATCTTTGGGCCCTATTTTTTTTTCTGGGCCCACCCAAAGGGGGGGCCTTGGCCCCCAGCCCCCCCCCCCCTAATCCGCCAGTGGACCACAAGATTTCAAAGAGAAATATGTATAGGGCTTTTGAGTAGATCCAGACTAGATAGAGATTGCTTATTTTTTAGGCCAAACACTTCTAGTCTTTGGAAAAGATTAAGTCAAACTAGCCCTACCTCTGTTTTGTTCCAATACTTTCTTATTCTTTCTTTAATATTCAGTTATGAAAATTAATATGAAATTACTTCAAAAATAAATAACCCTTTTTCTTAAATTACATGTCTTACATTTTAGAATGCAAACCATGGTTTCTTTCTTTGAAGTTAAGGAAACTGCAATCAAAAGCCATGGAAGTCGGTTGATTGCAATCGAAAGCCAAGCTTTTCCATGGATATTTCTTTGATGTTTTGGAAAGTGCAATCAAAAGCCATGGTTTTCCATGGTTATTCTTTTGATCTTTTGAAAGTCCATGGTTTTCCATTGGCTATTTGTTTGGTCTTTTGGATGCAGAAAAAAGAATAATGCATTATGAACTTTTCCAAATTAAGTCTCATTTAACCTTTATGAGCACATTGTCTGAAAAATCCATAGAAAAATATATACTTTTTAGAATTTTGACTTGAAATTAAGGTGGGGGATTAAACACAAGCCTGTGGCTGCAAACTGAAATGTAATGCCTAATTAGTGATCAAAAATCTATTTGTCTATGTACATCATACTAAGGTTATTATAATTATGTAATCCATTTAAAAAGAAGTCATAATCATTTGCATAATTTTTTAAATATTTGGTTGTCATTGTTCTATGTTAATTAGGTTTCTTAACTCTCAAATTAGTGTTAAAATTTCTCTTTGCAACAGATTATATAGTTCATTTGCATAATTCTAAAATACATGTATTATGATCTTAATTGTTATTATTTATGATGACCTTACTCTCCCCAGTGCTTCCTCTTCAGTAATTATTATTGTCTGTGAGTGTAGACAGTGCAAGTCAAAAACTCATTGTTGATCAAATAAAACCAAATAGGATTAAAAACTCCAAGTAAACATGTCTCTTCACTCTGCAATAATAAGGAAATCTGGTGAGCTGATTTTATCACTTATTTTCGCTTTTTTTACATTTGTGCCAAAGTTACGTGATAGCAAATCCCAGCAAATAGAATTTTATTTGTAATTGTGGAGTCAAATCAACAATTCAATTATTATGTGAGAAGTTCTTTATCACATGACAATATGTACAGAATGAACTAAACATATATCCAGATTATGAAAATAAGGTGCATGGTTGTATTTCAGGCCCGTAGCCAGCTTTTGCCAAGGGGGTTGACTTTCTCAAAAATTTGAGGGGGGCATCATATCCTTCTCTATGATTAGTCTCAATCCAGCTTGGATTCATTCATTAAAACATTGATTCAATTTGGAAGATTTTAGTGAATACAAAACCTGTCAAAATTGTTGATTTTACAACTCGAAGTAACTTAGTATCATGGTAAAAACATGGCATGTCCATGAAAAACCAATTACCAAACCACTAATTACCATGGAAGTGCATGGTAAATAGCCATGGATGTCCATGAAATTCCATGGAAAATACCATGAAAAACCATGAATTTCCATGGAAAACCATGGATAACCATGGACACACCATGGAATATCATGGCTACCATGGCTTTTTTCTTAAGGGAGACTTTTAAAATTCAATTTGCCACTTCACCTATTCAGCAAAAAAACATATTTTTTATCTTGCTTCAACAAGGTGACATTTTGTCATGTTAATGCCTTATTGATTTTTACTTGTGGGCCTAGCCAGGGGGAGGGTGATGCAGTGATGCAACCCCAAAAAATTACCGCCTCCTCCTTGACAATTGCTGGCTACTCCCCTGTTACTCAAATATGGAATTGGTGTTATCAGTTTCAATTGAATCTAGAAATAGCCTCGGTGCATTAGAGCAAGTGCGTGGTTGATTATTTCATGCATCCATTTGAAATAATGTGTTCTTGTGTGTTTCTAGCCCTATTTGAATTATCAACTAAAATCTCAAACTTATAAAAGTTATGATATTATTGTGATTGCAGGATGATGTGGGGTTCAACATGGCAGGTCTACAGTTCTTACAACAGCTCTATAAAGAGAAGGAGGAGGTTGGATTTTTCTCAGATGCAACTGATAAATTCAAACAGAAGAAGAAAAAAGCCAAAAAGCTAACAATGTTGGCTATAAAGACTTGATGGTAGTCAGAATTAGGGACATGGTCAAAATTTCATTTCATTTCACATTGAATTATTTTTCTTTTCTTTTCTTTAAAATAAACAGCAAAATATACAGTATACAATGTTTATGGTTATTTACATCTAAACCTATTTTCTCAAAATGTGATGGAATATATTTTATAGTCCTATTAAAAAATCAGTCACTTTCAAGAATCAGTCTACAGTACATGTAAAAAAGGTAATGGAGTTTTACCCCTCCCAAAATGTAATTACATGTAAATGTAATTATGTTTGTGGATGTAGTATTCAATGTATAATATTGGTCTCCTGTCAGTCCTGTGACAAATGTTCTGACACTCATGAAGTATAAAACTGTATATTATGTTGTGATCGCAAAGTAATGAAGGCTTAAAGGCAGGGATTCCTTACCATGTGGTAAATTAAACCACAACCCTATTTCAATGTAGCCTATTATATAACTGCTATAACAGTTTTATATATTACTTTACATTTCTCAAGTCAGATAGGAACTACTATTTAGATTTAAAATAACCATCTGATTTAGAATATATTCATGAATAACTGTGACAAAAATTTAGCTGATTCTATGCAAAAATACTAGAGATACGCGGAAAAACAGGTCTGAAGTGTCAGATTCTGTGGACATTTAAATTTTGAAACATGCTATTACATCATTTTCTAACTGACATTCTGCTTTTATAGTGGAGCCCTGCCTTTAATGTTAAATGAACCTCTATAAGTGGAACACCCCCAAGTGGAACACTTTTTAGAGGTACCAAATATGTTCCTCTAAGCATGTTTTACTACCCTTATGCATTTGCCAGAGAAATCAGAAATTGTTTATAGATTGTTTGTTCACATTGTACAGCATATACAATGTAGCTAGTATATGTTGATGGATGTAGTACAATACTATTGTATAATGTTCTCATAATCTGTTTTTATTGTAAAAATAAAGAAATGGAAATTACATATTCTTGTTGTTGAATATACATATTCATTGTTAAATAGAGGAGATTCCATATTGCTTTGAAATATCATTAATTCTCATTTTTCATGAAATTTTAAGAGACTTACTTTTTATCGCACCTTAAGGTGTTATATTGTAATCAGCTTACCGGGCGGTTGGGCGGGCGGCTGGGCAGGCGGGCGTCCCGAATAATCTTGTCTACAGGCTTCCAGCCAAACCGTTTGAGGGATTCATTTGAAATTCTCAAGGATGTTTCTAATTATGACAGTTTAGAACTGAGTAGTTTTTCGGCATTCTGGGTCAATGTTAAGGCGGCCATTTTGGATTTTCCGTCCTAAAATCTTGTCTGTCAAGGCTCGTCTACAGGTTTCCAGCCAAACTGTTTGAGGGATTCATTTGAAATTCTCAGGGATGTTTCTACCTATGAAAGTTTAGAACTGATTAGTTTTTCGACATTCTGGATAAATGTTAAGACGGCCATTTTGGATTTTCCGTCCTAAAATCTTGTCTGTCAAGGCTGTCTACAGGTTTCCAGCCAAACCGTTTGAGGGATTCATTTGAAATTCTCAGGGATGTTTCTACCTATAAAAGTTTAGAACTGATTAGTTTTTCGGCATTCTTGGTTAATGTTAAGGCGGCCATTTTGGATTTTTCGTCCTAAAATCGTGTCTGTGAAGGCTTGTTTTAAAAAATAAAAAAGTATTTCCCATTGAGAGCAATGTTAAATTAAAACATTTTTTTTAGAAATAACTAAATGGTCAATCTTTCCAATTTTCACATATTTTGTAATACATCGGTATATCTTTTACCAGGATTTTTTTCAGGAAAATCTGAATTGTAGAAAAAGTTGATACACTGAAGTAATACCTTAAAACGTGTCTGTTGAGGGTTGTTTACAGGTTTCTTGGATTCATCCTAAAATTTTAGAGATGTTTCTATGGAAATTTTAGAATTGATTAGTTTTTAGGCAGTCTGGGTTAATGTTAAGGTGGCCATTTTGAATTTTCCATCCCGAAAAGTGTATTCTGTTCAAGGGTGCGATTCTGTTCACCCCGTGGCTTGTTCTTTTAGCATATTTGATTTCAGTGTAAAGTTTTCCACAATAATTAGTTCTGTTATTAAAATCATTTTTCATGACTTTTTCAACTTTTCTAAAAAATGTGGGCCAGATCTCCATTGATGCAATGTTAAAATTCTTTTAACAGTTAAAACCTTGGTTTTTTTGTTCAACAACCAAAAGTTGAATTTAGTGACTATTGCAAGTTTTTAACATTGAGGTGTATTGCAGTTTGTCTAAACAAAAACAAAAAGAAACAATTAGTGACATCTATTTATTCGGCTACATAGAAACTCCCTTGAAATTTTTTTTTTCATTTCATACAAAATAAGATCTTAACCTTTTCTTACTCCAGCTGTTTAAAAAAGATTCAACCATGCACTTTTTCTAAGTTCCAAAAGACCTGAAAATGTTGGGGGATTTTGAAATTTGGCCAAAAGCTCCTTTTAAAAGTGTGGGGGAATTTTTAGATTTCAAGGAGTTAACATAGAATCAAAGTACAATTTCTGGTATACTCCATCTTTCAAAGCAAGTTGATTAAATTTTAACTAAATACATGTACTTACCATGAATTTTGCAGAAATACACCAAGTTAAATTTTGAGGTATTCCAGTTTGTACCAACATTTGCCTGCTTCCTCCCTTATTAAACAATTTGACACAGTCATATACTGACAATTATGGGCAGAATACCCTTAGCCGTTATGCATAAAAGTGCTTCTACTGCACACATTCACCATCATCGAAAACTAAAAATCTGATAAATCGATTTCAATTCTCGTATATCATATCATATATCATTGTGTTATTAATTTAGTGAAAAGATAAAATAATGTTCATAAGTAAGTTTATCTGTAAATACAGTGTCTATAATTGGGAAAGTATATAAAGTGACCAATAGCAGCTAAACATAATGGTTTATTATATTAGTTCAATGTCTCATTTATAGAGGGCAGTCTAAGCACAATTAAAAATGGCCGACGTTGGGTAACGATTTAGAGCGGTAATTATTCGGCAAAGAAGTTGGAATATTATCAAACCGGATCAAAGTACCAGCTATTTATGATACCCAGATAATGAAAGATAGTACAAGGATCTATTGGCTTAAAAGAAATTCATGAAAGATGCTTTAGTATCTAGTAATCAACAAGTCAATTTAGAATATTTTGAAAACGGAAGTCGAAAATTGAACTCTGAAGATTATTTTCATTTGGATAATTTCCAAAATATAACGACCGCAGTCATTTCATTTGGATTTAGCAGTCATACAAAGGTGAGTACTACAGACTTTGTGTATAACAACATGATCAGCCATCATTCAAGGACCATTTCCTTGACATTTATCAGACTTGATGTCTTGTAAAGTAAAATGAAATTATGATTATGACTTGACTGTGTTACTGAACACACCTGGCTCAAAAGCCAGCTGACACACCGTTAGAATATACCGGCTTGTGAAGCGTTTTTCCCCAACTTCCAGCTGGTGCGCTGGCATAAGTAACGGTATTTAGGAAGATAATTGAATATTACTTGCCCCTTTTTTGACGCGTGGTGTCAACAAGTCCTATTTGTTGTGTAATTTGCAGTTAAATTGGAGAAATTTCTGTTCCGGCGCGCACCATCTTTTAATTTTGGCGCATGCGGTCATAAACTTCTCTTCATTGCAATGCCAACGGAACTTCCCAGAGCTGACTTCTGTCAGCTCGGTAGAGTAATGACTGTGTGTGATATGGAAAATCTAGGAGGGGTTGCATTTGATTGGAATCCATGCATTTAATCACTAGACTGAAAATTGAATATTTTTCTTCTTAAGCCAGTCTGCCTATCGTTAATTCTGCACAAATATGGTTGAAATGAATTATCCATTTATCTATGAAACGTCCTTGACATTGATTTCGCGACCTACTTATGAACACATCCTGTTTTGGTGAGTCTGAACATTTCATTATTTTATATCAACTTCTACCCACCTTATACAAATATTTTTGCTTCTAAATTAAGATGAACATCTCTTCATATCCACCAATTTTCAAGGTGAACATTCTTGTAATAAACGAGAAATTTATGTGCACAACCGTCACCATATTGTTAAGTATTTTTTAAGCATTCTGCCATGACCATGGTATTGTTATCATGAAAGCCTGGCGCGACCGTAGCCTTTATGTGACATTTATGACTTATTTTTCACCCCTTTCTATCACGCCCGGTGATCGTACAAAATGGATGGAATGGGGGGGGGGAGTAGGCAATTTCTGCAAGAAAACTCAACAAATTTGGGAGTTTTATTTTTTCAAGAGAAAATTTACAACTGAATTGCCAAATGAATAGGCGCAGTGCCTGGCAAAATATGTTAGGTCTTCTCGTATTTATTTTGAACTGACACGCTTCTAAGATATGAGATCTATTAAAAAGGGCGCATCATCACTAACTTGCAAAAGTCAATGTTTTTGCTATAAATCAGGCAACAATGGTCTACACGATCTGTAATAAATAGGTATAAGGGACATTATTATCACAACACTAATGACATTGCTCACTTTTTAAAGTTACTTTCCATGCGTTATACAAAAAATAATCGAAATAAGTTAACATTGGATGGAGGGGGAAGTGAATGGAGGGGGGGGGGAACGTGTATAAAAGTCCTGATTGTCTGATTCAAAATTCTATTTACTACTTTGACTTCAAAAAATAAGCAATCAAATGACCATATTGCAACAGTAGAAACATATGTACAAGACCTAACTTTTATATATTTCATAGTTAGGTATAATGTTCAGTAAAGCTTTGGCCTTTTGTAATTTAAGGAGTTTCAGCCATGTTAATATTTTAGAAAATAACATAGTAGAGAAGCATCAAAATATAAGAGCCACATATATGATAGCCAACTTACAAAACAAATTGAAATATACAAATAGTTTGAACTTTTAATCGGACTGTAAATATGATTTATCAAGATTCAACAGTAATGTTGAAGATGTTTCCACCTCACCCTAAATATTTCCTTGTGAGCACCCTGACATGGAATAAAAAACTGAATCAGAGATCTCTAAGATAATAATACTTTTGCAATCATGGGTATATATTTATCACTATCATCTAGGACTGAGTATAAGGCTGAACTGATGATGAATCTTATTTTCAAGAAACTTGCAAATGAGTTCTTTGATGGGTAAAACCTTTGTGAGATCTCCAAAGGTAAATATAGTACATGTATATAGAGAATGAATACATAACAATTTTACAAGAAAGAGATTAGTAGATGGGAGGAGCTGAGTCGCATAAAGGCTATTAATGGGACTTTTGTGTTATTTTATGCTCACATCTCTGTAGATATATTAATTAACAATGAATAGAATTAATTTATGTGTATGCATATATCATATTAGGCCTTTTATAAGTTAAAAACAGAGCTATGGTTTCAACTCATTATTTTGTAAGACACATCTTTCCCAATGCAAAATTGTATACTAGGATGAGATAACTGTCAGGATAGTGGAATGCATTGACGTTGCCCCTGTCACAGAGATAATATTTCCAGTTTAAAATGATCTGTACTTACAGAAAAAGAAAGCACAACTGACTGTATACATGTTTAGAGACATGTTTAAAAAATAAAAATACTGTTATATGACTTTGTACCTGGCAACTGAAGCTTCACCTCGCATTCACTGAAAAATTTCATTAATATTTAACTAATTATTTATAAATACTATCTCTATTCACAATATTGGTTTGATCTTTTAACTTCTTAATCAAAATAGTATCACA